TCTGTATTATTAACACTTTCTTAAATCTGCACAATCAAGAAAACAGTAAATCAAGTCCAGTTTGGTAGTGTTGGGATTTGCGAGGGGTAAACTTGGTGTTTGAACCAAGGTCCTCTGGCTTTAAACCATAATCTAGCTACATGCGCTCTTACCATTATGCCACACTATAAGGAATCTTATATGGCCTTAACATTTACTCATGTAAAAGGGGTGATATCTGGAGAATAAAATTAAGGGGTGAGAGAGCATTATACTGGGAGAAGGAGAAAGAGAGAGGGAGAATGGGGTAAATTATCTCACATAAAACAGATGAGAAAAGGCTTTTACAGCAGAGGGGAAGCAGGAGAAGGCGAGAGGGAATGAGTGAATCTTATTCTCTTCGGATCTGGCTTTGAAAATTTGGATTGAAAATTTGACAATGTAGTCTCCCACACTAGTCAAATCTGCCTCCAGCAAACACCCTGAATAGAATTCTCTAGACTACCTTCCCCTTGAGTAACGCTAGTGCCCTGACAAAAAGACCCGGTTACCCCTCTTCAGTTCTGGCTCTAGGGTCTAAAGAGAAAGATTGGTCAAAACCAGTAGCACAACCTAGTGGGGGGTGGGGAATAGCAAGAAGCAATTTCCTGGGTTTAGGAATTAAAGGTTCGAGACCAGTCGAGCAGCAAAGTGCCAAATACAACAACAACAAAAAAGTTCTATTTTGATGATTTGACATCCTACTGGCACACATAAGTTCTTAGGTCCAGGCCACCATGATCAGGTTCCATCATCCTGTTTCTGCTGAATTCCTGTCAGCTGGATGGTGTCCATCAGTGCCGAACTCCTCGATAATTTTTATAGCAATTGAGCATTTTAATTTCATCAGTAGACATGATAGTTTATATGTCAGTTATGCCAACTAGATAGATTCTATACTCCAGAGTTTCCCAAAATGATATTCCATGCAGTGTGAAAGAATAAAGTTTCTTTGGGTAAATGCCAATGCTAGAACTATTTCCTCCTCTAAGATATTAAATATAAAATTACATGCATCACAAATATTTATTATGATAACATTTATATAAAATACAATTAATTTCTGCCATTTTGGTCATACAGTAGAAAGAGTGCTGACTCTAGATTCAGAAGACATAGATTGAAATCCCGCCTCTGATGTTTATGACCTGTGTGACCTTGGGAAAGACATTTCACCTCTGAAAGCCTCAGTTTCCTCACGTGTAACATAAGGAATAAAAGACTGGGGGGAACATGATAGCTCTCTTTAAGCGCTTGAAAGGCTGTCATGGAGAAGAGGGATTAGGTTTATTCTGCTTTACTCAAAGGTCAGAACCAGAAGCAAATGGGCGCACGTCACAAAGACATAAATTTAGTCTTGATGTCAGGAAAAAAAAAAAAACTCTTCCTAACAATCAGAGGTGTCCAAAAATGGAAAGAGTCGTCTCAGGAACTGGGAGATTCCCCCTCATTGGTCTCCAGGCAAAAGATACATGACCACTCATTGGGTATGATGTATCAGTCATTCATTTTAGCTATAAGCTGCTGGGATCCCTTTTAAGCTCTGAAACCCTGAGGTTCTTTAATTTGGTTTTATGCTCTGCATGACATCCATTGATATATGTGGTGTCCCAAAATTTGTGGCTAGTCTGCACTTAGAGTTTTGGGACATCCTGTATTTCCAGCCCCAAAGTATTCCAAGGTCAAATTAGTTTAAGAAATGGTTCTGTATGCTATATTCCCTCTTGTTTCAACAACAACAACAAAAAAAACCCAACTGATTTCAACATTTTGATAAGCACAAAATAATGGAATAACAGAACAGGAAGAAACCTTAGAAATAACAAATGTAAAAGTATTGTTATTTATATTCTATGGAGGGCAAACTAAGTGCTAGGAGGCTTAAGTGACTTTCCTTTCAGAGCCAAGAATCACAGTCCCTTCAGTGGCTTTCTGATTTTAACATCTCATACTCTTTTCTTTAGATTGTGACATTTCCTTGTAGAGGCAGATTTAGATCTAGAAAAGATTTCAGAGAGTGTGTAGTCTAAATCCTTTATTTTACAAATAAGTAAATTAAGCCCTAGGGGAGTTAAGTAACTTGTTCCAAGTCATATTATCTATTCCTTTAAAAACTAGGATTTGAATCCAGGTCTGTTCTCAATTAAAATCCAATACTTGTTCTTCTTCTGGTAACAAAGATTTAGAAATTGAAGCGATGCCCATCAATTGGAGAATGATTGAACAAGCTGTGGTATATGATTGTGATGGAATACTATTGTGCTATAAGGAATGATGAGCAGGATGGTTTAGGAAAAACATGGGAAGACTTGTATAAACTGATGCACAATGAAGTGAGAACATTGTACATAGTAACAGCAATATTGTACAATGATCAGCTGTGAATGACTTAGCTATTTTCAGCAATACAAAGATCCACAATAATTCCAAACTACTTATGATGAAAAATGCCTCCCGAGAAAAAAAAATTGATGGAGTCTGAATGCGTATCAAAGCATGAGTTTTTAAAATTTTATTTTTGTTGTTGTTGGGTTTCTTTTGGTCTGTTTTCTTTTGCAACATGGCTAATGTGGAGATATGTTTTGCATGATGGCACACGTATAATCTATAACAAATTGTTTACCTTCTTGAGGAGGGGAAAGGGAAGAGAGAGAGAGAGAGAGAGAGAGAGAGAGAGAGAGAGAGAGAGAGAGAGAGAGAGACAGAGAGAGAGAGAACTTGGAACCGAAAATTTTGAAATAATGTTAAAAAAATTTTACATTTGAATAAAAAAATAATAATAAGTCCAATATTCTCTCCTCTATATTACATTGCCTTCTACATTCTGTAGTTTTGGTTAGATAGAAGCAATATTTTATAGAACTAGCCAGGCCTTTAGCAATTATCTAATTTAATAGAAACTCTGGATTTAGAATAAGAACCTGAGTTCAAAACTGACTTTGCCACGTCTTATCTGTGAGACCCTGGACAAGTGAACTAACTTTTCTGGATTCCAGCTTGTTCATCTGTAAAGTGAGGGAACTAGATTACCATCAATCAATCAAAAATATTTTTAAGCAACTACTACATGCTAGGCACCATGATAGGCTCTATGGATTAAAGTACAAAAAACCAAGCGATCTCTACTGGCATTGAGCTTACATTCAAATATGTGACCTTTAAGGTCCCTTGGAATCCTAAATCTATGTTCTTAATAGTCCTCATTTTACAGAGGAGGAAAGTGAGTTCCAAAGAGGGCATGTTCCATAATCCCATACATGATACCTTATAACTCCGAATGTTATTCTCATGTCACTAGAAAATATGCCATGTTTTTACAAACATGATGGCTAATTAATTAATAAGCCTTAACTATCAATTTATTCTTCAAAATATTTTTTAAAGGGCTGCCAGTTCAGGAATAACCTAAAATAGATGATCCCAAAATATTTTTAGTTTCACTTCTCACCTTTTATTTGACTTTTCTGAAATGTAGCCTAACTTACAATTAATTATTTTCTTCGGTATGTGAATGGAAATGATAGCCTCCAAACTCTGAGGATACATAGTAAGAAAATACCTTTATTTTTAGAATAAAATTTATCAAACAGAAATATGGAAGTCATCTCCTAAATAAAGTGATCTTATCAATAGAGGTATCTTAACTTTGGTTCAGGTAACAAATGCTCCAATAAGTACAGGAAATAATTTGTCCTTAAGATTGCTTCAGGCACTGCACTGCAGTGCAGATTCCAAATCTGTAGAATGCCATTAGAGTTCATTATCATGTAAAACAATTATGGTGTATGAAATGATCAGAAAGTGGAATTGTCTGATACATAGCCATCCTCTCCCACAACAATAAAAAATTTTATTTGGGAGATAAATGTGTTTCACTTATATTTGAAAAAGCACAACCATTTTACTTTTTAAAAATGGCTATTTCCATTAACAAAGAGATGACTATCTTCTCCCTGTCTACATGGTGCATTATAAAGCTCTCAAGTGATGTATTATAAAGATCTTTTGGTATGGTCTTTTGTATTCGAAATATCTCTTCCTTGAAATTAAATTTGGCTACCAAAATCATAACTATATAATTCCCTCACTTCTTCCCATTAGTTACAACAAACTCCTGAGATTACAAAGGCAACATTTTATGTGTCTGAAGAAATGGCTTTGAATGATTAAAATATAAGACTTAGTTGCTGATAAAGGAGCAGGTCACACATATTTGTAAATATTACTGTCAGTATCTGACAAAATCACAATCATTTTACTCCACTGACTAAACATCAGGAGTTTCCATTTCCTCACTTACTGTTATTTTTGAAAAGTCTTATAAGAAGCCAGATTATTACGAAGAATCCAACAATCCCCCCAAGATCCAAGTGTATTCTGTAGTCAACAGAAATTAGCTATTTACACAACCAAAAAAAATTAAATGATTCTGACAATGATCCAGCCATATGGATGAGATCAGCTTATTTTTTTGCTTTGTGATTGACAGATGCATTTGGTTCATTTGGTGGGGGGCGGGTAGAGAGTTGAGGGGAGAAGAAGTGGGGAAGGAAGGAGGGGAATGGAGATGGGAATGGTCTAGACCAGACTGACAGTGACAGAGCCATTAGCCTTGTTTCTTTCTTCTCCAGTTATCTAACAAATTCTTCTCTTATCACATCTTCTTTGAAATCTCCCAAGTCTAAAGACTTTAGCAGTCACCCAACCAAATGCTCTACCATAATCCACACTAGAGTTATTCTGAAAAGGAAAAAATAGTCCTCTTTTTCTTTGGTAAAGTCCACTTGTAGGGAGCTAAATTTAGCGCCGCCAATCAGAGGAACAGGTGGTATGTGACTATACCAAATGGATCCCTCTCCCATGATGCTTTCTACTGGGAGCCAATCAGGAGTGGCAACATCTCAGTGATGTGGGGCTGTCAGCAAATCTGGGGAGTATATAAAGGAAAAGAACCATGTTAACACTCTTGAGCAGTCGTGCACTCCCAGCCTCGCCTCGGGTGTAGGGATTGCATAAAGCAAAACTACACTGTTTCGACTGTGTAGTTTTGTTTTTAGGTTTAGAGGCTCAACGATTCATGTCTGGGATTGTCTAAAAAACCAACTCTGGATAAGGACGTCGTTTCAGAAGGAACACTGGGCTTTGCCCACCCTTTTTAGGCACTCTTGAGAAATCAGGTCAGTAGCACTTTTTTGACAGTCAATTATCTCTTTTGGGGTCTTTATTTCATGCTATATACTGTATAGGCAATTTCAAAAGTGTATGTGCTATGTGAGTATTTGTTCATGGGGTACCATGTGCATCACTTTAATCTTGTTTCCTTGAATTTTCAATTGCATGTGAAAACTTTTTCCTGGGCAATGTGTAATGTCTTAGCATGTCAGCACACTCAACCAATTTTAAGTTCTTAAATGGATTTCTTATTTTTAGAATGGAACTAGAGAATGGAATCAGGCATTAGAAATGTGTCCTCCAGCTACAGACTCCTTTATGTCTGTGCAAAGTGCTCAAGGTTAAGTTACTCAGTGATAAACTGAGACGCACCAAGAATAGCTCTGATAAAATACATGTGGTATCAGCTAAGCACTGATGACTTTTTAAGGGAATCAACTGCTAAGGTATCAATTGCAGGGCAGTGACAGAACACTTGTCTGCTGTCAATCATAGCTGGGGAGGTTATTTTGGGAGTGTGACATTTGGGATGCATACCTTTTAACCCTAATTATACAAAAGCCTCACAAGATCACATTTTCAATCAACAAAATTTGCTTACACAATAAGGCCTGAACTTTTATGCAAATAAAAAGAAAAACAGGCCAAGTTAATTGGCACATATTTGAGAATTTTGAATAAATCAAACCCCTGTTCCCTTAAAATATTCAGAAATAAGATGCATCATTAAGTGATAAATGCAAATATGTGATTTGTGAGAGCTCTTGCTTAGAAAAGAAACACATATATTCTTTTAAAGGTCACTTTTCTCCTAAATGCTCCTTACAGCTATCATCGACTTGTGTTTAATTTAGCTGATAAGGAATGCATGCTAAAACAATGTAAAGCAGATCCATGCAAAAGGCAAAGGCTATTAAGAATGAAGTAAAACATTTGGAAACACAATCAAGCTCAAATAGTTTGTAGTCATGAAGAGTACATTAAAATAATGTGCTCTTTATAGAAGTTACCCTATTTATAGTGAAGTGCAAACTTCTTCAGCTACCATCTGAATTTTCCAACCAACAATATGCTTTTCCAAGAGGATGCTTATTCTTCTTAGAAGTCACAATTAAGGTCCAGAATCTTCGTTTAAATTTTTACTTCTTTATGATTTTAATAAACAGAGACTGTCATGACAAAGCAGTAATGAAGTAATTGGCAATCGAGAATCTCCCTTTTCATCTCTGAACAACGAGATTCAGGTTGCAGAATTGAGTGTTTGTGCACTAGAAAATTCCATCTAACTGGAACTGGAAGACAGAGTGCCAACTTCCTCTGTGCAAATGAACTCTGCTGTACACTTCACATTCATTTGAGTGTTGGGGAATATTTTGTATTATGAAAATATGACAGGCAAGAAAAATAACCTTCAGCTACACAGTCAGATGCCAATGATAGTTTCTCACCCCCAACTTAGTATTTTTTCAGTGTATTTGGCATATGAAGATCCATGGGACAAAAAGGAAAAATGCAGCGTAGTAAAAAGGGAAAATACTGGATCTCAAGTCAAATCTTCAACTTTCACCTCTTCCGCCTAACTCCTCGTGTGACCTTGGGTGACTTAAGCTGGAGCTGGAGCTTGGCCCACTTAACAGAGCCAGGTGTTAAATTTTCAATATGAGCCTTTATGCCCTGCTACAGATCAGGTCTTGATTTATGATTTTGTTGGTTGTTTAGATTTAAGAAAATGATAGAGCAAATATTAAGGGGGTAAATTAAGTCTAAAAACGTGTTACATGTACATTTTTGGGCAGCCAGTTGTTAACCATTTACCAGCATACTCTTGTCCTTGGGCCATAGTTTTCTCATCTGTAAAACAATAGCATCAGAACAGGTGATCTTTGGCGTCCTTTCCTGCTTTAGGTTTATGGTCCTGTCATTCTAATTGTTAGTCTTGGAGTCAGGAAGACCTGAGTTCAAATCCTGCCTCCATAACTTACTGTGTGACAGTAGCCATGTGACCACAGGCAAGTCACTTATCCTTTCTGAGTGTCATATGCCTCTTTTTAAGCTGTCCTTGAGGACAGCTTGTCTTCTTCTTTGAATAAAGTCCATTATTCACCAGGATGCATAACTGGAAAATTCTTCTTTCCCAAAATGTTCAGTTTTTTTTAAATTGGCATATTAATCCTAATCTTCCTACAACATCCACTGGTAGTTCTACTACACATTTATTATAGCGCCTCACTACAGGCAAAGTAAAATAAAGAACTGGGGCATTCGAATAATTCAGGCCCTCTCAGAAGACCTCTTTGCCCCAGAGAGGCTACATGACATCACCATGCGGTAGTTGAAAGCTTATTGGACTTGCAAAAAGAGATAGAGATTCCATCCCAACCTTGCCACTTATTAAGCTGGGTCTGACCTCAGAAAAGCCATTTAATTTTCTTAAAGCCTTGGTTTCCTCATCTGTAAAATGGGCAGAATAACACCTAACACCAAAACAGTTCCAGCAGTCACATGTATAACAACGTGCTTTATAATCTTTAAGATCTAAATATGTAAGTTTTTCTTTTCAAGACACTTCACTTACTAAGAGACAGCATTGTATATACAGAGAGCCAGTCTCCAAGTCAAGAAGATTTGAGTTCAGGTCCCACTTCTGATATATGCTGGCTGCATGATACAGTGCCCCCCTGAGAACTCTATGTAAAAAGATAAATTGCAGAACAGGTGCAGACTTGCATTGGAAAAGGGGGTTTCCTCATTGGCAGCTCCCAAGAGGAATGAAATCATGAGCTCAGTTCAAATTTAAAAAAGAAAGAGAGAAATCGAACAAAGCTTGAGCCAATAATCCATGGTAGTTGGTTCAATTTTTAAAATTAATTTTACTGATCTAGAGACAATGAATAAGAAATATTTGGGGAGTGTATTTTAAATAAAATCTAAATTCTTCGAATACTGAGGTCTCATGGAATTGCTTTTTCATTTAAACTTTGCCATTTCTGTCTTCATCAATACTTTTTATCATAGAAGTCTTTCTCCTACTTTCCACAAGTTTACTCTGTCCATTTTGGTTAAGAAGGACTTTTCCAGAAACTTGGGGATAATTGAGATTCACTGTTTCACACATAATCTTCTTTGGCTATTCTATTTTGTATAACAAAATGTTGCCCCTTCCCCCTTTTTTCACGTATTTTCATTAAATTTGGAATTTAAAATTCTTTAAAAATATTTTCCATCTTCTACCAGTAGGGTATGCTCCTGGGTCTTCTCTCCCATACTCAGTTTGGCTCTCTCCCTATAAGTCTTATTTAGCCTTACACTTCTTAGTACACTAAAGCCAAATGCTTGAAGAGTCACATTCCAATTCACCGGTGAGCACAAAAGTGACCAAGCCAAAGAATTATCTGCTTAGAGTAGGAATTTTTAACCTCTCTTGTGTGTGTGTGTGTGTGTGTGACAGACCCCTTAAGCACTGTGGTGAAACCTACAGCTACACAAAATAAAACGTACAGGATTACAGAGAAAACCAATCCTATTGGAATTTAGTTATCAAAATACAAAAGAAAAATAAAGACCAGGTCACTGACCGAAGTGACTGATTTTGATTTAGAGGAGTGGGTGTCTTCTCTCCTGGGATAGGAATTCTAATTCTGTTCCTTCTCTCTTGCAGAGTGCCTAAAAAGATGGCGACTCAAGCCCCTACGTTCACACAGCCATTACAAAGTGTTGTGGCACTGGAGGGTAGTGCCGCAACCTTTGAGGCTCATATTAGTGGTAAGAAAACAAATCATTTTTTGTTAACTTCTTTTCCCTTTCTAGAATCTGTGATGAGTTAACCTTGCTTTTAGATGCAGAACCAAGTTTAAATGCTCTTTTGATTTTTCTAGTTCGTCCAACTTTGTGGAGAGGTCATTTTGAGGGTATAACCAATCATACCGTGCTGACAAAGTATAGCACTCTAATGTCATTAAAATGTTTTATTCATATTTGGAATTCCATAAAGCATAACAATTAGCACGGACTTCAGACAATGTCAGAATTCAGCAGATGAACAGGGCTAAATCTGGTCCTTCTAGATTTGTATTCAGCACTTTAGATAGACTAGAAGGCATGACTTAGCCCTTAGCCTGGGTCAACTTCTGACTTTCTGTGTAACCACTTAACATCTCTGTGCCTTAATTTACTCAGCTAGAAAATGGATATACAACTAGACTTTCTTCAGAAGAAGTATCAAAGATCAACTTAAAATTATTTTATTGATTCAATTTTTAATTGAGCCCAATTACCTTGTTGAAATAAAGGCATATAAAGTATTTTAAATGCATGTCAGGAAATACCATATCCATTTTCATGTGGCTCAGCTACTACTTTGTCTTATACTGAAAAGGCCTCGTTAATTTACTTGAGAGGAAAGAGGTTGTGCAGGATAAGACCCAATGATTTTTTATTGTTGTTGTTTGGGCACATATGATAATTTAATTGAAGAAAAATGTGTGACATCATTGACCTAATTTTAATGACAAAATATTGGGAAAATCTGAAGTACAAAAGTGCGCACATCTGTTTTGAATTGGATCAAGAAGTATATTAATTATTTACTGAAGGAGAGAAATCATTTATTGAAGGAAATTTTTTTGCATAATGAAGCTATAGATTTATAGACATTAATTATTAACATAAAACATACAGTTTCTTTTAACCTCAAACTGAAATATTGTTATGGTGTTCTTCAGTCATGAATTTACTTTTACCTCATCGCGTAAAATGAAAACTGCACAGCTCTCTTCCTCCTTGCCTGATTTGATTAGTATAGATTTGTTGTTGTTATATTTATCATTTTTAAGTTTCAAAAAATACAGATAAAAGAATCATAGAATTATAATCTTTGGAGCTGGAAGGGATCTTGGAAAAAATATTGTCAAAGTTCCAAGAGAATCCATTAGTTTAATAAACCAGGTTGCAATTAGGCCAAACTGATTTGTTGTTGTTCAATCATGTCCAACTCTTTGTGACCCCATTTGGGGTTTTCTTGGCAAATATATTGGAGTGTTTTTCCAGTTCCTTCTCCAGCTCATCTTACAGATGAAGAACTGAGGCAAACAGGGTTAAGTGACTTGTCTAAGGTCACACAGCTAGTAAGCGTCTTGAGGCTGGATTTGAACTCAGATATATTCCTGACTCCAGACCCAGCACTCTATCCATTGTGCCATCTAGCTGCCCACAGGCCAAAGTCTTCAGTTAGAGTACTCTTCAGACCTGTCACTTTAACTCTCTCTTGATGTTCCAAATGCCAAGTGCCATTATTCTGCCCCTTGCGTGCCTGAAACTTCTTCCAATGAGATACCTCTGTTCACTTTCCCTCATCCCTTCTCTCTCCCTCACACAAAGTTAATCCTCATGACTATGCTCTGGTCTGAACTAGCTATCCAATAAATTAATAATAGTCAAGTGAAATAAGTAACAAGGTGTTACATATCTCTGCAAAAATATTTGCTGCTATCTACATGTACAGCCATCTTTGATAATAAATGGTATTCTTATCCCAAACAAATGTATATTACACAAACAATGTTGAGTCTTATATTATCAAATTTATCAGTTTTCATGTAATAAAATTGTATCTCTAACATCCAACAATTGGGTGTTTTAGCAATAGACTTAGCAATAACAGCTCTTGGGTCCAAAATTAAGAATTATTTTTCCATATTTCATAAGAAAATCTTAAAATTTGGGGTTAGTCAATTTTGTTGGCTAGAGTGATAGGTTGTCATGACAACATTTAATTTTCCACTATGAAAAAATGATTGGCAGACATTTGGAGAGAGGAACTGGTAACTTCAAGATGGTAATGTTGATTAAGATCCTTTGGTTGAGACACAGAATTATGGTTTTATTCTGTCTTTTTTTCCCTGCCTTTATGAATATACTTAGTCTCTATTATAGAGGATCAGGGTGATTAAAGCACATGACTGGATAAGGAATCTAAATGAAAAAGTCTTTCAGGGAATTATTTTCAGGATAGAGTAGTGGACTATTGAACTGAAATCAGGAGAGCTGGCTTCTAATCCTGCCTCTCCCATAAATTAAATTGGGACCTTGGACAAGACACTTAAACTGAGTTTCAGTATTCTTATATATAAATTCACATAATCCAAATATACATATAAAATTATATCTGTACACATATATCTCTCTATAAAAGAAAAAAACATATGTAAAGTATTCGGAAGTTCTCAGAAAACAAATATTTCATTTCAAAGTACAGGTTCTATTTTTGCTTCAAGGCTAGCATTCTTACATATTTATAATGCCCATGAGAAAGAATCAAGAGATTGTCACTGGCCTGTTCTTGAAGTTCAAAACGGAATTTGGAAGCTAAGTTTGAGCCAACGGAGACATTCTAGAAATACTGGTGGGAAGCATTTTTTCTTTCCAGGACACTTCATTTTTGACTTTGGGAAAGTTCCAGAAAACTCTTACTTACTGTATTATACAGTCTTGTAAAAATGTGGCAGTACTTCTCTGGATGACGTATGCTTTTCCAATGTTTCAAAACCATTTAATCAAAGCCGTATGTTACCAGACTATCATGAATGCTCTGATAAGCTGTTGTAGATTAATTGGGAAGCATGCCTTATCCTTAATTCAGTGCATTTACACTTTATTCCTTTCTTCATTTTTCATTTTTATCATTTATGATGAAGACAAGAAGTAAGATTTATTTTTTTGTTCTCTACCAGTTTTTTGCACCAACCTTAAACATAATTGGCTAATACGTTATTCTGCAGTACACAAATGCCACGTAATTATTCTTCATTTTCTTTTGTATCTCTACATAGGGACCAATCTCACTCTCCTCATGCATGATAAACTCCTGCTGGCTTCCAAATAATGCATTTATTTGTCTTTCAAAGCTCTATGACTTCTGAATTGAACAGAACACATATGGCTTCATTGGGAATTTTACTTGCCTGTGGAGTGATGGAATCCGGTTTTTAGGTAGCTTTTTGTTCTCTCACACTACATGCCAACGAGTTCTCAGAAAAACATCACTAAAGACATTCATTACCCACAAGTAAGGAAAAAAGAAGCCATTTAGTTGTCAACAATGGAAGACTTGCTTACATAAAGACAACAAAATAAAATTTTCTTTGGCTACCTTTGCCTCCCAGATTACAGGTAGAATAATCTGTTGCATGGCAAATGGATGACAGTATTTCTCCACCATGATGTGGTGGAAAGAGTGCTGCAGTTGGAGTCAGAGAACATGGGTTCATATCCCTGCTACTACCCCTGTGACCTTGGACAAGTCACTTCCCCTCTAAGGGACTCTTTTTCCTCATTTTACAAATGAGTCTCTGTCAGCTCCAAAACTATGATCTTCTGAAATATATAACTTATATACAGGTCCCATTTTAAATACACACAAGCTAGGGGTTGTAATGAACTTGAATCACACATAATTGCTATCCTGCTACTACGTCTAATTCTTAGCTTCACTATTTATGCAAGATTTTAGAAATTCCCAACAGGCTACAAAGATGATTATGAAACTAGAAATGTAAGTAACCTTTTATTTAGGACCCACCCACCTTCTCAAATGCCTCCCTACCAGATAGGTCCACCATAGAGGAATTGTAGTGAAGAGTGGAGTAAGTCAGGATGAAGTCACTATCTTCTCAGCTGCTCTTGAGTCAGGTTTTCACAGGGAGGATTCAAATGGTTGGTTTGAAGGGACTTCCCACAGTGCCTTACTCATCATCATCCATTCAAATACCAGCAAAGATTATATTCCAAAGTAAAATATTTGTTTGGGGATGTGTCTCCTCTTTACACTTGCTCATGTCACCATCTGTTTTCCTCTCTTCATTATTATGAATGATCCTGAACAAATGTTTAGAAGACTTCAGTTCAAGACCTGGGTCATCACTAATTAGTCTTTTGAAATTGGGCAAGGCATTTCATATTTCTAGGCCTCTGTTTCCTCATATGTAAAATAAGGTCGGAATAGACTATTGCTAAAGTATCTTCCTCTCCTGATTTCCAATCACTCTTAAATATTCCCTGAATTTTACCTTCCTTATCTGTAAAATGGAGTTGTAATGACTCTAATACTTGCATCACCCACAAAGAGATTAAGTATAATAATATATGTAAAGCACTTTGTTAACTATAAGGCACCACATAGTAATAGCTAGCATTTATATAGCACTTTAAGATTTACAAAGAGCTTGGGGCGGCTAGGTGGTGCAGTGGATAGAGCTCCAGCCTTGGAGTCAGGAGGACCTGAGTTCAAATCAGACCTCAGACACATAACACTTACTAGCTGTGTGACCCTGGGCAAATCAATTAACCCCACTGCCTCATTAAAGGAAAAAAAAAAGATTTACAATGAGCTTTGCTGATATTATCTCATTTTTTTTAGTGAGGCAATTGGGGTTAAGTGACTTACCCCAAATCACACAACTAGTGAATGTTATGTGTCTGAAGCCAGATTTGAACTCAGATCCTCCTGACTCCAGGGCTGGTGCTCTATTCACTGTGCCACCCAGCTGCCCCATCTCATTTGATCTTTACAACAATCCTGGGAAGTAGAGGTTATTATCCCCGTTTTACAGATGAGGAAATAGAGGCAGACAGAGTGTCACACAACTAGGAAGTATCTGAAGTCAATTTTGAACTCAGGTCTTCTGTACGCCATGTCCAATGCTCTATCCACTGCACCACCTTGCTGTTCTAGTGTCAGAGACTATGGTTAGAGAGTGTTTTTTACCTCTACTGAGGGATAAGCAAGAGGAAATGGCCTCAAGGTGAAATATGGGAAGGAGGATTAGTTTAGATGTAAGAGCACTTGTCCTCAGAAGGTTGTGAAATTATACACGGAGCTATGAAGGGCAGATGTAGAATTGCTGCAGCTGATCAATCAAAAAAGGATGTATTACATGTTGCTATGAGCCAGGCACTGTGCTAGCTGGTAGAAATACAGAAACAAAAATGAACTCATTCCTTCCCTCAAGGAACATGACGGGGTAAGAGAAAAATATGAAAACAGAGTTGTTTTTAGGGGAGAGGCATTAGCAGTTGGGAGAAAGCAAGAAAGGCTTTAGGTAGAAGATGTGGCTTCAGCAGAGCTTCGAAGAAAAGAAAGGATTCTAAGAGGAAGAGGTGAGGAGGTGGGACTAGGCATGGAGAACAATCAATGCAAAGCTCTGGAGATGGGAGATCTCCATGTCCCATGTCATGCATGAGGAACAGCAAGAAGGCTAGTTGGTCTTCCCATCTGCCATGCTTCCTGTCTCACCAACTAGAGGACAACCTCTGAGAGAGCAAGGACATGACCTTCAGACTGTCACTTACAACTCCGCACATGGAAAGAACTCGTGACATATTTGTTGAACTTAATTAAATTACACTTGAATGTTATTCTGCAGAATATTCCAGTAAAGAATATTGAAATAGTACATTTTAATTTGATCATCCAGATAATTATCATCCCTATCAATAAGCCAAAAAAAACCCCTATCACCATAAATAGCATCTGTAAGATCTGTAGACACCTAATACTGTGAAGTACTGGAGAATTTTAAATGCCCCCTCCCACAATCTTTGTGTTTAATCTTTCATGTGAATTTTGAAAATACAGAATGTGAGTTATTTGTTTACTTATTTTGGAGTATAGTAGAAAGAGAAACCAAGAAGTAGTGGATAATGATCCTAGCTGCTCTTCTAGTAATTCTGTGATCTTGGATAAGTCACTTTAACTTCTGGGCCTCAGTTTTCTCACCTGTGGAATGAAAATTATTTTTAACTCTAAAATTCTATGAGTCTGTGGTTTCACTTGTGGATGAAGTTGTAAGGAAATATACACCACTATATGTTTTCTGTCATATTTAAAAATGAAAACTGGGTGATGGCTTGTACAAATATATGGAGTCAGGAGATGGAATGCCAAGTTTGTAGTTATGAACAGGTCGGGATGAGGAGAGCAATTCATAAAGAGGAGTAGTAGGAAATACAACTCGAAGGGTGGGTGGGCAACAGATTATGAAGGTCCTTAAATACTAGGGAAGAGCGTAAGGTGACTCCAAGATTATGGACCTAGGTAATATCTTCCACAGAAATAGGCAGGTTTAGAGGCCAGGTTGGTTTGGGGAAAAAAGAGCATTTCTTGTTCTTGAAGATTTCCAGAGAAGGAGATTTCCTTGGTTGTCATTTCATTAAATTATTGGATATCACTTGCTCTCTTGGAGCATGTATGTGCATTTTCCCCCATCTACATCCTATTGTACTGATGTCTTTCCCCTTTATTCTCTGCTCAGTGAGGTCTGGGAAAAGCCCATTAGCATTTTTAACATAATGATTTCAGGTGCCAGTGTAGAAAATCAGAATGGAGGGGGGGGAAAAAAAGAAACGCCTTCAAGGAATAAGTGATCCAATTTCCAAGAAAGAAAGGAAGAGTTTCATTAAAAGCATTCCTACAAATAAGTCATAGTGTCAATCTAGTCAATGAAGGACAGATTCCCTTGCATCTCTCCATTGGCATGTGTACCCAGGCTGTTCAGATAGCTAAAGCATATATTAAGTGTTTATTATCTGCTAGGCTTTGTGAAAATGAAGATACTTATATAAGAAAGTAAGACAGTCTCTATCCTCAAGAAATTTGCATTTAAATAGGGGGAAAATCATGAATAAAAGTGAGGTGAGGAACTGGAAATGGTGGGGCATCAACAGGGTTGGAACCCAGCAAGGTAAGGCCAAAGTTGGCCTCTAAAAGTCCCAGGTAAAGCCTATGCTCTGGTGGAGGGAGAATGGAGGTGATAGTCTCAGTGGAGTTGAATGCAGATGGCACAGCTGGAGATGTCCAGGATGCCCAGTAGAGTTCAGGGGCAGAAACCAAAGTACTTCCAAAAATTAGAGCTGTTTCCACAAGTGAGTAGATTAGATACTTGTGGCCACCCCATAGTTCCTATTGTGGTCCATGTCTGTTCTTAAAATACAAATTCTCCTTCAATTTAAATAATTATTTCCCATGCTTTTAATTTGTGTGTTAAAGAAAAACCAGTATGTTTCTCCTCACTTCATAAATTTACTCACACATTTGCTGGTTCTTCACTTTATGAATTCCTGGCCTGATTTTTAAAATTTCTATAAATCTGTAGGAGAAAATGCACCAGCCTATGGGTCAGGAAATGTGGATTCTATTTCTAGGCTGCCATTAACTTCTTGTATGACCTTGGAGCAAGTCACTTAACCTCAGGACCTCAGGGTCGTCATTTATAAAAACTAGGGCTGGGGTGGGGGGGTAGGGGGGGAGTGTTATATTAGATGAGCTTTTAAATTATATGCTACTAGTATTTACATTTTCCTCTTCCTAGAGAAAATAGTTCCTTTCTCTTAATGGGCCTGAAACCATAGGTTGTTGCTGTTTACAATGTTTTCTTATGGTGTGTGATTTACACTTTTATCCTGCTGTGCCAGTGTGTTTTCAACACCACGAATTGCCTTACATACTGTGGGCCTCTTGTTGTGGCTAAGGATGAGCCAGAAACCTAGCATTTTTAGATAAGACTTGTAAATTACTAGGACAGGGAATGCTGAAAGTCTTTTCCGTGTTTTCCCAAAATAGTGATGCTGAGTTGTCCTTCTGGGCCTTCTCTCCTCTGCAGGTTTTCCAGTTCCCGAGGTGAGCTGGTTTAGGGATGGCCAGGTTCTTTCCGCTGCGACGCTGCCCGGCGTGCAGATCTCTTTTAGCGATGGCCGCGCTAAATTGACGATCCCCGCCGTGACAAAAGACAACAGTGGAAGATATTCCCTGCGAGCCACCAATGGATCTGGACAAGCGACTAGTACTGCTGAACTCCTCGTTACAGGTAGGGTGCTGTCCCAGACCCCAGCCTTCACCGCGGCGTTGCCCCTCATTCTCATCAGAGCGCTCCATGAGCAAGGACTGGAGCCAAATGGAAGGGATTAGTGTAGGGGAGATGCAGAAATTTAGCAAGTGACACAACAGCCAGTTTAGATAGGTTAAAAATAGTTTGTTTGCTTTTGGTAAATTAGAATGCTTACATGGCTTACTTGGTCTCCGAGCCAAGAAGACCTAGGTTGGGGTCCCACCTGTGACGTGTCAAGTATTTACTAAGTGCCTACTATGGTCTAGGCTGTAAAGGCACAAATACAAAGACCTAGACCTCGAAGAACTTGCATTTAAAGAAATGGAGGAATGTATACTGTCTGAGTGACCCTGGTCGGTCCTCAGTACTCTACACAGCTATCAAGCTAGTTTTCCTTGCCTTGCAATTCCCTCTAGCAATGGAATCACAAGTGCTATCTATATCCCCGTAACACAAAAGCTTGGAAATAGACACGTGTTATATTGTGGCTACTCCATACGTATTTGTGCATAATACAAGTGCATTTTGACCTCCTGAAACTAAATTATTAAATATTCATCACAGTGTAAATAGAAAAGAATTGTGATTTAATTCATTTTTTTATCAGCCATATGAAGAAGATAGACTTTCATAAAGTGTTTGCACATTTTGCACTTTGCATGTATTAGCTCAAGGGGATATAATGTGAAAGCACTTTGGAAAAGTTAAAAAGCACCATACAGATGTGAACTATCACTAAACCTCACGCTATTTGTGCAGGGTGTCCAAAAGTATCAGTGCAGCTTCAAGCTATTAGAGCTATTATTAAAGCTACATTAAGCATTTAATATATGTGCATACACACATATATGCAGGGTGTCCCAAAAATCTCCATGCAGTTTTAAGCAAGGCTTATTAAAGCTATATTAAGCTTTATATATGTGTGTATGTGTGTGTATATAAATACACATATATACATATACACACATATGTATAAGTAGATTTGTTTACACGTATATTGCAGGGTGTCCCAAAAGTCTCAGTGCAGCTTTAAACTATTAAAATAAGCTCTTAAAATAGTTTAAAGCTGCACTGAGACTTTTGGGACACCCTGCATATATATGTGTATACAAATCTACTTATACATATTATACATATATATGTGTGTGTGTGTGTGTGTGTGTGTGTGTGTGTGTGTGTGTGTGTGTATTTTGTGTGTATATATAAATATCTCTATACCCCTCTATACGTCTAGGCTACAAAATTTTGAAATTTCTATTTCTGACTACATTACTAAGTTAATAAACAGTTACTAAGCGCCTTCTTTATTCCAGGCACTGTGCTAAGTGCTAGGAATACAAAGAAAGGGAAAAGAGCATTCCTGCCCTCAAGGAGCTCATAATCTAAAGGTTATTATTGCTAAAAACAAAAACAAAAAACATTAAATGTTTTGGCAAAGCTTCATCTTTGACCATGTGTTACCTGTTGAAAAAAAATTATCTCTGGTGCCCTTCATATTTTTATTATATAAGAGGTCAATTTAACCAACAAAGGTCTAACTAAATATTTGCTTTTAATTGGTGCATTTGACATAGTAGTTTCTTATTGCTTATGAATGTTAGTGATGACTTTACAAGGAGGATTTGAAAAGGGCAGGTGACAATGAGTCTTTGACTTCTGCTCAGTCCATTAGAGGAGCACATTACCTCATCTGTTCTATTGCTTCTATAGCAATAGTATATGACAAAAATCCATATATTCTTCAAATACTCAATTACATTTCCAAGAATATGCTTTATTGCCATAGTGGAAAGAACTTCAATTAACAAGGTATAAACCTGAGCAGATGTTCCATTTTACAACACAGAAGTCTTTCTTTCAATGAATAGATGACCATCTTCAAATTTAGGAGAGTTGTCAACTCCTGCTTCTCTTTCAAGCCATTTCAAAATTTATCTCATCTGCCCTCAGAGTAATTTCACAATATTTTAATTTCGTTTAATCTGGCTAGCTGAAAAATGCCCTTCCTATTACCCATTTAGGGCAGCTTAGTAGCACAGTGGATAGCGTACTGACCGTAAAGTCAGGAAAACTAATCTTTGTGAGTTCAAATTTGACCTCAGATACTTGCTAACTGTGTCATCCTGGGCAAGTCACTTAACTCAGTTTCCTCATCTGTAAAATGAGCTGGAGAGGGAAATGGCAAACCACTCCAGTATCTTTGTCAAGAAAAGCCCAAACAGGGTCATGAAGAGTGGAATCTGACTGAAAATGACTGAATAGCAACAAAAGCATAAAATTAACAAATACATACATTTGTATATGTGTATACATACATATACATACAAGTACATATGTGTATATATATATTACAATTCAGACTGAGAGTTTAAAAGCAGGTAAACATTTGCATTATTTGAAGAGATACAGAATAATCAAGTGGAAGATGCCACAAATATGTATATTTTTACATGAACCTAATTTAAAAGTAATATTTAAATATTTAATAAAGCAAAAGTAAGAAGAAGCAATGTGACGGAGGGCTGGCCTCAAAGTCAAAACTTTAGGTTCTTAGCATGCCTCTGACACTTATTGGCTGGATGACTCTGGCCAAGTCACTTATCCTCTCCCCGCTCTAGGCAACTCTAAGACTATAAATTGCAGAGATGGTATTGATCCTGCATTGGCAAGGGGAAATTCCTCACCTGGGAGTTACCTATACCAGTGAAATCACAGATTCAGTTCCTGTCCCTATTTAAGTAAAATACAGACACGTCCAAAACACTAATGTCAAAGTGATATTTTTTCCCAAAGATATCTTCTGATATGTGGAGAACACCTTTTAAAGTAACTTAAAAAACATATCAAGCTGCATTTAAATGTTCATGCTAGAACTAGAAGTGAGCTTGGAAAAGAAGGTTCCATGCTGATAAGTCTTATAAAACTCAATGTGGCAATATTGAACAGTCCGGATCAGGAAGCCCCCACGGTGATATTTGTATGCTTCCTAGAACAGTCTTTGCTACCATCTACTATGTACATTAGGCTCAAATACAGTGTAAAGGATGCTTAAATCAGCAATTCATCTACAGGTTTGGAGACAGTGCATTCTTAAACCATCAAGATAATAAGAGTTAACAATAGTAATAGCTAGCATTTATTAAGCACTTACTATGTTCCAGGCACTCTGCTAAGCACTTTATGGTTATTTTCTCATTTGATACTTACAAGAGCCCTGGGAGGTAGGTGCTCTTATGATCCCCATTTTACAGATGAGGGAACTGAGGAAAACAGAATTTAAGTGACTTGCCCAAGACCACACAGCTAGTAAGCATCTGAGATTTGAACTTAAGTCTTTCTGTCGCTTTACCCATTACACCACCTGGTGGCGCTCTCTCTCTCTCTCTCTCTCTCTCTCTCTCTCTCTCTCTCTCTCTCTCTCTCTCTCTCTCTCTCTCTCTCTCTCTCTCTCTCTCTCTCTCTTTCTCCCTCTCTCTCTCTCTCCCTATATATGTATATGTATGTATATGCATATATACATATATATGTATATATCTGTGTGTGTATGTGTGTGTATATATACATATGTGTGTGTGTATATATACATATATGTGTGTGTATATGTATACATATATACGTATATATATACATATATACATATATATACGTATATATATGTATATATATACATATATATACATATATATATATGTATATGAAAATGGCTCTAGATGGCTGTTTCTGCAGTTAGTATGTTGGGGCATTGCTGTAGAGAACTGCTGTAGGACTGATTTCAATTTCCCTTCCTTCCCTCCCTTGTCCAAATTGTAGCAGAAACAGCGCCCCCCAACTTCGTACAAAGACTACAGAGCATGACCGTGAGACAAGGAAGCCAAGTCCGCCTGGAAGTTAGAGTGACTGGAATCCCTACACCTGTGGTGAAGTTCTATCGGGACGGAGCAGAAATCCAAAGCTCCTTTGATTTTCAGATTTCACAAGAAGGCAACCTCTACAGCTTATTAATTGCAGAAGCTTATCCCGAAGACTCTGGAACCTATTCAGTAAATGCTACAAATAGTGTTGGAAGAGCTACTTCAACTGCAGAATTACTGGTTCAAGGTAACAAATTTGAGGTCCTGGTACCTGGATCCTCCATGATTTCCTCTTTATGTCTCCATGTTCATATATTCTCCATGTCGCTGGTCATGATCAACAATAAGAATGGATAGGAAGAGGGGCAAAGAATAAGATTCAGTTGCTTAAGAAGATTCAAAACCAATGACAATGTTTTGTGGGGGATGATTTTAGAGATCCTGTTAGATAATACAGTGCTATACATTAGTGCAGACTGATCAAGTGAAGACAGAGGAGGTCTTTGGCTCAGAAGAGAGCTATAAAATCATCACCAGGTAGAAATTCTAACTTCCAAGGGAAAGACCCTAGGATGTAGGTGTGCCAGAATTGGATGCTGTGGAAGTAATTTGGGAGTGGGAGGATATGGTGCCAACACAAATGAAAAGGAATTTGGAGGCAGCCATTTGAATTCTCAAGCCAGTATAGTCTTGTTTAGACAACTGATGGACTTATTTTAGAGGCTGAGTTGTTTTTAATAGCTCTTTGTGCAGTCTTGTATAACAAATATGTTTTCAGTTTACTGACCTAATTAATATTTATGTGAAATACAAGCCTTTCCACATTTTTCAGCTATTTAAACAACCATAGAATTGGATTGATTTTTCTTGTAGCCAGTGTTTATGTACTTCCTAAAATAGGCTGGGCTGTTGTTCATCCTTCTGAACATTCGTCTTCTCCTTCCTACAGGCGAAGAAGTAATACCCGCTAAAAAGACAAAAACAATTGTTTCGACTGCTCAGATTTCCCAAACAAGACAAACTCGAATTGAAAAGGTATTTTCCCCCACCCTCTTGCTAGTTCCCCAGTAATTCAGCTTGCTGTTCTAATCAGTGGCTCTTCTGCTCCTCCTCATTATTATCACTGTAATCCTTTACAGAAAATTGAAGCCCACTTTGATGCCAGATCAATTGCGTCTGTTGAAATGGTCATAGATGGTGCCACTGGACAACAGCTGCCCCACAAAACACCTCCAAGGATACCTCCTAAGCCTAAGTCAAGATCTCCAACTCCACCGTCCATTGCTGCAAAAGTTCAGCTGAGCCGCCAGCAGTCTCCATCCCCAGTTAGACAGTCACCATCTCCCGTCAGACATGTTCGGGCACCAACCCCATCTCCTGTCAGGTAAAGGAAGCCTTGTTAAGTGCACTGGCTCTACTGCATTAGGCTACAACCAATATGTTGCCAAAGAAATGATGGAGAAAACAACTGAAAACGTAGTACATGGTGGGGGGAAATAATGATATAACTAACATTTTTCACATTTGGAACATCCTTCACAAAATGTGCAAGAGGCAAGTTTCATGAAATTCTCCCCAAGGCAAATAGTAGAAAAAACATTCTCAAGTGAACTTTTTAAGAAAAATCCAGTTGGGAAAGAGAGAGACCCTTGGACACTGATCCACACAGGTGACACCTCAGAACATATGGAGATAGAGCATTTTTATTTGGTGGGGGGAAAAGAAAAATCTGGGATACTATAACTGGGGAGAGGAAACACACACACACATACACAATCTATTGGCTTCCTGTATTAACTAATTATTCTTGCTAACTAGAAATTAAACTCAGTAAGTTCTGTTGAAGGAATATAAGTGCTACTTTACTCTATAAATTTTGGTGTTGTAGGGAAAATCCCTGGCTGTGTCCCCAGCTCTGGAGAAACTACATATATGATTTCATTACTATATGGAGTTCCCAGTAAGGAAACTCCATCTACCAATTCAGATCATCAAGCCTCTTGCAATTTATAACCTTTGAGAGTTGCCTGTGGACAATGACACAGTGTGACTTGCTCGGGGTAACACAGCCAATATGTGACAGAAATAGCCCTAGCGCAAGGTTGTCTTGCCTCCAAAATCAAGCCTTCTCTCCATTCTCCCATGCTGTCTCTGTCATTTGCATTTGGAAAGAACACTAGCTTCTAATCATGTAACCTGGAGCTAATCATGTAGTCAGTCACTTAGCTCCTCCATTTTTTCATATGAAAAATGATAGATTTAGCTTAGATGATCTTTAAGGTTCTTAATAGCTCTGATGTCCTATGTTTCTTCCAAAATATCCCATTGGTTCATTTGGGGGAATTTTTTAAAGGGTGGAAATTCATTACATTCAGAAATTTGTTATGGAAGCTGATATAAATGGCAAACTACTCCAATTTACCAAGAAAACCCCAAATGGGATCATGGCGAGTCTGACACAACTGAAAACAATTGAATAAAAACAATCACATAAACCCTACGAGAAGCAGCATGGAGGAGAGGATGGAGATCTGAACACAAAAGCAAGAAGATGGGTTTAAATCCTACCTATAACCTTTTGGCTAGGCAAAGCTGGGGAAGCTATTTAAACTTTCTGTGCCACAGGCAACTCTTTACAACTATAAACATTTTTTTTAATGAAAGAGTTCCCATATCAATGAAATCTCGGGTCTGGTGCCTATCTCTATCTCTGTAAATAGTCAATATGGGAATTGAAGCTAATGGGCTTAGGTAATTTGACTAGTTTTCAAAGACCCTGTAAAACTACAGAATGTAGAATAAAAAATGAAAGTTTTCTTGATAGGTTTTTAAATTGTAAAGGAGGAAAATAGATGAAAATTATACCTGGCAATAGAGGTGTGTGGGAAATACTGTGCTACTGTTTCGTCTTTTCTTTTTTGACATTATCTTATATGCCACCTTTCATATGAAATAGAAAATTCAGCAAAGAAAGAAAAGCAGCAAGCTCATAGCAGAGAATAAACTGAGATGTATTCTCCCTCCTACTCCCATCTTAGAGCACAGAAGAAGTCGTGTCTTGGTTGCCCTACAATGGTCAGGATGTCATAGGGATGCTTCTGTTGGAAACTCAAGCCCAAATCCATCCTGATTTTCACCTGAAATTCTAGGTGAATCTCATCCTGAATCCAAGTTTGTCTACCATCAAATTATAGTCCTAATAGCACACAATTTCCTGGCTGTCAGAGCACAATGGTATTGAGGTACACTGATCCCCACAATCCCTTGGACCAACACTGGGAGTTCATAAGTGAACATTCAAATGATTGGCCAAGAATTTTCTATTCAAACATGAATCAGAAAATATGCCAATTTAGAAGAAGAAAAGTGGTCACCCAGGAATTGAAAGGTCTGTTTAGTTTCATTATGTTTTTGTTTGCAGAGAAAGGCAAATATATTGCATTGACTAAGGCCCATAGTATCCAGCTGTGACTGGGGATTTTTTATTGTAGCAACAAAAATGAGCACTTCTCTCTAATGAATTAAATTACATTGATTTTCACAGTTATTGGCCCACCTGAAGCCTGTTGCTAATCACTTGTATGGGTGTGGGGGTGTGGGTGGTAGGGATTTGATTGGAGAACCTTCCTGTGTTGTTCTGGTCTTTAATGTTTTCCTGAGTCAGTCTACTTTGACCCAATACAGTAAGAGCACTGAATCAAAGGTCACATCATTGAAATGCTCACCTTCAATCAGGTGACCAATCTAGAGCTGGAAGGGACCTTAGAGGTCATCTAGTCTAACCCCTTCATTATACAGATGAGGACATTGAAGCCCAAAGAGGTAACATAATTTGCCCAAGGTCATGTAGAGAGTAAGAGGAGAGTCAGGATTTGAACCCAGATCTTTTGATAACAAATCTAGAACTTGTTCCACTGTACCAAGTGGGCCTAAAGTGCTCCTCACTGCCCTTTGTTGTTGTGGTGGTGGTGGTGGTTTTTCTTTTTTTAACATGCACCCATTCATAAAGCAGAGATTTGTTTCCTCTAAGTATCTCTTAAGTTTGATTACAACTTCATTTATTAAAAAAAAGAATTGATTTTCCACAGAAGAGCCCTTTAAAGACAAAGCGATTAAGTATCTCCCCCACTAAACTGCAGTAAATGTTGCAACTTATTGTTAATTTCCATTTTAATTTAGTAGCAAATAGCAACTGTACCTTGAGCACTAATTGGAATAAAATGCTGTTGTATTTATGAGCAGTTTAAGTTAAATACTCTATGCAGGGATTGGTAGCTGCCAGGGTAAATTTATAAACATTTATCTCTATGCATATTTTGCAAAGAGCTGTTATAACAAGGCAACACTGCCACCTGGAGTGTCAATTACAGTAAAGCCTCAATCAGACCAGAATTCAATAAATTATTAAAAATCATTTACCACCTGAAAGCTGGTTAGAGAATTGCCCCCAGACTATAGTTCCAGATTGGTAAGAAACACCAATGGTTGTAGCAATATTTTGCCAATGAATCCTACAATCCATCCTCTTAGTTGGACTCCACTTCTGGGCCCTCAGGAACTCTGGTTTACATTCCAGTCCATTATGTAGGAAGACAACTTAATTAAAACCATAGTTTATGACAACACTAAAGATGTAACCGAGAAATATACAAGCCTTAGGTTCTGTACTAACCCTTTTTCATAGTAATTTAGAAGACTATTTTCAAAAAGGCTAGAAATACAGTAAGGTTAGAGAGGGCAATAAAGTAAATTCAGCTAAAACTAAGAAGGACTGACAAGAGAGGACAATAAATGAGCAGTTAGAGTATTGTGAAGTACATTAGCAGTTATCCCATTGATGAATTAAGAGACCAAAGGGGAGAAACAAAGAAAGACAGAGACAGAGAGGAGATGGGGGGGAGAGACAGACAGACAGAGAGACAGACAAAGAGAGACAGAGAGAATGAGAGAGAAAGAGTGAAAGAGAGAGAGAGAGAGGCATAAGTGCCAGGAAGAAATGAGTTCCAGACCTGCCTCTGTGTGCTCCTGGACAAGTAATCTCCCAATGCTATGGGCAACTCTCTGAGATTATGAATTACAAAGAAAATGTCCACCTGTGTTGACAGAAGGGTGTCTCCTCATCTAGGAGTTCCCTAAATCAGTAAATCATAGATTTAGCCCCTTAATGCATAGAATACAATATGTGCATATATGTACACACATGTTTCATTTTTTACATTTGATTTACATGTGCACTATCATTTGACTGGGCTTTTGAAGAAAGTATCCTTTATCCATCTTGATTTACCTATTGTGAGGGATGGATGAAGATGCTAAAAAGGTTCTAACACATGGGACAAATTCTTTCATGGGGTCTGATATATTTCTCTCTTGAGGCTACATCACAGAAGAAAAAGATTTACTAAGACATGAGTCAAAGACTTTGAATCACTTTATTTTTGGTCTATGGGATAATTGAAATGGGTTAATGAGACATTTAAAAAGATACAGATCAAAGCAGCTTCAGCTCTTCCTCCTAGAAATCAAACCCTATGATCTGTAGGGGAATTTTTATGAGTTGGTCTGTATTGATGCCATCTACCTTTTCATTCACCAGGTCTGTGTCTCCAGCTGGAAGGATTTCCACATCACCCATTAGACCTGTGAAGTCCCCATTACTGATGCGGAAGACACAGACCACCATAGCTACTGGTCCTGAGGTGCCTCCCCCTTGGAAGCAAGAGGGCTATGTAGCTACCTCCGAATCACAAATGAGGGAAACCACAGTGACAAGTTCAACACAGATTAGAACTGAAGAAAGATGGGAAGGCAAATATGGTATCCAAGAGCAAGTGACCATCAGTGGAGCTGCCGGGGCTGAAGTCAGTGCTGCAAGTGCAGCCTTTGCTGCTGGAGTTGCAGCCACTGGTGCTAAAGAGGTAAGGAAAGAGTTTAAGGTAGAGCAAGTTTCTTTTGTGGGTTAGTCATTGTCCTTGAACACTCTGAAGATTAGTACCAGATTTTATTGCAAATATTTAGGCTGAAGAGGTTGGGGGTTAGACGTCATCAATCATATAAAGATGCATTTGTCTTTAAAAAATGGATGAGAATAATGAAAGACTTAATGTGATTCAAACTTGATAGGAGCATCAATTAATTGTGAGTGTAAATTCTTGAAAGTGGATGCTATTAAACTGGAATGTTTTGATTTCACAAGTCAGTAAGTAGCATCTGAGTACTTGAATGATCCTTACATGTGTCTTTCTCTTGACCATTTCTGTCCATTGTGTCCCAGTCTTTGCCACCTAAGAAAATAACATCACCTGGTGTCCCTCCCTCAGGTGAGACAAGAAGCCGACAAGAGCGCAGCTGTTGCGACCGTTGTTGCCGCAGTTGATATGGCCAGAGTGAGAGAACCAGTAACGAGTGCTGTAGAACAGACTGCAATGAGGACAACCACGACTGCAGTGCATGTACAACCTGTTCAAGAGCAGGTACGGGAGACGCGCTGATGTCGGCTGCCCTTCCTCTTCCTGTCACCGTGTCCTTTTCCTTATGTTAGATGGAACATGATGATTTGGCCCTTCCTAGGTCATACTGGAACTATACCGTTCCAACAGGAAGAAACCCCCTCAATAAATCCTCGTTGGATTGATGAATGAATATAGACTAATTTATTTTAAAATTTTTTATCTCCTTTGTTTTTCTATCACCTTCATGTCCAGATACATCTCTCCCCTCTTTTACTGCCAAAGAGGCATAGCTTGTAATAAAAACAAAACAAAAAAAGAGAGAGAGAGAGAGAGAGAGAGAGAGAGAGAGAGAGAGAGAGAGAGAGAGAGAGAGGAAAAAAAATTCAAAGAAGCTAACCACACCAGCCAATTCCAACGTTATATTCTGTGCTTCTCATGCATAGTTCCGCACCTCTGGAAAGAAGGGAGGGTGGTACATTTCCGTATTTCTCCTTAGGAACCAAGTTTGGTCATTATACTTAGTGTGGACCCATTCTAAAGGGATTACTGACTCCCCTTTACATAACTTTTAAATAACTGTTTAAAAGACACAGGCAGGGCCTGCAACATTGGAGTTTGGGTTATGATGAGATAAAGGCAGCTAGAAAGGGTGCTGGCCAGGAATCCAGCTCAAAAGAAAGGTCCTGACAGGTACCCATGGTCAGGAAGGTAAGAGGTCAACAAGAAGAACAAAGAGAATTGGGGAGATTTAATGAATATATTACAGAAGGGGAGGAAGATATAATCCTCTTCATGGAAGTTAATTAAGCCCAGAAGGAAGCGATAAGCTGATCCTGTGAAGTCAAGTCCAGGATGCCAGCCAAGGAAGAAGTTGTCCATATTTAGCATAGCTCTAAGCAGAATGGTTCAGAGCCCAGGGGAGGTCAGAGAGCTAGCCCAAACAGTACAAGTCACAGGATTGCTAAACCATTATTCTCAGGCAAAAGCTGTTTTCACGCAATCTGTTTATACTACTACCTGATGTGTGGAGGTGACCTTGAGTGTATAGATGTTGATACTAGTCTGAAGGAAGTCTGGCTTCCTGCAAGCCTGCAGCTCAATCCTGTCTGTAACTGAGATAGGACAGGACCTCCACCTGAGTCAGAAACAGATATGATAGTGTTACTCCAGGGGATTGGATTATCTCTCAAAGCATATGCTGGTATGGGGACTCTGTCTGTTTTGGATTATTCCAAGTAGGAGGAGACAGTAGCCATGAGACCGGGGGCATTGGTTAGTTCAGGAAACTCAACCTTAGTGGCCTGGCATCATGAGAATTTTCCTAGCCTGCTTTATATAGTTATTAGGAGATAGATTTCTTTTTGAAAGGAGGTCTACCATCAATAGGATGTAAGTTTTGCATAGTTTGCACAATAGTTATCACTCTCTACCTTTTTTTTTTTTTACTCTCTACTTGCATTTGCAAAGTTGCTGTTAGGGAAGGAACTATAGTCTGTGGACACAAAGCACATGTCACATGTGCTAACTTGCCCTGGCCCACTGAACACTTGAACCTTGGCCCCATATCTGGAGGTATTCCAGACTCTTACTACATGAACTATATCTCAAAAACTGAGAGTTGGAAGTGCGCTTGGAGGCCATGTAGTCCAACATACACCTGAATGAGAATTTCCCTATGAGTGAGTGTCCTACCTTTGCTTGAGGACCTCTAATACAGGAGAACCTATCACATCCAGGCAACTCATTGCAATTTTAGGTAAATCTAATTGTTAGGAAGGTTTCCTGACCTTGAGGCTAAATTTGCCTATTTGTGACATCTTCCCGTTGTTTCTAAGTCTCTAGAGAGTCATCTAATTCATTCTTTTGCAATGATGTTTCCTTGAGGAGAATCATCACCATGGACTTTAAAAACTTGAAGTCATCACAGATTATCCAATCCTAGCTCTTTATTTATTTGACAGAGTAGGAAGCTAAGGTCTAGGCAGGATATCTACTGCCTTGGTCAGTGGTCTATTCCAAGTTAACAACAGAGCCAGGGCAGGAGTTGGGTCCTTCACCTTGAAATTATCCTGCACTCCAAGCAGGTATTAATGGAAACTTGCTTACTAGACCAAAATTCATCCTACAAGTCCAGAGTCATTTCCCTTCCCATTTAGTTACTATTGTACTTCAAAACTTCTCTACTTTTTCTTTTTTTCTCTCATCTCTCATCTATTTCTGGCATTTTGTGATATTTATGGTTTTTGTACGATATATGATAAGGACTTTTTAGATGAAGGTGAATTAAAGAATTCCTTCCCTTTTTCTCTATGAAAATTAGACAAGAAAAGAAGCAAAGACTGCTACAACCAAGGTAGTAGTTGCTACTGATAAAGCCAAGGAACAGGAATTAAAATTGAAAACCAGAGAAGAAATTACTACCAAGAAAGAACAAATACACATAACTCAAGAAAAGGTGAATATCATGATTTCATAGGTGAAGTACACTGCTGATGCCTGTTGTGTATGTATGTCAATGTTATAGTTTGTTGTCAAATTGAAAAGAAACATTCTGATTAGATTGAGGGCGGGGACTATCTTTTGCCCCTTTTTATATCCCCAGTACTTAGTCCCATTACCTGGCATATGGTGGTTTTTGTGGTTGTTGTTCAGTTGTGTCTTCCTCTCTGTGACCCCATTTGGGGATTTTTCGGCAAAGATACTGGAGCAGTTTGCCATTTCCTTCTCCACCTAATTTTACATATGAGGAAACTAAGGAAAATTGGGTTAAGTGACTTGCCCAGAGTCACACAGCTAGGAAGTGTCTGAGACTGGATTTGAATTCATGAAGATGAGTCTTCCTGACTCCAGGTCCGGCATTATATGGTAATTGGGTCCAGCTCACTGCAAAAATTCTCTGTGAATTTGAATAATGCAACCACTTTAGGGAATTCATTGTTCACACTAATCAAGACCTATGTGAATACCATGTTCTGCTGTATAATGATAACTTGTATAGAAAAAAAAACCTTTTAAAAAACTAAGTATTTTTATTTTTCAAAGGCATTGATTCAGTGCTGGATGCTTTATTTCTTTATTTCTTTATCCAAGCCTAGCTGTCTTAGGACATTAAGAATAGGAATGTCAGAACTACATTAACCAGTACTATGTGTTACTTTAATTCAATGTACAGACCTACAAAAAGATTTGGCCTCCTTTCCCACATTGCTGTTTAATAAAAATCATGTTATTTTTATTTAAGAAACAGAGAAAATAAGATCTCTTTTATTATTTAAAAACAGATGAGAAAAGAAACCGAGAAAGCCTTTGTACCGAAGGTAGTAATTACCGCTGCTAAAGCTAAAGAACAAGAAACTAAAACTGCTGAAGGAATAAGACAGCAACAAGTACAAGTAACTCAAGAGACGGTAAGTCTTGTTCTCCAAAGAAATTGTAGTTCATGGGCAAACACCACATCCTTCCAACAAATAGAATATATTCAAGCACATCAGTGCCCTCATCATCACTATTGTCATTCTTGCTCCACCCTCCCAAAGTTGCTGAGATGACCAAATGAGTCAATCTACATGAAGTGCTTTCTAAGTGCTAAAGTGACTTAGAAATGCTAGCTGCTACTAAATTGTGTTGACTCACTATTTAGAGAAACAGTGACTTTCAGTTCTAAAAACTCTCCGATCCCATGAACCAAGGATTTGCCACACTAACACTAAATATGTTACAAAACTGGAAACAGCCTTCATTTTCCCCTTATCTCTTTTCACTTCATACACTAAATTCAAGGTTTAATTTTAAGGAAAAAAAAAAGGTATAGATTTTTATCCCCTATTTCTAGGCTGTGTTTCTTATCACCTATGTGTTATCCATTCCCAGCATTGATTCTGTGCTTCTCTTCTTAATACTGGACCTCAATTGATTTTTAAAAGGTTCCATAAGTTAAAACTTGTCCTGTGTGTGGGAACCTAACTAAATTACGCTGTTTCCTTGTTATCTAAGTCAATGGAAGACTGCTTTCAGCAAAAGTCCTAGTTGTCACCCACCAAAAGAAGCTGTGGTTGCCATTTTCCTGATGACAATCAATCTGAAGCTTCCACTATGATGGTGACCACTACTCAGGAGCCCAAATCTGGGTGGCGTCCAGAGTGCCAGGAGTTGATAACATCAGCACAACCTACCCCATAGGGTTGTTGGTAGTGAACAGTGGCTACATAATCATGATTTTAGAAGAGTCCTAAAAACCAAAGGTATCCATATTTAGCTGAAGCTTTCTCACTAGGAATTGCAAGCTGATCCAACCTAGCTTGGGCTTTGGGAAGGGGTAAGAGAGGGGAGTGTTGAGTTTTCCTCCCTCTGTCCTCTATCCATTCTCTTTTTTCACTTATTCTGTACTGGCATCGTGACATTTTATCTGGGGCACATGAACTTCAACTTTTGATTTCACTCAAATAATCAGATGAGGAAGGAAGCCGAGAGCACTGCAGTAGCTATGGTGGTAGCTGCCTCTGACAAACTTGAAGAACAAGAAACAGTGCTGAGAGCTAGAGAAGAGCTTGTCTCAATACAAGAACAAATGCATATAACTCATGGAGAGGTGAATACTGCTATATCCAAGGATGTGAAATTCATGGTGGCATGGTTCTATATGCAAACTTTTTACATGTTCATCACCTGTCTTCAACATTACTTTTCCCCCCTGGATCAAAAACTTTCTAAGTCACACCTTCCCCCTTGCTCATGTTCACGTCCATTTTCCATTTCTTAACATCACCGTTTCATTTTGAGTGATTACTAACACTTTATCACAAGTTGAATTTTTAAAATCTTCCTATTGAAGTAGATGACATCCAAGACTGTAAGAAATAAAAGGCCAGAAATATTTCTTATTGTCATTCTGTTGGAATAATTCCATTGAATAAAAGCCAATCTATATGAAATTGATGGGGTTGCATTTTAAAATCTTTAAAGAAATTGTGAGTGTTACCTGAGACATTGTAGATTCCACTGGATCCATAAGCTTTCAATAGATATGCCACTGCATATAAAGTGGATGATCCAAGCAATTTTGTTGCAGTGAGATCCTATTGAAATGCTCACACAGAGATGTCCTTGAATAGGAAGAAATTTCATCATCTTTTTCATAACCTTTCACTCATTTTCCTCATGTTGCTTTTGTCAGAGACAACATGGGATTAACTCTTTCCCTATCCCCCCTCTTTTTTACTTTAATATTTAGATGAGAAAAGAAACTAGGAAAACAGTGGTACCTAAAGTCATAGTTGCCACTCCTAAAGTCAAAGAACAAGAAACAATATCAAGAACTAGAGAAGAAATCGCTACTAAGCAGGAACAATTACACATAACACAAGAAAAGGTGAACACAAACATTCTGAATGTGAAATTAACTCTTACAACTTACTCTTCTAGCAAACCCATTATTTACTCAAGAATATAAGAATTAATCTGTATTTTCCTTTCTGAAACCAAAGCTAAAATGGTTTAAAAATTTGAACAACTATCATTACTTTCTCTGCATATTTGATCTTCATTCAACATTAACCTGCTTACCATTATTTCTTTCATCAATATCTTTAGCCATTTGCATGAAGGCTAAGATTTTTGAATACAACTTAAAATCTGTTTTTATACATTATAATACAAAGATTTTTTATTTACTTATACCTAATATCTTAAGTATTGTGATTCCCAATAATTATGATAATTTTCTACCTTCATAAGTGGAAGTTAGTCACTCCTTCCTAAGTAACCCTACATCCCTGCATCTTGCATTATTACTTCTGAAATTATGCCATGTTTGTTTGGGACCATATGGAGCTCAAATCTTTATTTTACTATAATAATCAGATGAGGAAGGAAGCTGAGAAACTTGCTCATTCTACAATAGCAATTGCAGCTGCTAAAGCCAAAGCTCAAGAAACTACACTGAGAAGTAGAGAAGGAATGGCCGTCAGACATGAACAATTTCATGTTACTCATGAAAAGGTGATGATAACTGTCATAGGTGTGAAATTTCCTGTTCTTAACACTTCATTGCCAATCATTATAAAAAAGAACTATTAACATCCTTTCTTTTTGACACGTTTAATTTTTCAGCAACTACTGAACCAGGATATTTGTCCGTTGTTAATATTACTACGTATTACTCTTCCTTCCTAATTTATCATTCATTCCCACTTTCCATGATTAACATGTCTTCCAGCGATAGAAATTATCTCTTTGCATGCAGATTGATTTCAAGAGAATCTTTCCAAATAAAACATGCTGATATAAATCAGTGATGAATCAGTGGGCACATCCACTTTTTGTAAAATGGATTTGTGTTTTGTATGTATGTATGTGTGTGTGCACCATGAATCCCAGATATTGCCTCATACCAAGCACAATAAGTCAATTTAATTTTCTCTTTATGTTTCTACATTTGTGTTTAATCTAGTTACAAGTATTTTTCTTTATAATCCTATGAACCATTCATCTTTATCTTTACTGTAAAAATCAGATGAGAAAAGAAGCTGAGAAAACCACAGCACCTACTGTTGTAGTTGCTACCACTAAATCCAAACAGGATGCAATATCAAGAACTAGAGAAGGAATTTCTACCCAACAAGAACAAGTACACATAACCCATGAAAAGGTGACTATAGCTGTTTGCACATGTGAGACCTTCCTCCCTTAATCTCTTCCTTTCAGAACCATATTTCACTCTAAACCACAATAAATTTCTCTTAACATTCCATTTCCTCCCTTCATAATAATCTATTCTTTTGAAACTTATCAGTGAAATTTGAGATTAACTTCTCCATTTCTGTTGGTATTTTCCTCACATATTTACTGTTTTCTTTCATTAATATGCACCTTACTCTCTGTCTTAGTGACTTTTTTCTACAATTACTTTTCTAATAGAAACTTGTTTTTAAAAGAATATCATTCCATAGATATAGCATTCTGTGCCAAACCACACACCTTATGCATGACAGTCATTCTGATGGGACATTTCACATGGGCAAACTATTCGTAAAATTAATTCCTATGAACCTTGAAAAGAGCCACGTAAAAATAACTGTTTCATTTTTGTCATAAAATTAGCTAACAATGGATGCTGAGAGGATTTCTTTACCAAAAGTAGTAATTACTACCGTCAAAGGCACAGGGTCAAATATAATATCAAGGACTAGAGAAGGATTTGCTGCTCAAGAACAATTCCATCTTTTTCATGATGAGGTGAAAACCAATGCTATGGTAGTGTGAAGCATTGTTTCATCATACTTCATCAGCCATCAGTACAATCCATTCAGTCTTGTCTGTGTCTGCTTGATCTATCTGATTGCTTAGTTACCCAACACAAATTCTAGGTATGATTAAACCCAGTAAAGTCTCCAGCTGGCAGACACTTGGCTTTCTCTGGTGAAAAGTCAGTTTGCGTCGCTTTTTCTTTGTGTCCACTAAATGAATTCACAACATTTCTTATGTGTGAACTGCAGTCTGCTTTGAATAGTTCTCTCACTTCAAAACCATCTTTTAATTTCAAATTTTTCTTCTGCTTGTCTGAGTTAAAAAAAAATCTATAAAGTGGGAGATAAGAGAAGAATAGAGGAGTAGATAGGTAGCCAGCCCTGAAATCAGGAAGATATGTGTTCAAGTCCTTCTTCTGACAAATAATAGCCATATGCATGGACTGGTTATTTAGCCTCTCAATGCCCCAGGCAAATTTATAAAAATGATAAATTATAAAAAGGCTGTTGATCCAAGCTCTTTGTAAATATTGTTTCATCCTTTGTATTTGTATCCCCAGTGCCTGGCACAGTGCCAGATGCATAGCAGACACTTAATAAATACTTAATTGTTATTAAATGATTGATTCATCAATTGGTCAAGGCATTTCCATACTGGTATTTTCTCATATCGATGAAATAATGGTTTAAGCCCTCCTCCCCCAAATTGTGATAAAAGTACCTGCTCTACCTATCTCACTGGGTTGTTGTTAGGATGAAATGAAAAAGAAAACAAAATAGTTTGAATACTGTAAAGTGCTATATAAATATAAAACATAAGAATAGTCATTGAGATTATTTAATAAAAAGTTTCATGTGTCAATCAAGTCTGTAGCCTAAAAAGCAATAAATAAAGGAACCAAGTCATAGACATTTTTCTTTTAAGATACAAATTTGAAATGAGGGAACTAGTTGCCATTCTCTGAGACAGGTTAGATATTGTTTCAGGGAAGAAAATTAAAGCCCTCATATTTATTTACATTTTAAATTGTTGAGAGTGTTATTTTTAAATAAATGAAGATAGCACATTTGAAAACTCAGTAATCCACACCTTCTATATTACAGTGAAACAAAATTATTTTGTTGGAACACCCCATAATACTTACTACATTGCATTGGATAAGCATAATTATATCCCTGCATCCAGTACTTACTTGTGTCAGGCATGGTCAAACGTCAATGTTCAGGTCAACGTCTGGCACTGCAAACACTAAATTTTAAAAAATCGAAATGTAGTACACGGACCATTTTTCATCAAGTGCTCTTATCCTTTTGGACCCCTCTGAAACCAAAGGACCCTTTCTCAGAATACAGTTTTTAAATGCATAAAAGGAAATGAATAGGATTACCAAGGAAACCGATTATTTTAAAAATACAGATATCAAAATACTTATAAAAATAAATTCAAAGACTACAGGTTTAAAAACTCCTAGTTTAAAAGATTTTTTTTAAAGAGCATCCTCTCTACAAGGTGTTTCTCCATCCATAGCCCCCTTCAGAAATGAGAAAATAACCACAAATGCCATTTCTACCTGTGCTATTGACTAACACTGAGCTCTGAATCCTGATAATGGTGAAATGGAAGTGGCCATCAGTGGGAAAGGAAATGTTTTTTTCTCTCCACATGAAAACATTTCCCTTTACATTGCAGTACTTTCATTGGTGAAGAATACCAATTTTCCTTGGTGTTCTTTGATAGAGATATCCTAACATCTGAAGGGTTTTCCCTCATGAGGAATCACAAACGTATTCATGCATTCAATGAGCATTCATGAGCCATCATGTTATCTAATATTTGCATGCAAAACACACATCTCTTTATTGACTCTGGCTCCTCTGAACATGAAGATATCACTGTTTGTGAGAGTGTGTTTTTATGAATGTGGTGACTCTGTTCACACAAGACCAAATGTTCCATGTAGGATAATAATCAGAATCTCAATGCAAACAAATTCCACAAGAAACTGAGGTCCAGAGATTATATTATGTGGGGCTGGGGACTAGGAAGGGAAATATTATGTGTCTGTGTTGTCCAACTTACTCACAATCTTTAATCTTCCCAAAATTGTCTGGACACATCTTCTTTTGTCCCATTCTTCTGCTTCTAATTTTATGTATTTCATTGTTTCACGTGATTAAAGCATTTGCATGTTGAGTGTATCTAAATATATATGATAATTAAGGAAATAATAAGTGAGAAAAATACATTACTAAGTGTGTACATTTTATGTAATGTAAGTGAATTGTCTGCCTCTTAATGTCATCTGTAGAATAGGAAGATGTGTGTATGTGCCCGTTTGTATTTCTTTTGACCGGTATACCAGGAAGAAAATGTTTACCCAGTGCTTGACTTGGTCATTACCAAATCTGAACTTTGGATGTGTCACCTCTAGGTGGGAGCTGGGAAAAAGGCCGAAGCCGTGGCCACCGTTGTTGCTGCAGTCGATCAAGCCCGTGTGAGAGAGCCCCGAGAGCCAGGGCATTTCGAAGAATCTTACGGGCAACAGACAACTTTGGAGTATGGCTATAAGGAGCAGATCTCCGAAACCAGAGTCATTGAGCATCCCCAGCGTCCGGTTTCAGAACCTCATGTTGTCCCTAAAGCAGTCAAGCCCGCAGTGGTACCAGTGCCTTCTGAAACGCATATCTCAACAACAGATCAAATGGGAATGCACATATCATCACAGGTTGGACCCCTGAGCCTCTGTTTTCTCTGTCTTTCTCCGCAAATGTAAATGGCTTTTATCCTTTTGTAAATATCATCAATGAGTTGTGTTTTCCTGCAGATCAAGAAAACGTCAGATCTGACAACCGAAAGATTAGTCCATGTGGAACACAAACGTCCTCGTACAGCAAGTCCTCACTTTACCGTTTCAAAAATTTCTGTTCCTAAAACGGAACATGGACATGAGGTAAAAAGTGGGAGGAAATGGAACGGATAGGCTTCTAACCCGGGGAGGTAAAGTACTAAAGCATTTGATGAACAGTGGTGATATCCACTAGGGCTCTCCAGAAACACCTGATGTCAATCAATCAATAAACAACCATCGATTAAGCATGTGACATATGCCAGGTACTGTGCTAGGTATGGGAATACAGAGATAAGACTGAAGCCACTGCCCTCCAGGGGTTTACTTCCTGTCAGGGTAGATGACTTGTACATTTAATCAGTATAATCCAAATAAATACAAGGCCTGGGTCATGGGCTGAGGTCAGGGGTCTTCTGCTCATTGGTGTCAGTTGGCCTTCCTACTAGAAACAGTGTGGTGACTGATCCTGCAAAGAATGCATCGGGTATCCCAATGTAAATTCTACTAACTGTATATGTACTTTACCTTAAGAGGTGTCAAATGACCCATGCAGGCTCCTGCTTTGCTTTATCTTTCAGGCATAGTACCAAACACATTTTTTAGGTTTCCATATTCTGACGTTTTACTAAAGGTTAATTATACATTTATGTAGTTTACTGGTAATTATACTGTGAGTTTTTTTCTGAGGCATTTTAACTATATACACACTTACACACACACACACACGCACATACACACACACACATACATACATACATACATACATACATACATACATGCATGTATGTGTGTGTTTGTACCAAACAATCTTTTTGGGTTTCCATATTCTGATGTTTTCCTAAAAGTTAATAATACATTTATATAGTTTACTGGTAATTATACTGAACATTTTTTCTGAGTAATTATAATTGTACACATGTATACATACACATACATATGCATGTGTGTGTTTGTACCAAACAATCTTTTTAGGTTTCCATAATCTGACATTTTGCTAAAGGTTAATAGTACATTCATGTAGTTTACTGGTAATTATACTGTGAGTTTTTCTGAGGAATTTTAATTGTATACACACATATATGCATACATAGACATATTACTACATACATACATACATACATACATACATACATACATACATACATAACTGTGTTTGTCCCTGGAGATTTTTTAAGTGAGGACATAATTAAAAGAAACCTTTCCAAAGTGAAAAATGTACATCAGCAATTATTACACAGATTGACTCTTTATGTGGGTTTCTGTGAATTGAGATTGTTCACATTTACATAGTATATGTGTTTAGCCTTTAAACCAAATACATAGATAATTGGCTGTTTCTGTAAAGAAATTAGATTATAGTACCACTTTCCAAAATATTTCACTTTAGATGGAAATAAGTTAAAGACTGAAGGTGTTAACAAAATGGATTTAATTAATTCAGTTGATAAGATGTAAATCTATAACTTTATGACTCTGGCAAGTCATTGAACTTTTCAATACCCCTGCCAGTGTGTCTGCATTGAGGAATGGAGTTACACACACACACACACACACACACACGCACACACACACAGAAGAAGGGAGGCAAGCTAAGTGGCTCAGTACATAAAGGGCTGGGTCCAGAGTCAGGAATACTTACGTTCCTGAGTTCAAATGTGACTAGCTGTGTGACCCTGTGCATGTCACTTAACCTCTGTTTGTCTTAATCCACTGGAGAAGGAAATGGCAAACCATTCCAATATCTTTGCCAAGCAGACCCCATGGATGGAATTGGCATGCTATGGTACATGGGGTCAAGAAGAGTTGGACACAATTGAACAGCAATGCACTTGTGTGTGTTTTCTCCTCTGCTAGAACATAAATCCCTTGAGATCACAAGACTATTTCATTTTTGCTTCTACGTTCCCAGCATCTAGCACATTGACTATTGCATAGAAGTTACTTAATAAATGTTTATTGACTTAAGTCCTCCACAATGATTAAATCACAAATCTGAACCACCCCAACAAATCCATGTAACCTCAATACAGCATATTTTCATTTAAAATATGAAGTGTAGTACATCCAAAGCCTCTTCAAAGAGGAATGTGGCACACATGTAGAGGCATCATGACCTATTAGATAAGAGCACTGAGCTTGGAATCAGGAAAACCTAGGTTTGAATCCTTCCTCCCTGTAATGCCAATGAATGTATGACCCTAGGCAAGTCACTTGATCTCTATGTGACTTACATAACACCTTTAGACATATTTCAAAGTCCAAGGCTTCATTGGTAAAGTCATTTCTTGTACCTGGATCTCTCTGCACTAATAAAATCACATATTCCAGAATGACATGCATTCAAATTTAAAAATCAGTCTCTTGATTCCACTGGAAGCCAATATTTATCATTTTACTAACTGTGTGACCCTGGGCATGTCAGCCTCAGGTTCTTTATCTGTAAAATAGGATGCCTTACCTACTTCATAAAGTAAGGAATTGACATGTGTAAAACACTTTGCAATTCTTAACACATTATATAAATGGTAGCATATTTTTACTTTGTGTTTTTCCTCTTCTTGTGAAAAATGACTAGTAATTAATTTACATATCTGGCATTTTCAAGGTGATGGGGACAGACAATAATCTTTGAAAAACTCTTCAAGCTCCATTATTCTATATCATTTCATTAATGTATCTTCAAGGTCCTATGAAGTAGAGCATTAAAGCAATAGCCCAATAGGTCAAATAACTTGTTTTTGCCCAAATCAGCCAAATATTCAAATGATTGACATTTGAAGATCTAAAGGATCCATGTTATTTCTCTGGGGTATGATCTGATTAACTGGAGCGTTGCCCTATTTCTGGTCAGGAGGTTTCTATGAAACTAAAAACTTGAAAGAAATTTTACATTTTCCAAAAACTAATTCACAGACATAGTTATTTCAGTCTACTGTATTTTACAAGAATGGCTAAGTATATATTATTTCTTTTTGGTATGGCATCTAATTTACTGGTGGGATCAGTAAAACACCATGACAGTAATAATCCAAACAACAGAGTGGTTATAAAAATATTTTTTCTAAATACCACCATTTTTATCTTCACGCAACTTAGATTTATGGTTGCCATCAGAATGTGTTCTTCCAAAAGCCCTTCTCTGAAATATATCCATGGGTTTAATAACTTCCTAGTTCTGAAATTGGTACTGTGGCATGTTAAAATGTGGTATTCGTCAAGACGATTAAGTGATAATTTGCAAATAAGACTTAGCTGATGTGAATGTCCATTTAAAATATAAGCAATAAAATAAGGATTTTCTTAATTTAATTCAACAAGAAAGTTTTTCAGAAGATACCATTTTAGAGTCTAGAAAGGTTCATACTGACCTTTCTAAAAGGGAGGTGTAGTAGAATGGGTGTTGGAATTGGGGGGCCAGACATTTCTGGGTTCAAGTGCTAAACCCCATTATTTATTAGCTGTTCTCTGATCTTCAATGTCCTTATCATTAACGTGGAGATTATGACACTTGAGAAATTATGTTTGCACCTCCCCCGCAGCATTGTTTGGAGAATTAAATAAGATAATATAGCCACAAACATGCTTTGTCAGTTTTACCATGCCCTATGAAGGTAAACCACTATTATCACTGACTTGGCTACCAATGTAGTACTGATGATGAGAAAATCTCTAAACATTTTGGTCTACAAAAAAAGGAAAGCCAGGCCATATAAATAATATCCTATCACTAAGACTATTAAGAGGTAAGGGTCACCTAGTAAGAGTCACCAGAGCGATGGAGTTGCAATTAGGAAGACCTAGCTTCACATTCCAGTCTATGAAACAATGTGACCTTGGGCAAAACATTTAATCTCCTCAAGCCCACCAAGTCCCTAGGACATATCTTCTAAAGCAAGGGTCTGCAAACCATGGCCCAAAGGCCAAATCTGCCCCCTCCCCACCTCATTTTTGTATCTGTGAGCTAAGAATAGCTACATTTTTAATACAAACAAAATTTTATTTTATGACATAAAAACCATCTTAGCCCACAGCTATACAAAAGCAGTCAGCAGACCTGTCCAAGTCTGCCCCTGTTCTAAGACATAGACTAGTTGTTCCCATAATTTGATTGAGGAAGTTCTCCATGTTAATAAAACTGTAGGTCATTCTTAACCTAATGCTACTAGGGGGGGAAAAAAAAGCTTGTCTTTGAATGGTGACATTGACTGACAGTAAAGTGACTTCTCTTTGGTTCACTTTCAGGTATCAATAGCAGGCAGTGCTATTGCTACGCTACAAAAAGAATTGTCGACCACTTCTGTTCAGAAGATTACCAAGCCAGTGAAGGCTCCTACCGTCAAGCCAGTTGATACTAGAGTAAGGGTGGAGCCCACCCCTTCACCCACAATTTCCCTTTGCTGACACACCTGAGACATACAAAAGTCATGCTGGAATTGAAGTGAAGAAGGAGGTAGGAATGAACATCACTGGTGAGACAGTCCGTGAAGAGCATTATGAAGTACTGAAAGGACGAGAAACAAAGGTCAGTGGTTCAATGTCACCAGGTTTATCCCATCATGAGTTCTCCATGCATTGGGAGACAGTGTTCTGTGGTGAAAATGGCAATTATTCTTAAGACTAGAAGACTAGGATTGAAACCTGGTTCAACCCGTGGGAACCCTGGGCAAACCATTTGTGGGGGTGGTGATACTGGAAATATTGGTTTCACAAGCTGTTGTGAAGGAAGTGCTCTATCAATGATACAATGCTAAATATGTGTGGGCCATCATTACCATATTTTTAAATTATATGTTATTGTGGTAGAGGGACATCTTGGAAATCAGGAAGTTCTAAGTTTAGGGGGGTTTTTCCTAGCTTTGTGACCATGGGCAAGTCCCAACTTCTCGGAACCCCTAGAAAACTCTAAGGCTGTCATTCCAGCCAAGTTAACTTTGTCTCAGTGGTAAGCTTTCTGATATGCTATAAGTCACAGATTTGGACAAAAATAAGTAGATTATTTTTCCAAGCACCATGGAAGATCGCACTTGGCCCGCAATTGTTCATCTAAGCCCTTTCCCATAGTAATGTCTAATTTCTTTTCTTGAATGAGGGTTTGTGAGGTACCTCCCTTGTTCCTAGCAAACAGAGAAATTAGCATCTGCTATAACCCTTAAATCCATATGCTTCTTGTAACATTTCTTTTAATATCTCAGGTTACAGAGACAGCTAGAGTGCCTGCACCAGCAGAAGTTCCTGTAACTCCACCAACATTAGTCTCAGTGAGTAGCTTTTAAGAGATTGTAGATGTTAAAGTCACATTTGAGTGTGTGGTATGTGCCTTTGTTTCCAAGGCTTTGTAACCTTTGAGAATGGGAATCATTTAAATCTTTGTATTTTGTATCCTCATCCCCTAATGTGGTTCCCAGCACATAGCAGGGTTTAATAAAGGCTTAGCGATGAAATGCCTTAATGAAGTCAGTAGGTTCAAATGCAAAGGAGAGCTTCTAGACAATACCAGTGTCATTCAAGGAGAAAAAGAGGAATTCTAGGTGGCAAATGACTACAGTAATATATATCTTTAATGAAAACCATCACTTAAGTCCACTAAAGACATGGGTTGAATTCGCAACTCCATTATTTCTTAGAGAGGCAGCTGGTAGAGTAGAGAAACTCTGGAGTCAGAGGTTCAGGATTCAAATCCTGCCTTTAATACTTAACTGTGTGTGACCTTGAATCAGTCAAAGGGCCACACTTGAGGACCTAGAGGGCCACATGTGGCCTCGAGGCCACAGGTTTCTCATCCCTGGGATTCTAGATTTATCATCTCTGAATAAAATCTATATCAGGCACCATTCTCAAAGACCCCCTTAAGCTAGATTTATTCCAGTCTCAAAATGTATCTAGATGCTGATATTTCTGGAGTCTTGACCCCATGGACTCTAATTTCTGATGAACCTAGAGCTGCCATTTCAAATTCCCACCTTCATTTGCATGTGGTATAGAAATAGTCAATAATAATAATGATGATGATGATGATGATGATAATGTTTTATGATTTTTCTCCCTAGGGCCTAAAGAATGTGACAGTCATAGAAGGTGAATCTGTTACTTTGGAATGCCATATCTCTGGCCACCCATCGCCGACGGTGATGTGGTACAGAGAAGATTACCAAATCGAAAGTTCCATTGATTTCCAGATTACTTTCCAGTCCGGCATTGCTCGACTGATGATTCGAGAAGCCTTTGCAGAAGACAGTGGGAGGTTTACTTGTACTGCTGTCAATGAGGCTGGAACTGTCAGTACTTCATGCTATTTAGCAGTACAAGGCAAGTACTCTTATCAAAAAAAAAAACCAACCCAAACCAACCACCTGTCAAGAATGTTCTTTTCACCCACTCAATACATTTTCTTCCTCTTATCAGTCACTCTCTTCCAATAGAAGGCTTCTGTATCTTTTCTCCTGGTTACTTCAAAGACAAAGGCACTTCCCACTGTGACCTTGTTATGACCTTTAGAATCTGGGGGCCCTGTTCAAGGCTGGAGTGTGACCTGAAACACTGGACCAGAGCAAGACAGATGATATCAATGAATTCAACAAATTTTCTCACTTTCAATATTGAATTTCTGTCTTTCTTACAGTTTCAGAAGAGTTTGAAAGCAGAGAAACAACTGCTGTTACTGAAAAATTAACTACAGACACAAAACGGTAAAAGTCTTTTCATTAATAAAACTAAAGCAGGGGTTCCCAACCCAGGTTTTGTGTTTCCCTAAGGGGCAGGAGAAGTCTACCAAGGGGGTTCTGGAAATATTTCAGAAACAATTGTCTTATCCTATTGAAGATTAATCACTTGGTTTTCTTCCTTATGCACATATGCATGATTAAATCTAGAATTTATTTCCTTTCGTATTGAGTGGCAAGTATAGTGACTCACTGAAAGCCCTGAGCATGGTAAATTAAAAAATTTATTTCCTTTCATGTTTACAGGGGTATAGGAAGATTTACTGAATGCCAAGGAGTACTGAAGCCAAAAAAGTTTAGAAACTCATAGGCAACAGCTCATGCATGAATTTGACCCCCATGCCCCCTTCCTTTCTCATGGTGGTAATGAACACACTAACCTGGTAGGACCTGTCTTTTCAGCTTTGTGGAGTCAAAAGATGTGGTAATGGTGGAGACTAGCATCGCAGAAGAGCAAGCTGGTCCTGGAGAACCTGCTGCTCCTTTCTTTATAAGAAAGCCAATAGTACAGAAATTAGTTGAAGGTGGGAGCATCGTTTTTGAGTGCGTGATTGGAGGCAACCCAAAACCCCATGTGTACTGGAAAAAAGCAGGTGTTCCTCTCACCACTGGATACAGGTACTTAGATGACTAAATTATTGTTCTCTGGGTTGTTTTTATGATATGTAAATGATGCATGCAGAAAAAAATAGAATCTACTTATCCACTAGAGCCCTGGGATTAGCACTTGCTCATTCAGTTTTCCCTCCAGGTGCCCTGTCATGTTTTATTTTTCCTGAAGTGTTTTTATACTTTTGCACAAAGCCTTATGAGAAAAAAGTTTTTAAAGATATACCAAATGTGGATACAAGAAAGACTTTCCCCTAGCTTTGGCTTAAATCCATATATGAGATGAAGGAAAATGTATTGTGCTTAGAACATGACATCATCAACTGGTGGCCTAGCCATGAAAATGGCCTACATTCTTGGTGTGATTTTGTTTTGTTCTGTTTTTAGGAAAGATAGGTTAAAGAATATTCTTTTAAAATGGAAATTTCATCTCATTTGTTCTTTATTGCTAATATCCATTTGTTTTTCCTCCGTGTTCAACTAGACTATATTCCACAATTATAAAGCTTAAATATCTTTATTTTATACCTCTGCTATAGAAATGCTACTTTTTTTCCAGTTTATGTGCAGTGTATTTGAGTCAGGTAAGTGGCTCAGTGGATAGAGTGCTGGACCTGGAGTCAGGAAGATCTGAATTCAAATGCAACCTAAGACACTTACTAGCTTTGTGACCCTGGGCAAGTCACTTAATGCTATTTGCCTCAGTTTCCTCATGTGCAAAATGAGCTGGAGAAGAAAATGGCAAAGCACTCCAGTGTCTTTGCCAAGAAAACTCCAAATGGGGTCACAAAGAGGCACAACTGAAATGACTGAACAACAACAAAACAATGCCCTTTCTTATAGAATTTTAATTATCTATTTTTTTCAAAACTTATCATTAAAGGTACAAAGTAAGTTACAATAAGCAAACTGGTGAATGCAGGCTGGTGATTTCCATGACTTTTGCTGACGATGCTGGTGAATATACTGTCGTTATTCGTAATAAGCATGGGGAAACTTCCGCATCCGCCTCCTTACTAGAAGAAGGTAAATGTTCATTTGTGTTTTTTCTGGGGCGTGTATATATGGCATACAGAGTAACATGTAGGTAAATATAACTTGTACCCACTTGTTGAAAGGGTGCTGGCTTGGGAGTCGGAGGACCTGGTTGCTAGTCCATATTCTGCCACTCACTAACAACATCAACAAATAGTCATTAAAGGTGCCTACTATGCAGAGGGCACTGTGCTAACTTCTGAGGTAAGATATATAGTCCAGAGAAGATGCAGTTCCTGCCCTCATGGAGCTTGTAGTCTAGTGGTAGGGATATGCAGACAAGTGTATTCTAGATAGCAGATAGACTGGACTCCTCCTGCTACCCAATAGTACAATATTTGTGGCAGCCAAAAAAGTTAAAGATGGTGTCATTTCCTTTGATGAATGTATCCATACAGAATGTTAACATATTAGTTAATAAGTAATAGAATTGCTTCCTAGCAATTAGAACTATCTAAAAATGAAATGGATAGCTCAAGTGAATTCCGTGTCACTGTAGTTTTTCTAGGAGGGAGATTGCATGACTCCTGTGACTGGACTTGAGCTATCCTAAGGTCCTTCCCAATTCTTAGATTGTATAATATTGAAATAGATATAATTATGGAATACATAAATATAGAAACAACCTGAGGGAAGTACTTCTATCTTTGGTCCAAGCACCCCTAATTGGAGAAATATTCTCAAATGTCCTAGGAAAGGAATGACAAAATGGGCAAGAGATTCTAGAATTCTATGGGGGAACAAGCATGATAGGGTTATAATTGGAGCCACAGTCAGGATGATGGAGAGAAAGAACATGGACATATCAAGAGTTATCAGTCAGAAAGAATGAGTTCTATAAGAATGAAGCAGTCAGAGTAATGGAAGAACAGGCAATTTTGATCAGCAAGGGAATAACAATGAGGAAAATGAAGAGTGGAGAAGAATAAAGAGGGACATGGGAGGGAAAAAGGTAAGTGATGAAAGTAGGAAAGAGCAAGAAGGACTAGGATATTGAAAAAATTTATGTGACAACATTTGAAACTCTCCAGGAAAAAAAATAAGGTATCATTACTACTAACACCATCCCTGTCTAGGCTGAGGGTATTAAAAGGATATCGGATGATAATATTCCTGTTCTGTAAAATTGCTAATAGTCATGTACTTGTTCAGGCTTAGAGTTCTCATCAGTGAGAAAGGATTTGATTTGTTGTTATGATATCCAAATTATTGGCTAGATGAGGTCAATGGCTAGGGCACCAGAACACTTTTGTCCATCCTGAATATCCATACATCAATTACAACAGTGCTAATAGGGAAACTCTTCAGAGCTCTGAAAAGACACATCCTGTAAATATGTAAAGAATATGGAGAAAATTTAAGAGTGTCGATTTTGCTACCTCCTTATATATTTCCCCTCTCATACAGAATGTCAGATAAGGACTCTGAATAAAGTTTTATTAAATAAAGAAGGTAACAGATTCTTAAAGAATATGTCAAAGTAGACAGACTTGCTCTTTCCTCCTTACTTCAGCTAAATAAATCTTTGGTCATCATACTATTCTACCTTACTTAACACAGAGACATGCTTTGGAAAAGCTTAGTGTAAATGTAATGTTCATATATCAAAGTATATTTTGACTCATACTGATCTTTTTTCTAAAGTAAACTCTTTGGATATCTCAAATATTCATCTGTGAATCATTCTTAACTCTTCACTTTCCCTCATGCTTTATATTCATCGAGTTACAAAGTCTTGACAACCCTCCATTCTTGTCTTGGGGACCATCCTCCCTCTCCACTTCCATGCTCTCTACTTTAGTGTGAACGTATCCAAGCACTAAGGCTAGAAGGGACCTTCAAGGTCAGCTCTGACTTCTTATATTTGAGGAACCTAAAATTCAAGGAGGTTGAAATGACTTGTTCAAAGTCCTAATAGTAACCATCGGAGGCAGGATTTGAACCTAAGTTTTCTGACTCCAGGGTGAGTGGTCTGGAGCTTCCTTATACCATGATGCCAGGTCAGGCTCTCCTTGCCTCTTTCCTAGATTATTGCAATAACCTCCTATTTGCTATCCTTGCCTCCAGTTCTCCCTTCTTCTATCTATCGTCTGCACAACAGGCAAATTGAGCTTCCTGAATAACAGGTCTGACCATACTATGACCAGTATCAAAGAGCTTCAGTGGTACCTCATTGCCTCTGGTCTAAAATATAAATTTCTTTCTTTGGCATGTAAATTTAGTCCACCACGATTTGTCCCCAGCCGATCATTCCAGACACTTCATGGTTTTCCCTCCCATGGACGCTGTATTTCTGTCAAATTTCCTCCTTACATGTCCCCACACTTGATATTACATGTACAGTGAAGAGGCACATCAGATCAGATAGGGTCCTAAGGTCACCCCTCAGATACTTAGGAGCTGTATAATCTGGGCAACTCACCTAACTTCTGTCTGCCTCAGTTTCCTTAACTTTTAAATGGGAATAATAATAGCACTTACCTTCCAAGGTGGTTGTGAGGATCAAATGAGATTATATTTGTAAAGTGCTTAGCACAGTGCCTGGCACATAGTAGACACTTAATAAATGTTCTTTTTCTTCCTCCCTCCCTTGTTGCTTCCCTTCTTCCCTCCCTTCCTCCCCTTTACTTTCTTCCTTTCTTATTTTATTCTTTCTTGTTTTCTTCCTTCTCTCCTTCCTTTCTCCTTCCTTCTTTCTTTCTTTCTTTCTTTCCTTCCCTCTTTCCTTTCTTCCTCCCTCCTTTCCTTCCTCCCTTTCTTCTTTCTTTCCCTCCATCCTTCCTCCCTCTCTACCTTCCTTTCTTCCTCCCTCTTCTTCTTTCTCTCTGTCCTTCCTTCCTCTTTCTCTCCCTATTTTTCATTCCTTCCTACCTACCTTCCTTTCTTCTTTCCTTCCTTCCCTTCCACCTCTGTGCTTTTGAGTAGAATGTCCCCCATGCCTAAAATATCATGGCTCTTCAACCCGAGCTCTATTTAAGACTCAAATCAGGTACTTCCTGCTATGTGAGACCTTTCCTGAAATCCCCAGTTAGTCTTCCATGCCCAACACAGAAGTTATGTCGTACTTTTTATTTGCTTCTTTCATGTTGTGTTCCTCTAGTGTATATAAGCTCTTTGATAGCAGGGACTGGTTCGTTTTTGTTTCCAGTGCCCCATGCCTTGCACAAAGTAAATACTTGAGAAATACTTGTTGAATTGAATTGAGTCTACTCTTCTAGGAAATATGGATTTTAATATATTGAATTTACCTAAATGAGGGTATCTATACTGTCCAAACTCTTCCCTTAACTAGTCAGAGCATGCTTATTGTCTGATAAGAAAGTATTTAACTCATGTCATTACCTTCTAGCTGATTACGAGTTGTTGATGAAGTCACAGCATGAAATGCTTTACCAGACACAAATGACTGCATTTGTTCAAGAGCCCAAGGTTGGGGAGATGGCACCTGGGTCCCCCTACCCTGAATATGAAAAAGAATATGAAAAAGAACAAGCCTTGATTAGGAAGAAAATGGCTAAAGATACGGTTCTGGTCAGATCTTTTGTAGAGGACCAGGTAAGGAGAATGATACTCATCTCTATTTCATATTTTGCTCCTATTATTTCTCTTCTGGTTGTGACATTTTTCACTCTTAAATGGAACTGAGAATGGAACAGGACTTTAGGGCATATGATGGTAAAACAAGACATTTCCAGAATCACTTGCAACAGAATTCCTTAATTTTATTACGTTTCTCAAGGATAGATCATCCCCATTAATTAAAGAACAAAGTAATGAAATTATTCTGGGAAACATTCATTGCTGGTCTTTTCTAAATGAAGCAGAATAGATACTCCTATTTAAGGGGAAACATATGAGAAAAATAAAGTCATTCTTGGAAGTCTTGTATTATAGAATATAGAAAATTATGCTTTGGAAATCTTTCTTTAAAAATACAACTGTCACTTATTTCTGCACAGGAATTCCATATTTCTTCCTTTGAAGAGAGACTTATTAAAGAAATTGAATACAGAATTATAAAGACTACATTAGAAGAACTTCTTGAAGAAGATGGTGAAGAAAAGATGTCAGTTGACATTTCTGAGTCTGAAACTATTGAAGCAGGATTTGACTTACGAATAAAGAATTACAGAGTAGTTGAGGGAATGAGTGCTACTTTCCATTGCAAGATGTCTGGATATCCATTACCCAAGGTAACATGAAAAGAAAAGAGCCCACTGTATATCTGTGTAGTATAAAGATGTAGTACAACGTGGTTGCAATACAACAGTTTTCAATGGAGTCTCTTTGTGGGTGTTTTTCTTTACAGATTGCATGGTACAAAGATGGCAAGCGCATCAAACATGGTGAACGATACCAAATGGACTTTCTTCAGGATGGCAGGGCTAGTCTGCGCTTACCTGTTGTTCTTCCAGAAGATGAAGGAATCTATACAGCATTTGCCAGCAATATCAAAGGGAATGCAATTTGCTCAGGCAAACTTTATGTGGAACCTTCTGCACCATTTGGAGCTCCATCTTATCTGCCAACACCAGATACAATGAGCAGAATTCGGTAAGGCTTAGGAGTATTTTGTATATACCTGATCCAGTGACTGGATCTTAAGGTACTTTTCAATGATGCCGCTGGTGAATCATATAACTAATGAAGTGAAAATAAGATAAAGTTAGCAAAGTTCATTGCTCTAAGAGATAAACATTAACCAAAGCAGGAATAGAATCAGGAGTTTTTACTTCCAGGCTCATGTTGTAACCATCACTCTGCTTTTCACTAAGGTGGCACACTGTCCACGGATGTTTTCTAGAAGGTGCATTTTATACACATGATTAGGTACTATAGTGGGTATAGTGCTGGACTTCAAGTAAAGAAGACCTGAGTTCAAATCCTGCCTCAATTACTTGTTAGCTGTCTGTTGAGTGTAAGTTTCTCAACCTCTCCCAGTCTCAGGTTCTTCATCTGTAAAATGGGGATAATAACAGTATCTACTTCACAGGGATTTTGTAAGGATCAAATGAAATAATATGTGTAAAGTGTTTTGCAGAGCTTAAAGTGCTTTATAGTTGCTTTATATTGTCTCCAATTTGGTTCAAATTTAATAAGAATTCTTGCTTTTTTCATAACTAAAATATAGACCTAATAAATGAAGAAGAGAAAAAATACATTGGGTCATTTCCCGTTAGGCCTTTGAAAGTGATCTGCTATCTTATATTTTCCAGATCAGTCTCTCCCCGTTCTTTAAGCCGTTCTCCTGCACGAATGTCTCCTGCTTATATGTCTCCTGCCCGTATGTCTCCTGTCCGAATGTCTCCTGCCCGAATGTCTCCTGCCCGCATGTCACCTGCACGCATTTCTCCGGGACGTCGTCTGGATGAAACAGATGAGTCACAACTGGAAAGACTTTATAAACCCGTCTTCGTATTAAAACCCACCTCATTCAAATGTTTAGAAGGACAGACTGCCAGATTTGACTTAAAAGTTGTTGGCAGACCTATGCCAGAGACTCTCTGGTTTCATAATGGTACGTAATAATAAAATTTCACTCAGTGAATAACAACCTAAAAAATATTTTTTTATGCTCTGACACTTGAAGCATCCCTGAATGTATATTTTCCTTCCATTTTTATAGGCCAGCAGATTGTCAATGATTATACTCATAAAGTAGTAATTAAAGAAGATGGCACACAATCACTGATCATTGTTCCTGCCACACCTGAGGATTCAGGAGAGTGGACGGTGGTTGCCCAGAACAGAGCAGGGAAATCATCCATCTCGATGACTTTAACTGTTGAAGGTATTGTTCATAAAGACAGAGAAAAGTCACACGATCAGAGTGAGGGTTACAAAGAGTACTTCAATGTCACTCACTCTGTACTATGATCTTTTTATTCTAGCTGTGGAACACCAGGTGAAACCGATGTTTGTGGAAAAACTGAAAAATGTCAATGTAAAGGAAGGTTCTAGACTCGAGATGAAAGTCAGGGCTACTGGCAATCCAAATCCTGACATCGTTTGGTTGAAAAACAGTGACATTATTGTACCTCATAAATATCCAAAAATCAAGTAAGTTTGTGGGAGAGTATTTTTAAGGCCATTAGACAATTTCAACAACCATTCTGTTTGTACTAATGCATTTTTACATGTATTATAGAATTGAAGGAACCAAGGGAGAAGCTTTCCTAAAAATTGATTCCGCTGTCAGCCATGATTCTGCGTGGTATACTGCAACAGCTATCAACAAGGCTGGTCGAGACACCACAAGGTGTAAAGTCAATGTTGAAGTTGACTTTGCAGAACCTGAACCAGAAAGAAAACTAATTATTCCACGTGGGACATATCGTGCCAAAGAGATTGCAGCACCAGAACTGGAGCCTCTCCATTTACGATATGGTCAAGAACAATGGGAAGAGGGTGACCTCTATGACAAGGAGAAACAACAGAAACCATTCTTCAAGAAAAAACTCACCTCTTTAAGGCTCAAGCGCTTTGGACCTGCTCACTTTGAATGCAGACTCACACCAATTGGTGATCCAACCATGGTGGTGGAATGGCTCCATGATGGCAAGCCACTGGAAGCAGCCAACAGGCTTCGCATGATCAATGAATTTGGATATTGCAGCCTTGACTATGGAGTCGCCTACTCCAGGGACAGTGGTGTTATCACTTGCAGAGCCAGTAATAAATATGGAACTGATCATACATCAGCCACCCTTATTGTTAAAGATGAGAAAAGTCTTGTTGAAGAATCTCAATTACCTGAAGGGAGGAAAGGGTTGCAGAGAATTGAGGAACTAGAGAGGATGGCCCATGAGGGTGCACTTACTGGAGTAACAACTGATCAAAAAGAGAAGCAAAAACCTGACATCGTTTTGTTTCCAGAGCCAGTCAGAGTACTTGAAGGAGAAACTGCTCGGTTTCGCTGCCGTGTGACAGGCTACCCACAGCCCAAGGTGAACTGGTACCTCAACGGACAGCTCATCCGCAAAAGCAAGAGGTTTAGAGTGCGTTATGATGGCATCCATTACCTTGATATAGTAGATTGCAAGTCCTATGACACGGGAGAAGTGAAGGTCACTGCTGAAAACCCTGAAGGGGTGACCGAACATAAAGTAAAACTAGAGATTGAACAGAGGGAAGACTTCCGGTCCGTCCTTCGTCGAGCCCCTGAACACAAGCCTGAAATTCATTATCATGAGCCTGGAAAACTTCAGTTTGAGGTACAGAAGGTAGATAGGCCTGTTGATGCCAAAGAAACCAAAGAAGTGGTAAAACTGAAAAGGGCTGAACGAATTACCCACGAGAAAGTGTCCGAAGAATCAGAAGAGTTACGCAGTAAATTCAAACGCAGAACAGAGGAGGGATACTATGAAGCCATTACAGCAGTAGAGCTCAAATCTCGGAAGAAAGATGAGTCCTATGAAGAGCTGCTAAAGAAGACCAAGGAAGAACTTCTCCACTGGACCAAGGAGTTAACTGAGGAAGAGAAGAAAGCCCTCATGGAAGAAGGCAAAATCACAATCCCAACCTTTAAACCAGAAAGAATTGAACTTAGTCCAAGTATGGAGGCTCCCAAAATCTTACAACGAATTCAAAGCCAAACAATAGGCCAAGGAACTGATGCCCATTTCCGAGTGAGAGTAGTAGGGAAACCAGACCCTGAATGCGAATGGTATAAAAATGGAGTCAAGATTGAGCGATCTGACCGGATCTACTGGTACTGGCCTGAAGATAATGTTTGTGAATTGGTTATAAGAGATGTGACAGCTGAGGACTCAGCCAGCATCATGGTGAAAGCCGTCAACATAGCTGGGGAAACCTCAAGCCATGCTTTCTTGCTTGTCCAAGGTAACTCAGAGTTATTTTCTGTTGTGACTCTACCATACATGAGTCAGTACTTCTCTTTCCTTTTTACACAAATTACACAGTTTTATGTAACTTTCCCAATTTCTTTTCTCTTTTAGCCAAACAGTTGGTCACTTTCACACAGGAACTGCAAGATGTTGTTGCTAAGGAAAAAGACACCATGGCAACCTTTGAATGTGAAACTTCAGAGCCATTTGTCAAAGTGAAATGGTTTAAGGATGGTGTGGAGGTTCATTCTGGAGATAAATATAGAATGCACTCTGATAGAAAGGTCCACTTCCTTTCTGTACTGACAATTGACATGTCTGATGCTGAGGACTACAGCTGTGTACTTGAAGAAGATGAAAACATAAAAACAACAGCTAAGCTTCTTGTTGAAGGTAGGGAGGAAAGGATTTGTCTTCTTCCCTAACTTTTTTCATGTAACTCTTACAGATTTCCTTTTTTTTAAGGCACTCACTTCTGAATTGGGTACAATAAACCTAAAGCCCAAATCTCCAGGCTATATCTGTATTAACATATATATATATATATATATGTGTGTGTGTGTGTGTGTGTGTGTGTGTGTGTGTGTGTGTGTGTATGAAAGTGTTTCACAAGCAGGCTAGAAAAGGAACAGAAGTAAACTCTGTTCAACTTCATGGTTTGAAAACTAATTTGATGATCTGGGGATTTTTTTTTCCTTAAAATTTAAATGCTTCAATCAATAAGTATAACCAAATATGCAAACTGGAAGAACTCTCAAGATCAATTAGTTACCTCATTTGATTGACAGTGAAACTGAGGAGAAAAGGGATTAAGTAATTCATAAAAAGGTCCTTCAGCTAGGCAGTAACAGAGTCAGGAGTAAAAACTGGCTCTCTCAGTCAGTCTAAGCCTCTTTCTCTGATGCCACACTGACTCACTGTTGCCCAGCAACATTCTAGGCCTGAAACCACTTCTCTTTCTCATACTTCAGGTGCAGTTGTTGAGTTTGTGAAAGAACTTCAGGATATCGAAGTGCCAGAGTCTTTTTCAGGGGAGCTAGAATGCATCATTTCCCCTGAAAATGTGGAAGGCAAATGGTATCATGGTGATGTTGAACTCAAATCCAACGGAAAATACACCATTACATCTCGCCGTGGGCGTCAAAATCTCACCGTCAAGGATGTAACCAAGGAAGACCAGGGTGAATATAGCTTCATTGTAGATGGGAAAAAGACCAGCTGCCATCTAAAGATGAAACGTAAGTCTTCCCACATCAACTCCAGACTGACACGATGGCATTTATTTTGAATCAATGATTATAATTTTCTTTTTGCCCTTGATGCGTTCCACAGCCCGCCCCATAGCTATTCTCCAAGGACTCAGTGATCAAAAAGTCTGTGAAGGTGACATTGTTCAGCTCGAAGTTAAGGTTTCTTTGGAAAATGTGGAAGGTGTCTGGATGAAAGATGGACAGGAAGTAGAGCCCAATGATCGGATCCACATCGTGATAGATAAACAATCACACATGTTACTCATTGAGGACATGACCAAGGAAGATGCTGGTCATTATTCCTTCACCATCCCTGCTCTAGGACTTTCAACTAGCGGACGAGTCTCTGTTTACAGTAAGCATAGTCTCTATTTCTATTTCCCATGGCCACATGATTTGAGGAACTCTGACAAAATGTGTTATGTTTTGTTTTGTTTTGTTTTTGTAAAAATCCTTTCTTGCTGTTTGTTTACTTTTGTTGTGGTTTTACAGGTGTGGATATAATAACACCTCTAAAAGATGTCAATGTTATCGAGGGCACAAAGGCCATCCTGGAATGCAAAGTCTCTGTTCCCGACGTGTCTTCTGCTAAATGGTACCTAAATGATGAACAAATCAAACCTGATGACCGTGTCCAAGCAATCATCAAAGGAACTAAGCAGCGGTTGGTGCTTAATCGAACTCATGCTTCTGATGAAGGACCTTACAAGTTGATGGTTGGCAGAGTTGAAACCAGTTGCAATCTCACTGTAGAAAGTAAGAGCTCTTTCATCTAAGTGATTCATCTTAAAATCTGCTTTCCTGTTTTAGTGTTAACTAAGCAAATTTCACTTATCATCTCCAGAAATCAAAATCATCAAAGGTCTTCGTGACCTGACCTGCACAGAGACCCAAAATGTGGTCTTTGAGGTGGAGCTCTCTCATGCTGGAATTGATGTCTTATGGAATTTTAAAGATAAGGAGATCAAACCTAGCTCTAAATACAAAATTGAAGCTCATGGGAAAATATATAAGTTGACAGTCCTAAATATGATGAAAGATGATGAAGGACAATATACATTTTATGCAGGAGAAAATACGACATCTGGAAAACTTACAGTAGCAGGTTAGCAAATTTAATAAACTACGTTTTGTGGGAAGAGGGGGTTTAACTTTAACATAAAAAATAATCTTTCACCTCAGCTTCCTAGGACAGTATCATTTTATTTCTGATATAAATATTTCTTTCCACTTTCTCTTCCTTTCTTCTTTTCTTCCTTTTGTGTCTTTATTTTTATTTTAAAATGCAATATATATATATATATATATATATGCATGTATGATTAAAGCAAACAATTCATCTGTCTGTTAATTTTTTATTACATGGGGAGGAAATAAGAGATGATAAACTCAGATGAATCTCTCATTCCTTAGAAATTCTTAGCTTTACTTTTTTTTAAAGCCAGCCCTACCTCCCCCTACATCTTTGCAGAGCTGGTATAGACCACTACATATTTCTTACATTTTAATACATCAGTTTTTCTAATCAGTTGGGGTTTTTTTGCTGAACTCTCTTTTCCCCTCTTGTTCTTTGTTATAAGAGATAGTCCCTGGGATGTATAAGGGAACACTGAGAAATGTAGGTGATGTGAAAACAAAAGAAAATAATAATTTATTTTTAAGATATGTTTTAAAATATTAAAACACTTCAACATTTCTCATATTTTTCCACCTTTGTTCATATTTTTCCAACTCCCTAAAACACCCTTTCCTCCATCTCTTTCCCCAAGTAGCATCTTTAATATTTCAACCATCATTCAAGACCCAACTCTAATGCCATCTCTCCCATTAAGCCTTCTCTAATGCTCTTAGCCAGGAATCATTTCCCTTCTCTCTGTATAGTACATTCTTTGTAATTTATTTGGTACTTATCTAGTATTATCTAGTGTTATCTAACCTGGTATTAAATTTTGTATACATATCTTATCTCCTCTGTGAGATAATAGGTTATTGGAAGGCACAGATCCTACTCTTCATTTTTAGCCACTCAGTGTCTACTAGGTTATATAGTAGGCCCTCAAAATATTTATTAAAGTAAAATTAATTGATTTAAGGTAAAATGTAATTTAATTAATACAAATTTAATTTTATTAAATTTAATTAATACAAATTTAATTTTATCAAGTGTAATGCAAATTAAATGTTATTAAATTCAAATTAATTGATTAAAGGTTAAAAAATTCATTAATACACATTAAAAAATAAAAGAGAGACTTACAGTTGTACTTCCATCATTCCATAGGAGGTGCTATTTCCAAGCCACTCACTGATCAAACTGTAGCTGAATCCCAGGAAGCTGTGTTTGAATGCGAAGTCGCCAACCCAGATTCAGAAGGCGAATGGCTCAAAGACGGCAAACCTTTAGCAATGAGTAACAACATCAAAAGTGAAGCTGAACATCATAAGAGAAGACTTATTATTGTGGCCACCAAATTAGATGATATTGCAGAATACACTTACAAAGTGGCTACCTCCAAGACATCTGCCAAACTCAAAGTTGAAGGTCAGTAGTTTTATCATTTTGATTCATACCTTTAGAAGCATGTCCCCTTCCAATCATGGTTTTCCTCATAGCCCTAGTTGGTAACAACCTTCCCACTTGGACTTTCCACAGAACTTTGTTTTGTAGCTCTCAAATGGACTTATCATTTAATAACATGCATTATGGTTATCCATGTTAGTGCCTTCCCCACTGGTAAGCTCTATGAAGGCAGGTACTGTGTCTTATCCAAACTTTGTGTTTCCTCCTTCTGCCCAGATCCAATCACAGTTCTCTGAATACAATAAGCATTTAATAAATGTTTCAATGAAGATCAGTTTATGCTTAATTACATTCTATTTGGGGGTATGTCTACTTTAAATATAATAATCATATACCTGGCATGGCTAAAATCATTGCAAACAATCATTGCAAAATCATCGTAGAGGTTTTCCTTCTCCCTGTGTAATAGTTTAAATGCCATGTGGGAAACATGGAAACAGGAAGATGGAACAACATATATGTGGCATGATGACATCTTGATGCCCACTTACTAGTCCTTTTTGTGTCAATTGAATCAGTGTGATCTCATAAGTCCTTCTCCTATTTATGCCACCTCCTCCTCAAACAGTCCTTGATATTGGTGCAGATAACAAGGTTTATTTTTTACATATATGGCAAAATATTACATGCTTATGGTCTTCAAGGCTTAATATGGTCCAAGGAACTCAAAGATTCCATAAATAATCTCCAAGGGCCTTTTGAAAGACAGGTATCACACAATCTCAAAATGTGCAACAGTCACTGTTTTTATCAATATGGTCACACAGTAGAACAGATTGCCAAATATTTTAGTTCAAGCCTTTGGTGTGAGGAGGTAGATCATTTTCATTTTCCAAACCAATCATCCCTTTGTCTTTCAGTTGTCAAAATAAAGAAGACACTAAAGAACTTGACCGTGACAGAAACACAAGATGCCGTTTTTACTGTTGAGCTGACCCACCCTGATGTGAAAGGAGTTCAGTGGATTAAAAATGGTGTTGTGTTGCAGTCAAATGACAAATATGAAATCTCAGTGAAGGGAAACATTTACACACTAAAAATTAAAAACTGTGCTATTGTTGACGAGTCTGTTTATGGCTTTAAGCTTGGGAGGCTGGCAGCCAGTGCCAGACTTCACGTGGAAAGTAAGTTAGCATGAATACACTTTACAAACTGGTTCATAGATTGCTTCTCAATAAGCCAAACCCACCACTGACTTGTTTTGAACTTTGCTTCTTAGCTGTCAAGATCATCAAAAAGCCGAAGGATGTGACCGCCTTGGAAAATGCCACTGTTGCCTTTGAAGTGAGTGTTTCCCATGACACTGTGCCTGTCAAATGGTTCCATAAGAATGTGGAGATTAAGCCAAGTGACAAACACAGGCTCGTCTCTGAACGAAAGGTCCACAAGCTGATGCTGCAGAACATTGCCCCCTCGGATGCTGGCGAATACACAGCGGTGGTTGGACAACTTGAGTGCAAAGCTAAACTCTTTGTGGAGAGTAAGTGTTTTGTTTCCTTGATGAGGCCTGTTTCCTCTGGCGAACTCTTTGCTATACTTTGTTTTGATCCAGTTTTTATTTTCAATAATTGTGTCATTCTCTGTCTTTTCATAGCTTTACACATTACAAAGACCATGAAAAGCATCCAAGTGCCTGAAACCAAGACAGCTTCTTTTGAGTGTGAAGTGTCCCATTTCAATGTCCCTTCCATGTGGCTGAAGAATGGTGTGGAGATTGAAATGAGTGAGAAGTTTAAGATAGTTGTGCAAGGAAAGCTTCACCAGCTGATCATCATGAACACAAGCACTGAGGATTCTGCTGAATATACTTTTGTCTGTGGAAATGATCAAGTCAGTGCCACTCTGAAAGTGACACGTAAGTCAAGGGGAAAGTGAGTGGAGATCAGAAAGCATTGGGTGTTCAGTTTCCCATCAGTTCCTTGACATTGTCCTCTACAGTTGCTCAGGAATTTACTGAGTGCGAGCCTATTTGGTTTACCATTGTCTGAGGCCCGATCATTTTCACACAGCTCAAATTTCTAGGACAAAAAAAAAAGTCTTTACCTCAAAGGCTCTCAGTTCAATCAATTCAATTCAACTCAGTTCAATTCAATAAGCATTTATTATGAACCTACACCAAGGATTCTAAACTTTTTTGTGTTATAACCCCTTTGGAATGCTGAAGCTTATGGACCCCTTTTCAGAAAAAAGTATTTTAAATACACAAAATAAAAATGCATAGGATTACCCAGAAACACTTATTAAAATGTTAAAAGAAGAAAAAAATTCAACTTCACAACCCCAGATTAAGTAAGAACATTGACCTATACTCTAATAGGCTTTGGAGAGACAAAATCGAAGATCAAAATAGTGCCTGCACTCGAAAATCTTAGATTGTACTTTCTACTATTCTCTTCCTATTTGCTCTCCCATTGATCCGTTAGCAAGCCTTTACTGAGCACCTACTCTATTGCATCTCGTACCAAACGTGGTGGCTTTTATCACCTTGACACTCTTTTTTATTGAACCCCATGTTTGTCAAACACTACACAGGTATTCTAAAATCTCACTGTAAAGTTCTTTGAATTTAGTTAGGCTGAAAGACAATCATACTGTGTTTCCCCCAAGATTTCCTTTCATTCTCCTAAAATAACCAACAACCTACTGACAGAAAAATTGTTTGATTTTCTCCCTTTTTTTAGCAATCTTGATCACATCCATGTTGAAAGATATCAATGCTGAAGAAAAGGACACTATTACCTTTGAAGTAACTGTGAATTACGAAGGCATTACTTACAAATGGTTAAAGAATGGTGTCGAGATCAAATCAACCGACAGGTGCCAGATGAGAAGCAAAAAGCTCACACACTCCCTGAACATTAGGAACGTCCACTTTGGGGATGCCGCCGAGTACACTTTTGTTGCTGGCAAAGCCACATCAACAGCTACCCTTTACGTGGAAGGTAATCTTTTACAACAGGGATAGTTGAGAAGCATCATCACATCTTTCAAAGGTACTATGCAAAATGCTTACTCATGTTTCTGTGGTGTTTTCCCAGCTCGTCACATTGAATTTAGGAAACATATTAAGGATATTAAGGTTCTTGAGAAGAAAAGAGCCGTGTTTGAATGTGAAATTTCTGAACCTGACATCACTGTACAATGGATGAAAGATGGACAAGAACTACAAGTTGCTGACAGGTGATCCTTTGGACTTGGTGACTTTCCCCTGATAATAATCACTAACAATCTTTCTTTCTGTACTTGGATGGATCTGTGATCTCAAGGCAATCTTCATTCCCTCCCCACCTTCTCATCCAATGCAATAATTACCCAGGGAGTTTTTCCCAACACATTAGAGGCTTTCTTCTTGTAATTTTAAAATGTTGTGGTTACCAATAGTGCAAAATATGAGGCAGTATGGTACAGTGAAAGGAGCTCAAAACACCTGAGTTTATATCTTGCCTTTGATGTTTACTACCTGTGTGACCTTGGGCAAGTAACTTAACCTCTCTTTGACTCAGTTTCCTCATCTGTAAAAGAGGACGTTGGAATAGGTGGTCTCTGAGGTACCTTTTGGCTGTAAGTCCCTGACTCTGTGATCCGGGCCATCCGTCTGTCACATCTCACGCTTGCTGCCTGACTGAATCAGCTGATCAGACATACCTTTGATGATATCTTTTTTCACTGCTTCTGATGTGAAAGTTACCATTGGTAACATGCTTGACCTACTCACATTCACCATACATGTTTCCATTGTTGTTTAGATCAATTGGAATTTTGATCCCACTGAGACTGTGATATTCTACAACTCAAATTTATTTTGTATCACTAGGACAATAGTACTGTTCCCTGTAACTCATGGAAATAATAATAATAATAAAGCAGCTAGGTGGTACAATGGTCAAAGAGCTAAGCCTGGAGTCAGACAGATCTAAGTTCAGATCTGGCCTCAGACACTTCGTAGTCTGCCCACTAATCCTCTGTCTGCCTCAGTTTCCTCAATTTATAATAGGGACACTAATAGTCCAGGTTTGGAAAATCAAATAATATAATATGTGTCAAGTACTTAGCACATAGTAGGCATTTAATAAATATTTTCTTCCTTCTATCCTTTCTCTTTTCCTTTCTTCCTTCCTTCCCTTCTTCCTTCTTTCCTCCTTCCCTCCTTCCCTCCCTCCTTTCCTCTAATGGTGTTGTGGAAAGAGCATTGGATTTGGAATAAGACAGCCAGGCTTCATATTCTGGCTCTGCTACTTACTAACCTTTAGCAAGTTCCTTAATCTCTCTGGGCCTCAGTTTCCTCCCCAGTAAAATATAGAGGTTAGACAAGATGATCTCAAAGGACACTTCCAGTTCTACAACCCCATCCTTAACATAATCTATAATTCTGATTTTAAAATGATAAAGTGATATTCATATTAATGCTTTGTAATTTATAAGTTTCTTACAATTCAGGTCAATTCAATAAAAATCTATTAAATACTTGCAGTATAAAAGGTACTGTGCTAAATGCTAAAAATATAAAAACGAAAAGATTCATTTGAGCCTCAAAACCACCCTGGGAGATGGTGCAAGTATTAGAGCCTAAGTTTGGTACTTGCTATCTTTATGACCTTGACCAAGTCATTTAACCTCTTGATGGCAATTTCCTTGCTTATAAAATGAGGAGCAAGGACTAGATGTTCTTCTAAAGCCCACAACCTCTATAATTCCCAATTATCTTTATGTTGTTACATATTCATCCACAATTTCTATTTCATTCTTCAGAATGAAGATACAGAAGGAGAAATACGTTCACCGCCTTCTCATTCCTTCTACACGCATGTCTGATGCTGGACAGTACACTGTTGTGGCTGGAGGCAACATGTCCACTGCTAACCTCTTTGTTGAGGGACGAGATGTTCGCATCCGTAGCATTCGCAGGGAGGTTCAGGTACCGTATGAATGCTCAATACATGTGCATAATATGAACTCTCTGGGTGCTTCACGTTTAAAGTGCTCAAAAAGCCTTTCCTTGCTAAAAGGACTTTTAAAAATTAAACATGTGAGAAGTGAAGACAGACAGCTATTAATAGTTGTCTGGTGTGTGGGCAGAAGGAAAACCAATAGTTTTTCCTTTAACAGGAATCTTGTGAGGAATGTAAATAGCTAATCCCTATTGTTTTAAACTCTTGTACTAATACTAATTTAGACGTAATGTTCCTTCATCTAAAGAATTGGGATTTGCACAGCAGCTGGCCACTTGACACTCAATGGGAGCAAGAATAGGACTTTCACTTGAATTCTGTTTTTTAAGTGGCCAGTAGGATCACATGTGATCAGACTGCCATGTTGCACAAGGTGGCTTCTCTTTGGAAGTTCTCCCTTTGCACAGAGGTAGTTGGGGAAAGGGGAGTCTTGACATTCAGGAAACTTCCAGACTAGTCTTTATCTTCATTGCTTTTCTCCTTTGTTCAGTATCCCTTCTGTGATTCAGCTGAAGGGATACCAAACAAATATCCTTGTTCTCTGTGATCTTTGCAAAGTTGTTTTTTTTTTAACAGGTACTAGTCCTTCTACATGATGCTTTAGTTGTGAAAAGTTATTTTAAAAGATAGCAGGTGTAGTCATAGTTGTTCTTTATTAGCACAGTAGGATTTCCCAATGACAACCCAGCATTTGTTACACTCATGTTATACGTGAGTAACTTGAGTCTTAGAGAGGACACTTGCCCTAAATCATCCAACAAGTAAGTGGCCCAGCCAGTAGACCAGTTCCAGGTCTTCTGTAGCCCAATCCAGCAATCTTTCCACTAAGCCACCTTTGAGTAACACTGGCATTAAGTTTTATTATAAAGAAGAGGAATTGGTCTAATGGGATCAGCTTTTCTCTTCTTCCTTCACTCCAGGAGCAAATTAGTTCTCTGATAGTGATGATACCATCTCCCCAAAACAAGGCTTCATTCTGATTTTTATTGAGTATAGATACCTAATCATCCATCCAATAAGGCAAGCAAAGAAGATAACATAACTTGGCCAGCTATAAATGTCACATAGCATTTAACAGTGTGAATCCAGAAAGAGGCAAACTGAATGAAAATGGGCTCTTGATTTTCTTATCACTTGTCCTGCTCCCAGGTCATTGAGAAGCAGCGTGCCATGGTTGAGTTCGAGGTCAATGAAGATGATGTTGATGCCCATTGGTATAAGGATGGCATTGAAATCAACTTTCAGATTCAAGAACGACACCAATATGTAGTGGAGAGAAGAATCCATCGGATGTTTATTAGTGAGACCAGACAAAGTGATGCCGGAGAATACACTTTTGTGGCAGGAAGAAACAGGAGCTCTGTAACTCTCTACGTCAATGGTACGGATGGAGGCTAAAGCACACCTTTCTGACCAAGGCTTAAGCACTGAAATAGTACTATTGATGTCATTTTGAAGGATTTGGGGGCAGCTCCAATTCAATGTTCTTTTGTCTATGCTACAAATAGATGTTTTTCTATTTCTTCCTTTTTCAAAACAACTTAAAGTGTTTACATATGTGTGCCATTGCACTTTTCTTGAATTTTATTGGTTTTAAAATGTAGGACAGATGGAAAGTAAAGAATCAATACCAGCCTAGAGAGTGCATAATTGCTGGGTGCATTTTTAGTCAGTCTGTAGTACTGAGAATGCTCTTTAAGAAATCCAGGTAGACAGACAGATAGACAGATAGATAGATAGATAGATAGATAGATAGATAGATAGATAGATAGATAGACAGACAGACAGACAGACAGACAGATAGATAGATAGATAGGTAGATAGATAGATATTGAGATTTATATATATATATATATATATATATATATATATATATGTATCTCAATCATATTGACTTTAGGATTAAGCACTGAAAAGTGGATGCCCCCTAGACCAGCATTCTGGGAGTTTATACTAGCATTATGGGCATCTGAGCGACTCATAGCCAGGAATGTGCTGGCAAATATTTAAACGATTAGCTCGCTAGTATCACTTCGAGTAAGAGAAAAAAATGTACTCTCAACGTGTTTTAAAGTTTAATCAGCTTTATTCACATTTTCTCCATGTTCTTAGTTCTAGATAATCAACACAAACAAGAAATCAAGCTCTGATTAGTAGCATTTGTGGATTTCTGAGGTGTAAATGCTCAAGTTGAAAATAAAATTGTCAGCTCTTATAAGGTGGCTGGAGCTGGTTCTAGCATACCCCTGTAGCCAATGCATCAGATTTTTTCAGTGTCTGGTTTCCAATACAGGAGCTCCAGTGGAAGGAGAATATTTCTGGGACGCCCATGGTTTTTATCCCACTAAGCAAAAAGTGTAGCATATAGTAGGCACTTAATAAATACTGCTTGATTAGCTTACGAATTGGTGACACCACCGATGAATATGCCATTGAATCACTTTGATCTTCCCAAGCCTTGGAGCTGACCTGTTTTGAAGCTGAGTGGCCTCAAAATAGGCAGACAGAGTAGTGATTGCTGACATTTATATAGCACTTCAGAGTGCTTTTACATACAGTCTCTCATTTGATTGTCACCACAATCCTGTCAGGGAGATGTTGCTATTATCCCTATTTTACTGGTGAGGAAACCAAGGCAGTTAACTCACACAGCTAATAAATGTTGAATGTGGGATTTGAACCCATGTTTTCCTTATTGCACATCCATTGCTGCATCTACTGTGCCACTAAATGACGTATGAAAAAAGCCCTAAATAGTATCTCTGTCTCATTTCAGGCTACATCAAACTAAACAGACTTCCCTGAAAGGACCTAGAGAATGAGTATAGTGACCAGTTTCCAATGCATTCTGAGAGTTGGCTTATCATAATATCCATTTATTATTATGCCCATTTTAGAGACAGAAAGAAATGAGACACAGAAAATTAGCATCCGGTACTTCAGTGGTAAAAATGAGACTAGCTATTGTATTTTCCAGTCTTGTGTTTCATGAATTGGAGCAGCTAGGGTGCAGTGGATAGTGTTGGACCTGGAGTCAGGAAGAACTAAGTTCAAATCCAGCCTCATATACTTACTAGTTGTGTGACCTTGGGCAAGTCACTTAACCCTGTTTACTTCCGTTTCCTCATCTGCAAAATGAGCTGAAGAAGGAAATGGCAAGCCACATTTCTTTGCCAAGAAAACCCCACAATGGGAAATCCTATTGTGCTGAAATTACTGAACCACAACAAATTCCATGAATTAATTAGTTCCCTTTACTTAAGAATAGGTAGAATATGTTTTCTTTAGCCCATGTGCTTTATCTACATAGTTGATTTGGATTCACAACATGTAGATAATATTCTACACCAGTCATGTGTTCATTCAATAAACACTTATTGAGCACCTACTGTCTGCAAGGCACCATAGTAGGCATTGTTGTGAGGCAAAGATGTCTAAGTCTTGGCAAACATTTATTAAATGCCTACTGTGTGCTAAGCACTATGCTAAGCACAATATACATATATAGATGATATAGATATAGATATAGATTAGACATATAGATATAGATATAGATATAGATATAGATATAGATATAGATATAGATAGACATATAGATATAGATATAGATATAGATATAGATATAGATATAGATATAGATATAGATATAGATATAGATATAGATATAGATATAGATATAGATATAGATATAGATATATAAGACTGCTCTCCGAGAACCTATGATTTAGTGTGATCAAGTGGAAGAAATACTAGACTGTAAGTCAGGAAGCCTGAGTTCTGGTGCCTGTTTTATCACTGACCCCTGGGTGTCTCTTCCCTGAGCCTGGGTTTTTCCCATTTATAAACTGATGGGATTGGACTAGATCATCTCAAAATTCCTTTCCACCTTTACTATTCTACAATCATGTCCCATAAAAGAGACACTAAGGCACAATGAAAATCAATCAATTTAGCATTTATCAACCAACTGCTATATTCTAAGCAATGTGCCAAGCTTTGGGAATGCAGAGACAAAAATAAAATGAAAAAGGCCCTACCCTCCAGGAGTTTACATTCTATCAGGATCTGGGATCAGGAGAACTGTATTTGATTCTTTAAAGTTTTACATGAGATAACAAAAGTTATTCCTCCCTTCCTGCCACACCAAACAGGACAAGGTTCTAAAGCCAAGGGAAACCCAGAAAGACCCTTAAGGTAGCCCATAAGACCTGAGTTTTGTCATTGAACATTTAATAAGAATAGGTCGCATTTACATCATCGTGAAGGTTTAAAAATGCTACGGCTATGGGTCACTCAGATGGTCATGGTGCCAGTATTCTATAACATGCTATCTCATTTGCTCTTACGATAACCCTGTTGGGTAGAGGCTACCTTTATCCCAGTTTTATAGACGAGGAATCAGAAGCTGTCAGAAGTTAAGTAATTTACCAGACTAATAAGTATCTGATGGAGGATTTGAACCCAGAGGGGTCGAGGATAGGAGGGTGGGGAGGGGGTGGTAAAGAGCAAGCATTCATTAAGCACCTGTGTGTCAGGTGTGCTTTCCATATATCTCACTTGATCTTCATAACTCTGGAAGATGGGTGCTATTGTCATCACCATTTTACAGTTGGGGAAAATGAGGCAGAGAGCACTTAAGTGACTTGCTTAAGTCACACAGCTAGTAAGTGCCTGAGGCCAGGTCTTCCTGACTCCAGGCCCAGAACATTGTATCCACTGCACCAGCTAGCTGCCTGTACCATTTTATTTAGCATCTTTTGGGCATATTCATCTTGTCCTTAAGCACTCTTTAATGAGATCTTTTTTTTTCATTTATTTCCTTATAGCTCCAGAGCCACCCCAAATCTTACAGGAACTCCAGCCCACCACGGTGCAGTCTGGCAAGCCTGCCCGTTTCTGCGCTGTGATATCAGGCCGACCTCAGCCCAAAATTTCCTGGTACAAAGAGGAACAGTTGCTGTCCACTGGATTCAAGTGCAAATTTCTCCACGATGGGCAAGAATACACTCTCTTGTTGATTGAGGCCTTCCCAGAAGATGCTGCTGTTTACACCTGCGAAGCCAAGAATGACTATGGAATTGCTACTACTTCTGCTTCCCTCACAGTGGAAGGTATGATGCACCTTGCCTTTCACCCCTGGAACAATACAAATGAGGGCTGATTTTGAGTTTCCTTAGATCAGTAATAAATTATGGTTCAATTTGCCAAAATTCGTTTGTGTAGCCAGCTCTTCTGGAGGACATCTAGAAGTGAGATGGTAGATCCTGGAAAGTTCACGAGGCCTTCTAACCATAATAACTCTTTTGGGTCTTTCTCTTTAGTTCCAGAAATTGTATCTCCTGACCAGGAAATGCCTGTCTATCCACCTGCCATCATCAGCCCACTTAGAGATATCGTGACTTCTGAAGGAAGGACAGCCCGCTTTCAGTGCCGAGTGTCTGGAACAGGTATGTTTAGCAAAATAAACTTCCTTCTATTCTTTATTCCTGTTCTCTGATGCTTAAACCCAAAGAAGTTGTTACTTCTGTTTTCCTTTCCCAGTTTGGGATAGAAATGTTCTAGGCCAGGGGTTATTACCTTTTTTTCAATGTTAAGGACACAGTCTGGTGAAGCCTTATAGAGCCTTCTCAGAATAATATTTTACATGCATAAAGTAAAATATATAAGATTACAAAACACTATTAGAACACTATTATCAAAATACCAAAATATACAAACTCATGGACCCTTTAAAATCTATTCCTAGGGAGAAGTCTGAAGACATGGGTTAAGAACTACTGTTCTAAGCCAACTTTTTTTTCTTTCCTTCACAATTATTTTGTCTGTATAGTCTGAATTTAAAGAGAATTCTCCACTTTGACTTAAAAACATTTCTGTTTTGTGGACCTACATGTGTATATGATATGGCCCAAATGCGGACAACGGCCTTGTTAAAACTTAAAGGAACATTATTAGGATTGCTGCCTTTATCCACAGTTAAGTAGGATCAGGGGCGCTAGGTGTCATTTGAGAATTCTGAGAATTTGAGAATTGAGGCACCAGGTCTGGAGTCAGGAAGATCTGAGTTCAAATCTGACCCCAGACACTCACTAGGCTAGGTAACCCTGGGCAAGTAACTTAACCCTGTTTGCCTCAGTCTGTTCATCTGTAAAATGATCTGGAGAAGGAAATGGCAGACCATTCCAGTATATTTGCCAAGAAAACCCCAAATGGGGTCATGAAGAGTCAGATACAGCTGAAACTAATGAATAACAAAAAAGTGGAATCAGCAAAACTTTGCCCCAAGCAAAGGGAATTAGTTCTATTACCTTTCTCTACCTTCCTCCTCTCACAAATACAGAAAGGACTGAAAGTATGAGTAAATGTCTTCACTTACACAGGTCACAGCCATCTACAACTTAGTATAGTAAGTCCTAGGAAGTTGCTTGAGACACAGACAGGCTAAATGATTGTCCAATCACTTAGCTAGAAATTGTCAGCAGTTGGTTTTCAATACAAGTTATCCTGATTCTCAGCCGAGCATTCTATCTACTATGGCACATTGTCTCTGTCTTTCTACATATCATAAGTGGGGTAGAATAATCCATCTACACAAACCCACTTGGGGAAAAACATGAAAAGTCTTTCATTAAAGGGGAAAACAACTGAACTGTGAACAGACCGAACAAGCAGGCTATTAGAAAAGCAAATGTCAGCTTGCCTCTGATGTGTCATCAGCACCCTAACCAAGACTCATTCAGACTCTGAGAAATTCATTTTGAGTGTATGTATCAGAGTTCTCAAAACCTGGATGTATTCCCATTGACTTTATTACACATATCACAAATCGGAGGCAATTTGACATTTGTCGTGGTAATAGCTTATTTTTTAAGCCTGTTGTCAGCTTAGCAGAGTTGGGAGAGGGAAGAAAATAAGGGGAAAAAAAAGAAATTTACATGTTAACTTTGTTGTATATTTAAATGGAATAGCAAGTTGTACATAGCAGATTTGCAGCTACATGTGCAATCATCTTTTTATTATATTATGTTATGGAAATGATTGTTTTATCCCACATATTAAAATTGTAATAAGTAGAATTGCAGTTGAATCAGCAGACCAAAGTTATAAGTAGATCCAGAGAACTACTGTTAGCTATGCTTTTGCCTGTGATTAATAACTTTGATTTTATTGCGCTGTGTTTTACAAACGGACACTTAAAACACTTATTATTTGATTCTCACAACCTTGTGAAGTAGATGCTATTATTACCCCCATTTTACAGAGGAGGAAACTGAGGCTGTCACTGAGCTAGTAAGGCTGTTAACACTCAAAACATATTATTATCAATAATTAGCTTGGTAATGTATTTCTTAATTATAATAATAAATATATTTAAAAAACTTGAATTTATGAATTATCCAAAGGGTTTTCTTTTCATTGAAATTTCTTTGAAAAAGATTTTCATAAAAATTAGAAACATGACTAGCTATATGACCTTGGGCAAGTCACTTCAAAATTCTAGGTCTCAGTATCCTCTTCTAGAAAATGGGTGGATTGGACTACTACCAAGTGAAGAGTCTAAGGGTCCCTTAGTTATTCAATTCCTATAGTCATAATATCTAACATTTATTTTGATTTTGTCTTTGAGATGGTAAAAAAAAAAAGCAACCCAAAACCGAAGGTCAGTTTTTGGCACAATGCACAAATACAATTTGGAGGGGCATAGGAAACAGAAAAAATGTATAATCCTTCTGTCATAATAACTTAAAGTAAATTTAAATCTTGTGAGCATTTTAAATGTTTGAGCAGACAACCCCATAGATATTTCAAGCCATTCAAATACCTATATCTACAGGCATACATATTTCAATATCTATATGCTTATTTTTTTATATAACAAAATTTAAAATCCACTCTAAAAGCTGATTTCAATAGCTAGCGAGGTTACATACACATGTATATCCACATATATACACGCATATACATATATGTGTATATATATGTATGCTCATTCTTGCCCCTATTCTAGTATTCACAATGCAATCCCTCATCAGAACTAACAACTAATCAACCAGCATTTATTAAGCACCTACTATGTGCCAGGCTTTGTGCTAAGTTCCAGGGATACACAGAAAGGCAAATAATCCCCTCCTGCTTTTAAGGAGCTCACATCCTAGTGGGAGACAACATGCAAACAACTGTATAAACAAGACATTTACAGGATAAACTGGAAATAGTAACATAGGCTAGGTATTAGCTTCTCAGCACTCACCGCTAGCCACTATCTGCAACAGCGGCAGTGCTTTCATGTCCATTAGAAAAACCAGGAGTCACTTGGAATTGCCTAATACTTGAGATTTCATTAGACTGAATGCTTTGTGAAACATAAAGGGATATTTGTGCTTAAAAGATGTGAAAATACCAGCAGATTGAAAAAAAAGCTAGGACCTTAAATGAATCGTGTGTGGTCTTTGGTGCCACCTAGTGACAAAATAATAAAATGACATGCTTTTCAATTCATAAAACTTTTTTTTAAAGGTCCATTCGTTTTGGAAGAATTTTCATATACTTTAAAGAGTTCAGTGTGTGAAAAAAGTTAAAGCAATGTGGTACTTGATAACTAATAGTTTCCTCATTAGATCCATTATAATTATTTTTACAGTACTTTCATATAACAAAATCCAGTTTTCATTCCATAAACCATTCATTCTATCTTAACTCTTTGTGTCAGACCTTAGTTTCATAATTCAATTAAGATATCTTTTAATTATGGGCTTTCACTTTTGTTATATCCAAATGGGTGTCTTGCATTATTGATTGCATTATCATAATATTATACATTAACTATTTTAAGGTTTTATTAAAAAAAATTGAAATGATGAATTTTAACAGAACAACCCTTCTCCAAACACATTTCAAGAATCATAAAATGAAGACATTTAAATTCAGTAAGCATTTCTAAATGCCTACTTTGTACAGAACATTGTGTATTAGACTGGGGAGGATGCAACCTGTAATGAAGACCTGGTCTGTGCCCTCAATAAGCTTAAAGTCTAATAAAGTGGAAAAAACTACAATATAAAATAATGGGTGTTGGCTAGCCCTAAAACAAAGTGCTATGATGTGATTAAGGTGAAAAATTTGTCACTGTCTAAAGGTAGCTGGCAAGGCTTCATGGAGAAGGTAGAATCTTCTTTTCTTTTCTTTTCTTTTTTTTTTTTTTTTGGCAATTGGGGTTAAGTGACTTGCCCAGGGTCACACAGTTAGTAAGTGTCAAGTATTTGGCCTGAGGCCAAATTTGAACTCAGGTCCTCCTGACTTCAGGGCCTGTGTTCTATCCACTGCGCCACCTAGCTGCCCCAAGAAGGTAGAATTTGAGTTGGGCTTTGGAAGGAAGACTGGCAGAGAAAGATGTTCTAGGATGAGCAGTCAGAGAGTAGGAAAAGCACCAGCTATGTTTAGGGGACAGATGGACAGACAGGAGTCAACCCCTTGCTTTTAAGCAGTAAGAAAACTATCAGCGTGATAATAACAAGTAATGGTAAAAATAGTAACTCCTAACCTTTGTTTATTAATTTACTACTTAAAGAGGACTTTACATCTGTTTTCTCATAATCATGGCAGCTGCCACACATCTATTCTACATACAATACTACGTTGTCCTCAGGGCTAATCTTGCATCCAAAGAAAATTAGAATTAGAAGAAGATATATAGTGGCAGGTGGATACTGGAAAGAAGGGGCAGAGAAAAATAGTAATATAATAATGGGGTTACTTCAAGAGAAAAAACATATCCAAGGCCATTGGCTATACATATCTCACAGTGACTTGCAGCAGTCTCCTGGGGTCACTATCCATATGCTAGTAATCACAAAGTAGAGTCAGGAAAAGCTGTGAATGGTCTAGTCCAATTCTATCACTGTCCTGGAAAAAAAAAAAGAATCAAAGTATGCATCTTACCAGTGATGGGCATTAAAAGAGGAGACTGTTTACCTGATTATCAAAGAAGGATCCTATATACTATCTCCTTGGAGTTCTGTTGACACTGGGGAGTTAGCTTTCTCCTCTTTCTTTTCCCCTTCCTCTATGAATGTATACCTATCAATTACACAAAACATGAAGCTTTTTTATTTTATTTTTAATTTATGGAATAAAGCAAGCATTTCCACAGCATATTATAAAGCTAGTCAGAAGATTACAGAATTGTTTAATAAGTTTGAAGTTTGGCCCAATATTCTACTCCATCAATAGACTACTCAGAATTTGTCATCATAGCTTTGTTATACAAAGGTTCCTGCACAGAAAGTCTGGGGAGGCTGAGGTTCATATAGAGTTAGGATACCGTCCTGGGAAAACCATTTATTTTACCAAGATGGGTTCATCCAATTAGCTTCATTTTTTGTGGCTTTCTTGTTCACCTAGTGGCTGCTGTCCTGGGGCTTCAGTTCTCAAAAAAAAAAAAGTTGTCGATTAAATCCAATAAATATTTATTAAGTACCTACTCTACTGTTGTAGGTACAGAGTATACAAAGATGAAACCTGATATAGTCTACATGACCAATTAGAGAGCCAACTAACCATCTTTACAAATTCTTTCTTACAAAAGAAGAGAAAAATCTAGAGAGGCACAGGTTGATTGTTAATTTACTAATAGTGCAACCTACCAATGCCTTTGTAACAGGTAAACCTGGCCTTTGGCTATAATATCTAAGGATAGTAATTAGCCTTTTTATTTCATGGGCATAAGGAACTCCCAGATGAGGAATTCTTTCTACCAATAGCAATTGGCACCTTCTCTGCAGCATATAGTCTTAGGTAGCTGCCCAAAGCCCTGAGAGGACAAGTGACCTGCAGAGTGCCACCCAGCCTGTAGATAGCAGAGGATTTTCATGACTATTTATCCACTATGCCACACAGATAACAAATATACAAATGTGACTATAGCATCTCAACATCTGTTTGACAAATGTAAAGGAATGTAACGCCATTAGACCATGAGCTTAGACCATGAGCTCCTTGAAAGCAGAAGATGCCTTTTTGCCTTTCTTTGTCTTCTCAGCACACCACCTGGCACATAGTATGTGCTTAATAAATGTTGGTCAAATGTATGAATGACTGAATGAATTGGAATCATGTAATTTGAATAAATAAACCATAATGTCACCACTGTAAAATAATATATTTTCAGATAAAATGTATCCACTATTTTTTCTTTCATTTCAAATGTTCTTTTTTTTTTTTTGCAGATCTGAAGATTACTTGGTACAGCAAAGACAAGGCAATTAAACCTTCTCGCTTCTTTAAAATGACTCAGTTTGAAGACACATACCAGCTGGAGATTGTGGAAGCTTATCCGGAGGATGAAGGAATTTATACATTTGTCGCTAGTAATGCTGTAGGCCAAGTGTCAAGTACAGCAAACCTGAGACTAGAAGGTACAGTATTATAAACCCCCCAAAAAAAATCTATTTCCATTTAGAATCTAATCCCATAAAGACAATAACCTTACTACAAACCACCACTGGTCATCTGTTGATATCTAATTCAACTAATTTTATCATCTGCCAATATCCTGCACAATCATCCATTCTCACTTTCGCATTCCACCCCCAGAGTGTCTTACATAGTATTCTGTTGGCTGTGATGATCAGTTCAGCATCATACTGCTAGGATGCTCCTAGACCAGATGTGTCAGAGGGCAGAGAAGATGAGGAAATAAAATTATTTTGTTGGTCAAGAAAAGCCAATTTTTGTCATCGCTAATGATGATGATGATAACAATAATAATGCAAATTGTGATTACAGTGAGTTGACATTATTCTTTCATGAAAGAAATTATTAAATTTTTCGTGCCTAGGCATTGTCACGGTAATAATAACAACTGCTTTATTTACCTGTCTTTTGGAAACATAAATTCAATTGTAACTATGAAAATACTACTTTTGTTCTAATTTATAATACTCTCCTGTCTGCTTGTAAATGAATTCATAAACCCACCCAAATATGAAATATTATAGTAGTTAACATATATTGATTTTGATCCACTTAGGACTCTGAATTGTTGTTCAATTTTTTTAAATGGCCCTAGTCCTTGGACTTTATGTTCATAACTAAAATTAAACAAATGTCATTTTAATTGGATTTTTTGTTTCTCTAACAAGAAATTTCTCTAAAACTCTATAACATTACAATTTTCTCTAAAATTCTTCAGCTTTTTTTTTGTGCCATGGATCCCTCTGGTAGTATTGCGTAGTCTATGACCCTATTCTCAGAATGCTTTTAAAGACAAAAAGTAAAATACATAGGGTCACAAAAGAATATAATTTATGTGGAAATATAACAGTCGAAAAATTAAAAACAGCTTAAATTATCAAGGTGGTATTAAGGTAGTTTAATTAAAATAGCCCTTATAATTAAAATATTGTAAGCAACAAATATCTGCCTTATTGCCCTCCTACCTCCCTTGCCCCTAACCCTCCACTGAGAAAAAAATAAATAAAAGCTCTGTTATAAACATATATAGTCAATCAAAACATTCCCGCATTGGCCATGTCCAAAAAAAAAAAATTCTCCATCTGTGCTTTGAATCCATTACCTCTCTATTAGGAGCTATATAGCGTGAATTGAAATATAGTTATCAAAAAAAAATTTAAACAATCTCATGGACCTCAGGTTAAGAACTCCTACTAAAATGATTAAAATGTCAAATTTGAAATGACCATGTATAGTTTATGATATTAGTGGTTCAGTGGGGAATTCAACACAGTGTTTTAATTATCAGGGACTATTGTTGCTCCTGTGGAGGACACTACTATTACCTGTGTGAAGTTAAGGTGTTAGTATACCTGAGTTCAAATCCAGCCTCGGACCCTTGCCAACTATATGACTGGTAAAGCCAGCCACTTTACTGTCTGCCTGCCTCAGCTTCCCCATCTGTAAAATGGATATAATAATATCACCTCCCTTTCAGGATTGTTGTGAGTATCAAATGAGATAATACTTGCAAACCTCATAGCACAGTGACTGGCGCATAGTAGGTGCTTACCTCCTATAGTACTTTAAGAATTTCTGGTCCAGAAGAAATAGTCAAATTTTCTGCTGAAAACAAAAGAACTTCAGAGTCAGAGTTAGTATATAGTTATAGCAGAATGACAAGATTTTCTTTCTTTCTTTTTTTTTTTTGGCTAGGCAATGGGGTTAAGTGACTTGCCCAGAGTCACACAGCTAGTAAGTGTTATGTGTCTGAGGCCAAATTTGAACTCAGGTCCTCCTGAATCCAGGGCTGGTGCTCTATCCACTGCACCACCTAGCTGCCCCCAAGAATTTCTTTATGCTGATAATAATTATTGGCCTTTATAGAACACAATTGTGCAAGGTGCTTTACACCCATTATCTCATTTCAGTCTTATGAACATACTGGGAGGTAGGCATACAGATTTTTAAAAATCACCCAAAGGGAGGTAGCAGTATAGAGTTGAAACACCGCCGTGTTTGAAACTCAGAGAGTGCAGTGATGTGAATTTCTCAGTTAAGGGAGTGCTGTCCTCTTATTCTCCACCCCCACACTGATCTGCCTTTATTGTTGGCCTATGTTTGGCTCTCCACCATCAGGGAAGGAACTTTACAAATTCTATTATCTAACCCCCCCATCTCACAGTTAGGGAAGATGAGGCAGAAGCCCAGAGAGAATCCCCACTAATTCCTCCGTATTACCCAGACTCCTATATGCCTTTAACTATCCGGTGGAAGAAAATTAAGTGATACCCGTGAGACGGGTATCACAATAATGGGATGTTCTTAGGGGAGGGGGGGGAATGGCTATTTCCAAGAAATTTACCTTTGTGCCTTTTTTTCACATCTTCAAAATGTCAAATTTAAAGTAATTTTTAGGATAAGGAACCACTGGAGCAACAAATTAAGCACTGGGTTTTCTTTCCTCCAATCTGTGTTCCATTGCTGCCTTCCTGACTTTTATATTGAAGTCACTTAGCCTGCTTATGTCTCAGTTTGCTTAACTGAAAAATGGGAACGACTAGTCTTCCAAGCAATAAGCTCTGTAACTTCAGGCATTTGGGCTGCATGATAGCTCCTTATCAGATTCTCCATTAAATGTGAAGACTCCTGCAGCTGAGATCAAAAGAAGGAACATGCAATCTCCTATTTAGTAGGCTAATTTGGTCCCACTGAGCAAGCCATCAAAAGGAAAATAAAGCATCTGTTTTAGTTCAGGGCAACACATTAAAAGTTGACATGCTTCTTTTCAGGATTTAGAAAAGGTGAAGAAGTAACATCAACCACCCCATGGCATGTCCCTTCATCAGTCTCATTTAAGAAGGAGTCCCTTGGCCAAAGGCCCATCTTCATCCAGCCAATTTCCAGCTGCCGGGTGTGCAGTGGAGAGACAGTCAGATTTCATGCGAGGGTCTCTGGCATGCCCAAACCAGAAATCCAGTGGTTTCATAACCAGCAGCTAATTCTTCCAACCAAAGACGTAGTTTTCCATTTTGACGAGTCGACAGGCATGGCTTTAATGCTGATAGTTGATGCTTACTTAGAGCATGTGGGGCAGTACTCTTGTAAGGCAAGAAATAGTGCTGGCGAAGCAACTTGTACAGCTACGCTTACAGTGACTGCAGAAGGTAAAGCTGATTTCTTTTGTTTTCTCTCCAAAGAGTTTACTTTACTGCATAGCATACATTCCCACTCTTCACTAACCATGTCTCGTGTTATTTGTCATGTCCCGTGTTGTGGCAAATTCACTAATAAAGTAACAGCTGTAACTGGCAGGCACCCTTGCTTACTCTTTGCAATGTATAACACATGCATTTAAACCCCTTGCCAAATTGTCTGTTCCAGGCATTTGCAAAAGAGCAATCATTCTGCTGGGCTCTGACTTGCTTAATTATTTATTCAACTTTTTTAAGTGACTAAAGAAGACAAACAAGCCTCAGAGTGGGACATGAAGTAGTTAATCTTTATACCGTACATTCAAAAGAGATGTGATTGTTTTCCCCAGTAAAATTAGGAAGGAGAGGTCAAATGGTATCTCGAATAGTGTCATAAAAATATTCTCTGTCACTATGGATAACTTCAGTGACATCAAAAAGAAGAAACCAGTTACTTTTTGGCACCCGCATGAGCACTCCATCGTCCATTCATCATTGTGAATGAATTTTCCTTTTGTGTGTGGCTCTGACTTCCACGATCATATTGCATCTGGCATGCTGTTTCCGAGTGACAGTGATATCATTCGTTCTCATCTCCCATGCCATATCATGTATGTTAATAACTTGGCTCAATAATCTACAGTAGATATTAATATTCTTTTTTTTTCTATCACTTGATTATACAGTGCAAGCCCTAGATAGGCAAAGTTCTGGGAAAGATGTAAGAGAGTCTGCCAACTCCCAGGCAGTAGCAGAAGCTCACATTGATTCCCCTTTCCCAAAAGAGGAGACCAAAATATCAAAAAAAGAAACTAAATCACTTCAAGAATCATCATACGAATATGAGGTACAGGTTTGTGAAAGCATTTCAGAAAGTTCCATCTCGAAATCTACAGCAGTGCAAGATGTAGAATTGTACCAAGCCACATCCATTTCCCAGATCGCAGAGGGTGACCAGCTATCTGGGGACATTTTTGAAGGAGAAAGAGGTATCACCCCCCAAATCCTCCTGAAGCTCAAGGACCTGACCACGAAGTGTGGAGACACTGCTCAGTTCTTTTGTGTAGTGGAAAATGGAACCTCTGAAGGTACAACCTGGACCCACGAAGGGGTAAAAATTGAAGGAACAGAGAGAGTGAAGCAGTCACAAAACGGAAATGTTCAGCTTCTCACTATTCAGAATGTTCAGCTGGTAGACCAAGGATTGTATTGCTGTACTGTACGCAATGATCATGGAGAGAAGACAGCCTCTGCAGTACTAACCATAGAAGGTGGTTATTTGATTTTAACTTTCACTTTACTTCATTTCAATCTCATTGCTTATTCAGTTTTGCTGCCCCCCCCAATTTAATCTATATATACCTTGGAATGCCTTATAATTAGTACTCTATTCATAAATGACTTGTGCTTATTCAACCATTGATGATTATGAAAAGTTACCTTTCAAATCAAGGCTTGGAAAGTTCAAGTTGGCACATCAAATTCTTCCTCCCCAGATACTGTAGGAAGGATGTTGCTAGAAAGGAATGAGAGTACTCAGTAGTTTAGCCTTACTTATAAAAGTTCAACTCATCTAACACTGCAGTATGCTAAATTTGGGGAAAAACATAGAAAGATTAGTTCATATTATCCAAGGATGATATGAACATAGTTGAGACCTGTAGAGCAGCATCAGAGTGATTAAGGTTCTGGGAAATGATAAGTGACTAGCATCTATGCAAGTCACACTGCCCAGTATTATGTGTATGAAAAGGTACTTCTACAATTCCTGACATTGCAGGACAAGACTAAACATACATTCAACAATCTTTGTTTCTGGAAGAATGCTGAGAAATCCTGTGCTGGGGATTAAAACCTCCATGTCCCTGGAATCTCCTCTTCAGATGTGAACTTAAAGGAAAAAAATCATCCTCTAGATGTCTGAAATCTGTGTCTGCAGGCAGAGACGCTGACGAGCCATTTCCAAAGAGGAATGACAAAATGACTGTGGGAAGAAGAAACTAGTAAACTTCTAGACAAATTATGGATTATTGTGGTCTTGGGCTTCTCTATACTCTCTCTCGAGGCTCTACATCTGAAGTAGCGAACCAATGTAACTGGACCACAATTCTCTGTGTTTCTCTTGTCATGGCACATCTTCCTCCTTGGCTTCACCTTTAGCTTAGTCTTCCCTTCCACACAGAGTGGAGAGAACCAGGTTAATGTTCATATTTCTTTTCATTATCTAGCAAATACTAGACATCTACTCAACAAAAGTTCATTTTTTAAACGTGGTCCTATAGGTCAGACACTTAGGGTCTAGCTATGTATTTCAACTGAGACATTCCATGCAGAGAATTGACCCCTTAATTCCTCTGATCTTGGTAGCTGCTGGACTAACTCATCAGCCATGGTTGTATGGATTCACTGATCATCTGAAGTTGATAGCTACATGCCATTCATATGACTACCATGATCACTGTCCTTTTTTTAGTTAATTGTCTAACTTCCAGTAAATAGTAAGGCATAACATCAAAGCATTTCATGACTACCACCTAACCCAACTTATTTAATAGGCCTGTAAATACCCTGGCTAGGTTTTAGATTCCGAATTCAGTTGCTCATAATCTTCATGCATTATTGGAGATTCCAAGCAGAAAAAAATGGTAGTCCGCTACTCTTTTTAAGGTGCAAGCCACTCATTTGTGACTAGTACCTCATTGTACAAGCTCCTCATGGTGGATCAGTCCTGAGAACTTTGCTCTGAGAGGTCCATAGAGAAGAGCCTTTCAACTTCTGTACATCACACTATCCCACTGTTCTTGAGGGAACATCCTCAGAAGATCTAGAATTCCTCGTCTCAGCAGCACAATCAACACTTAAGACCTCTGTAAGATAACATTTTTCTAATTCTAGGAAATAAAGTTGGTCTTCATCTGGCCCTAATATGGCATAGAAACTCTTTCATAATTATTTCATAATCTCCTTGCTCAGCACAAGTGATTTAATAGCCATCTAAGTTCAGATAGGAATACATAAAGTACATATATATAAGTCATTATATGCATAGAGACCTTATATGTTTGATAATCACATAAGTCATATGCTTGGCCATAGGACTAATGCACTTGGCATTTCTCTTTCATACTAATGACTTTTTACTTTTCTAAATACAGTATGTATATTTTATTCCTACAAACATAGCAAATCTAATGCTTTTCCCAACTTTATTCCTACCTAGCTAAGGAATCGCAAGAAAGAGCAGTTACAAAAGTTAGCCTTGGTTCAAATATTAAAAGCCTTAAAACACTCAAAGAATCTCATATTAAAACAACCAGAGAAGTAAAAATGGAATCTTCAAAGAAAACATCGAGTTTGTCACTAAACCCATCCTAAAGACCACAAGGAAATGACAAAGGAGCAGAAACTGCTATCCAGATGTTGTGGCCTGTGAAGACATGACTGAAAACTGGTACAATTGTATCAGCCAGCCCTTCTTGAGAAACTGCTTCCCAGATCTCATTAATAAAAAGAAGGAGATTTGCCACCTTTTTGTGTCATAAAGGGTACACCTGCTCCTTAAGAAATGTGGCCCTGTAACCTGTTTGTAGTTAAGGAGCCTGAATTTTGTTTTTTGTAATAATGTTGGCCATTGCAGTTTAAAGTTATTGAAAGTTGGTTCAAAACAGAGTGGTATGTATGAGTGCAGAATACTTAATTCACCTAAACATGACAGGTTGGCAAATGCATGTTCCTTCCAAATGTGACTTCCTCTTGCATTCAAGTGCTCAGTCCCTGAGAAACAATAAAGAAAGAATATCCCTTTAGCTTGTGCATTGCTGTTCTGTATGTGTCCTTCTTGGTGTTTAAGGCATGTCCAGGCATGAGTAATTATGACTTTAAAATGTGAAAATGGAAAACGCTATGGAGAACTTGAAATTTAAAAAAAAACCTGTTTGAAAATAATTTTCTCATGACATTTTCATAGACTTTATCAGATCATTGAATTGTTTTGGCATGTTTTTTTTTTTTTGAAGTGGGCTCCTGTGTCAGTACAACGTATTTGGGAAATTTCAACGCTACAGAACACTAATCAATGTCAAATGCAAGCAATCACTTATCTTTCTCTCTCTCTCTCTCTCTCTCTCTCTCTCTCTCTCTCTCTCTCTCTCTCTCTCTCTCTCTCTCTCTCAGAATCAATTCTTCAAGAGAGGATGGAACAGCAGATGGAGATGGAAGTGAAAGGTATAGTTACCAATGAATGTAAAATTTAAGTAAAAATTGAAAGGATTGGTAGAATCCTTTTCTTCACTATTTTAATTTGTTTTCCTATAGTATTTAATGAAAAAGTATCTGTGTATGTGTATATATATTTCTCTTGGAGAATATATGAACTTGCTGCATGCTTGTTGTAAGTATGATGAAGGTTACTTGCTTTTCCCCTTCATTTAGGTTTATAGTAATGTAAAGCTTTAATATCCATTCAACCATGTTCAACTTCTCATGCTTTGCAGCTGTTTTCAAAAGCTTTTATTTAAATAAATAATTGTCATCTGAATGCATGAAATCTTAGAATAGAATGTTTTATAAAAAGCATATTGAATTGATTAGTCAATGAGATAGATGCCTAACAGTCATTCTCAGAATGCATCGTGATGAATGAACTAGGACTGAAATGACATTTTATTTAGGCTGTGTGGAAATTGTTCATTTCTATTTATATTTTACATTTCATGCACATACATCAATTTAACATGTTATGTCTCTTACACTGGCTTGCAGATAGCTTATGTGATCCTTATTGCCTGCTTTTCATTTCATAACATTGTGAATTTAGTGGCTGTATTAGTTCGAATAAACGCCTTCTTCATTTTATTTTAGCTAATTATTTATGGTTGCAATTCTTGTATATCATTCAAAATTATCTAATTCTCAAAAAAAAAAAAATTAAGCCTCTAACCCACAATCCAAAGAATCAGAAAGGGCGTTTATTCTACTCTCTGCAAGTCAGGTAAGACTTTCTTCTTAGCCTTCCAAGCACAAAACAGTTTTCTGCCAGCAAAACACACATACACAGGAACATGATACTTTGAAATTCATTTTTGCTCATTCAAGAAGAAAGTTCAACAATCTGAAGAAAAGAACAGACAACGAACGATTTTCGTGTCAGAATCTTTAAAACAGAGCATGGTGTTGCGTTTATTCGAACAAATATGGTGAGTGAATTTTTTTTTTATGGATTTGTGAGACCTCTGTAGCATGCACTTTATTTTATTTCTTACATTGCCATTTCATTTATTTTCAATTTTTTTAAAAAATTTATGGGAAATAGCAGAGGGCTTTGTAATGTGATTTTTCTCTTTTTTACAGAGTTGTTCTTCGAGGAAGAAGCTGGACATTTGGAAGGGGATATGACAGAAGCCTTTTCAGATTCAGAAGACTGTTTAGGTCACAGCTTGGTGGCTGCTAAAAGATATGTTAAGAGAACAAGCTCATCTAGCTCCTGGCCTGAAAATTTTAAGCCTTCATTTACCCAAAAGCTTACATTTAAATATGCATTAGAAGGACAACCAGTTGTTTTCCAATGTAGATTAATAGCCTGCCCAACTCCCAAGATAACCTGGTTTCACAACAATAGGCCTATATCAACAAGTCTCAGTAGGGTGATAAAAACTGAAAATGATTTACACAATCATAGTTCCAGCCTAGAGGTTAAAAGTGTACAAGAGAGAGATTCTGGAAGCTATAGATTATTTGCAATTAATAGTGAAGGATCAGCTGAGTCAACAGCATCATTACTTGTTGTTCAAAGGGAACAAGAGGGAAAATATTTGGAATTTTTTAAAAAGGCTAAGAAAACATGTGAAAGTATAGAGGCTTTAGCTGAGGGAACAATAGAAGATAGGGTGAAGGTTGATCTTCGATTCATTGGCTCTCCTTTTAACAAAAAGCAAGATGTCAAACAAAGGGGAATAAGGAGAACCATACATTTCAAGAAAAACATCCCTGCTAAGAGAAAAGATTTCATGTACAATAAAGACTATTTTGAAAGTAAATCTGAGATACAGGAATGGTTTAGTGTAGGTGAGAGTTTTCTGGATGAGGAGACCAAAATGAAATTGCAACGTTTAAGGGAAGCTAAAAGAATTTTAACGGAAAAAAAGAAACTGCCTCCTTTAGATGTATCTTCCGAAATGGATACAAGAATTCTGAAAAATGAAGCAAGCGATAAAGACAATGTGTCCTCTAGAGAACTGAGAAGTATTCCTATATCTTATTTAGATGGAAATAAATATTATATAGATGATTCTACTGAGGAAACAGGTGATTTTCAAAGTGATGTGGATAAAAATTTAATGTCTGGAGAGCCTCCTGAAAGTCCCCAAACCACTTTTGAAGGAATGATTGATGAAGAAATCTTCCAGACCAATATTATGATGGCACAAGATGCATTTCCAAGAGAAAGCTTTCAAGAAGATTCAAAAATTTCAGTCAGAACTGATTCAGTTACAGACAGTTTTCACAATAAGGAAACATTTTTTGAAGATACCCAAGCAGTAGAAGAGTTTGAAGGGTTCATGAGAGAAAGTGTAACCCAAGAATCTTCAGGATGCATCAGCATTGGACAAGTGAATGAAGAAATATGCACAACAGCCCCAAATAATCCTATCACATCTGATGATATTGCATCATATACCAGTGAATCTTTTGCTACTTCTGAAAACACTGAGAAAGTTACAGAAGTAGACAGGCAGAAAATAACACAGGAAGGTTTGCCCCAAGTAAAGCACTCTGTTTCTATGAAAATTGATGAATCACAAACTGAGGTAGAGGAAAAAGCAACTCACTATGAAAGCCCTTTCCAGAAACGTTTGCAACGTTGCACTCCTTCCTTCCTTCGTGAACTTGAGTCTCAAGAAGTAAATGAAGGAGATTGTTGCATGTTTGCTTGTTTCTTTCAAGGATACCCACAACCTATAGTGACTTGGTATAATAATGATATACCAATCCCGCGTAAACAAGAGTATACGATCCGAACTACCGAAGGTCATTCAACGCTAACTTTCTCTTCTGTTCTCCCTCAAAATGAGGGCTCTGTCACATGTGTGCTATTTAACCAATATGGAACGGTAAAAACTTCAGCCATGATTAAAGTGAAGGCTAAACAGAGGTTTGGTGGCAAACCACATAACACTTATTGGGACCCATCCTTCCAGGAGTACACTGAAGAAGAGGAACTTCCATTAGCATTTGACCAAATGAAAGAAGGCAGCCCAACTTTCCAGCAGGAAGACAAATCAAATGTGTCCATTTCAGAAGTTAACCCATCCAGGTCTATCACTGAAGACTTAGAAATACTTTTACTTCCTGTAGAAATTCAGATAACGGCAGCTACCCTTACTCCTGAACAAGAAGAATTTAGAGAAGTGTTCCAACCAGTTGAATTTGTACCTAAAGGAGCATCTGAAGATCAAACTACTCGGTCTCCCAAACACAAATTTACATTTTCGTTCAGTGAGCCACCGAAACTACTAGCAGAAATGCCCAAGTTTATTAAATGTAGAGAAGGGGATTCAGTAATGCTTGAATGTTTACTATCTGGAGATCCTCAACCCATTGTAACCTGGTATCAAAATGGCACAGCCTTGAACCAGAGCCAGAGGTTTGTATTTGAGGAAGAAGATGGTAGGTACAGGTTACATATCAATGAAGTAAGTTCTCAAGACTCTGGAAAATATACCTGTATTGCTGAAAACAACTCAGGAATAGTAGAGAGTGTTTCAGATCTCATGGTAGAGCCTGTCCATCTTAGTTCTTATAATCAATTAGAAAATATTGGTGGTATTGAGATGGAACATTTCTTAAACAGACAAAAACAAATGCAAGGAGAAATTGCAAAAGCACATTTTTATAACTATTCAATTGACTCTCTTACAAGCAAATCTAATGTGAAAGAATATTCAGTAAAGGAATATTTTCAGAGTCTTGAAACTGTTCAGCAGCTACGAGAGAAAGATAAGGAGCATTGTGTATATTCCAAAGAAAAACCAGCTAGATTTATGCGAGGTGTGACAAAATCTGTAATAATCCATGAGTCACCTGAAGTTGAAAACATAAATTTACAATGCCAGAATAAAGGGAAGGACAGATCCATAAGTGAACAAACAGAGTCAGAGAGAGAAGAAGCCAGAGCTTATCCTTTTGAGATGGCGAGACAATTTGGTGAACAAGCGGGAATAGAAAAGGAAAATATTTATGAACATAGAACAGCTGAATATTTGTCAAACATCCAGTCTGAAAGGACGATTCAAAGTTATATGGAGAAAGATTCATCCATTATGGTATCTGAAGAGCCTTGCAATGAAAAAAGAGGTTATATAGGTAAAAAAGTGAAGAAAAAAGGACAGGGGAAACCCTTGGAAAAAGTAATACGTGAGAAGTATGGTTTTAGAAGTGCCACAGATGAAGTCTCTGATGCATGCTACGAAGAACCAGCAAGGACTCCATCTGAATTATTAGAGTCATATGGCCACCTGGTGGGTGAAACAACAGATGTGAGAACTTATGTGAAAGCTGAAGTTGATTCACATAACTTTGAAATGAATTTGAAACTTCTTTCTTCTCAAACGGAGCAGAATTTTGCAGAGAAAGAGAAGGAACAAGGGAAAGAGATCTGTTTAGAAGATCAGGCACCAGCTTCTGAAAGTGCTGAGCCTGGTAGACATATTAGATCAGATCTGAAGCAGTCTCACCCTCATGTAGAAGATGTGGAAGATGACAACCAAGAATTAGAAAAGGTAGAGCCAGAAGTAGTTGAAGACCAGAATCCTGCCTCTGAAATAGATGAACCTGATTTAGGGAGCATTGTATTTGATCTGAAACAAATTTATTCCCATTTAGGAAATACAGCTAAGGAATTGGAAGAGAAAGTTTATGAGCAACAGAAAGAAATATACTGCAAGGATGAAATTCTTAATTCAAAAGCATTAAAATTGGATGTCTGTGATATATCAGAAAATGTGCAAAGTACCACATCATTGACTGAACAAGAAATTCCATCTAGCCAGGAATTTTCCAACGGGCATGTGATTGAGTTGGAAAAAAGCAGTATTGATAAAGATACATTATACCTTGAGAAAGAGGGCCCTTATCTTCAGGAGCATGATTTTAGTATTTTGGAAACAGATTTTTCATTCAAGTTTAGGGCTGAAGAAACCTTAGCACCTGAAAAATCAGAAGCTGGGGTTGAAGGCTTCATATCAGACTTGAAAAAGGCTGCAAGTGAAAGAAGGCATTTAATTACATCTGAAATTGAAGAAAAAGAAGAGCACATCTTGGTGCCTGAACCAACTTCATTTGAAGAGTTAGATATGAGAATGCAGAATTACGAAGGTGTTACTCCTGAAGAACACAATAATGATCGAAATGAAACAGATACGTACCACAGAAAACTCTCTGTCAGTCAGTATTTCCCCTTTCTAATAACTGAAGAACACTTACATCAAAACAGACAAGCAGCAAAAAGATCAGATGGTTTCAAAGAAGAAAAGTGTTATGCAGACAATCAAATTGAAAAAGAAATGCCTTTACCCACTAATGAAACTTTTAGTATTACACAAAGAGAAACATGTCTTTCTGAAAATACTTCTAAACTAAATGAGGTACACACTACTGAAACAGAAGAATCAGAGACTTCTCTGGCAAAATATTTACTTTCTGCTGGAAAGCAGGAGCCCCCTGATACCAAAGACAACAAGGCAGGACTCTTCCAAAATGAATCGATTACTTCAATGGAGGTCGAAGATGTGACTTTCAACACTGTCTATGAATTTTATAACCAGCAACAAGAATCACTGGCTCGTCCATTTTCTCCTGAATCAGATATGTCAATTGAGTTTGGAAGCACAAGCAGTGAGGAAATCTCTGAATTAGACCAATTCTATACACCTCCATCATCAGTTGAACATTTTGAATCTCCTGTTTCTCATGAGTTACATTTTACTTCTCTGGATACAACTGAAAAATACTCCACACCATTAGGAGGAGGGATAGCTGAAAGATATTCTACACCATCAGAAGGTGAAGTAGCTGAAAGATACACCACACCTTCAGGAGGAGAAAGTGCTGAGAGATATTCTACTCCTTCGGATGGAGAAAGTGCTGAGAGATATTCTACTCCTTCGGATGGAGAAAGTGCTGAGAGATATTCTACTCCTTCAGGAGGAGAAAGTGCTGAGAGATATTCTACTCCTTCAGGAGAAGAAACAATTGAAAGATATTCCACACCCTTAGGAGGACCAAAGCTTAATTTAAGCATAAGGAAGTCTCCAGCAAGGGAGGACAGCACACCAAATGACCTCTACCACACTCCTACTGGAGAAGGGAGTCCAGCATGTGATCTATGGCGCTCAGAATCATTTGGTACACCTAATGAAGCAGTTGAACCAAAAGAAAATGAAATGCCACCATCTTTTATCTCACCTCTGACCAAAAGACAGATCTTTGAAAATACAACGTTAGGTTTCATTGTTGAAGTTGAGGGACTCCCAGTTCCTGGTGTGAAATGGTATCGAAATAAATCATTGCTAGAACCAGACGAAAGAGTCAAAATAGAAAGGGTAGGCAATGTGTGTTCCCTGGAAATCTGCAACGTTCAAAAATCAGATGAGGGAGAATACATGTGCCATGCTGTGAATATCATAGGAGAAGCCAAAAGCTTTGCAAAAGTTGACATTTTGCCTCCAGACAAAAGAGCAGTGGCCCTCCCTCCTCCAGTAACACATCAGCATATCATGGAGTTTGATTTGGAAAAAAATTCATCATCAAGGACACCTTCTCCTCAGGAAATTGTCCTAGAAGTTGAATTAGGGGAGAATGATGTTAAAGAATTTGAGAAGCAAGTGAAAATAGTTACAGTTCCAGAATTTACTTCTGATCATAAAAGCATGATTGTAAGTCTTGATGTTCTCCCTTTAAACTTGGTAGAGCCAAATATGGCCTTTATGGGAAATGAAAACAGAGATTTGAAGATTGATTTGGAAGTATTTGAAATGCCTCCACGTTTCACGAAGCCTATTTGTGATTATAAAGTACCAGAGAGCTCAGACGCTATATTTGAATGCTCAGTAATAGGCATTCCAACTCCAGTGATTAGATGGTATAAAGAATACACATATATTGAACCAGATAATATGAAATATGTGGTTAGTGATGAGAAGGGAAGTCATTCCCTTACAATTCGTGGGGTTTGCCTTTTAGACAGTGCTACATATAGATGCAGAGCTGTGAATAATGTAGGCGAAGCTATTTGCAGGGGCTCTCTCACCATAGGGAATTCTGAAATCGTTGCAACAACATCAAGAAAAAGCAAAGTAACTGTAAGTAGTTTTAAGGAGAAAGCAGTCCTGAAAAGCAAATATTCAGACAGCTTTTTTGAGTTTCATGTGGTAGAAGGACCTCCCAGATTTTTAAAAGCTATTTCTGACTGTAGTCACCTGTAGGTACAGCAGCTTACTTCCAATGTCTGGTTCGTGGTTCTCCCAAGCCCATGGTTAACTGGTACAAAGATGGAAAATTGGTTCAAGGAGATAGATTCAGTTCTGAGGAAAGTGACACAGGTTTCCATAACCTCTTTATTACGACTTTAATTCCAACTGATGAAGGCGAGTATAGATGTGTAGCCACAAATCAATTAGGAATGGCGGAGACCTGTGCCACTTTAACCTTAACTAAATTTTGTTGAGCAGTCTGAAAGCGCTAACCACAAGGCCACCATCTCTTAGCATCTGTGTAATTATTATAAGTCTTAGATGCTGTCATGTTTTCAACATCTATAGTCATAGATGATGTCTCAGGTGTATACATTTGTAAAGTCCATTTGAAAGCAGTACTTGTAATGCCCCATTGATGTTATTTCTGCATGTAGAAATCCTATATTTTAATACATGTAAATATTCTGCTTTTCAAGTTGTTGAGTCCTCTTTTGTATATGTTAGTCTGTGAACAAATTTATTAAATATCTCTTTGGTAACTTAGTTGTTTGTACTTCTAATTTACCTGTACTTTAGAAATCAAGTACAGTGAAATGTGGACCCCCACCTAGATGTTGCATTCCTCCTTCATGATAATGTGTCATTGGAACACATTCTCTTTTAGTGAGTAAAAGACCTGCAAATAAATTGTGTGTTCAAAGGAAAAGAGGTGAAATTGAGAACTATATCGGATGAGCAAGCAGAAAATCAGTAAAGGATTAGCATCACCTCTCTTGTCTATCTACATGTGTTATAACCCATATTTGGAACTGTTTTTTTGAATTTATGACCATTATTAACTCTGACTTGAGAACAACAACAACAACAACAACAAAAAAGGCAAAACTAACTCTAGCTAATTGGTAGCTAATTCTGTCTCTCCACTCTTTAAAGACACCAAAATTTTTTTCCAAAATCTGATTGTCCCACAAATGTATTCTGAAGGATTCATTGTTTTGTTCATCATAATTCAAAAGAATTATCTTAAGTGGTCTTCTGTATTTGAACAAGATTCTACCAGCCATTTGCAGATAGGATTCCTACCTGTAAATATGCACCTACCTGTAAATATGCACTCCAATATATGGGTAATAACATATATTCCAGTCTATTTACTAACAGTACAAGACAAAATGGCTTAACTTCTTCACTGAATTTTACTTTTAAATTGACAAGAAATTATTTGTGGAATATACCAAGGTTCTATTATAGACTGCACTTCTTTAAAACGATTTTAACTGATCATTTTTAAAATGACCATCTTTGAAATAATTATAACCTGAAGAAGTCATTTGAACTTCTATCTAAACATAGTCTTACAAACTGTAATTATTGAGAAGCTCTGTTTTCTCATCTATACAATGAGAGGGTTGGACTAGATAATCCATAAGGTACCTTCCAACTCTAAGTTTCTATGCTATGCAATGCTAGCATAAGACAAAAAATGAATTGATAGTTTTAGTTTTGTAGCAATGAGGAAACAAAATGGGATACAGTAAAGGAAATATGAATCTTGATTCAACTTAACCATGAGCTATTGCATTATTTTTTTCTGGTTATGTAACAGTAAGGCTCTTCCGTAATTACATATTACCCAAATTATTTGAACAGTGTGTGAACAGCATCCAATAAATATATTTTAGCATGACAATTTAAATTTTAACCTCAAATAACATGTATATTCAGTATCTGTTTTTTCTGTATGGATCCTATATTTCCTTTGTTTAATATGTTTTTTACAATGGACTCTTTCTATCATTAAAACCCCCCAAACTTTTAAAATTAAAAGTTATAAGTAATAGAAGTCATAATGAATAGAATAACCCAAACTAAGAGGGTCAATGTTTGACACTGACATCCTCATAAAATCTTTAAAGGAGCTTATTTTTTAAAAATAAGATCCAGTGCCTTGTTAATAATTAATGGCATTCAAAAATTGCTTTAAAGTTTATACAGCACTTTATGTATGTTCAATGATCCGTTATTTACTGAACTCACAAAGAGGAGTTTTGGTTGTGAAATTCAACGTTTTCTGATGTTAGAAAGAATTCATTGTATCAAACCATCTTAAGCTCAACTATGAGCTTAAAAAAAAAACCTTGTTTCACTACTGTAAGCCATAAAAAGTTTTAATATGGAACACTCTTAACAATTCATTCACATTTAATTTGCTGACCTTGTTCATGGTTAACATGTCATTTTCTCTTTTTCTAAATATTGAAAAATGAGAAATAACAAATAAGATTCTCTGATTCAACATTGTGGTAAGTAGGAATAGTTTCATACTGCATATCCATATTCATTCCCTTTAGAATTACTTGGGGAATGTAATAGGAAAACCTTAGATAAGTCATATATTGTAAATCAAAGACGCCACTAAAATGGTCACCAAAAGTATGTTAAATTAAAGGCATATTTAGGACTCATTGACTAAAATAATCAATAAGTGGTTCTATTCCAATTGCTGACTGTGACTTTGGCCAGTGTTCTTATATTTCATAAATACTAGAATCTCATCTTTTAAAATAAATATACTTCCTGTACCTTCTTATACCACTAATGCAGCTCTGCAGAAAAGGATCGAGTATAAGGCTAGTCTATCTTGTATATGGTTCAAGAGCAATTATCTACTGAAGTAACAAAAGAATTGTACAGTACAAGATTGTCTTGTCTCCCAGAATGGATGATGAGGGCTACATTAAAAAGGGAATGTGGAATAGTTTAATACAAATATTCTTTCATTCTCTCAATCAGGGTACAGTAATTACTTACTCCTATTCACTATTTTGTATTTGTATTTCAAGTATTGCTGTATAGGTTTTCCTCACCCAATAAAACACTTTCAAATAGTAATGTTGGGATTTTTTTTTCATTTTCTGGCTCTTTAACTCTCTTTGCTTACCCAGTAAAAAGGCTTGTTGAATTAATCTTGTGCCAATCATCATGGTTAAAGTGACACAAAGCTATGTACACTCTCCTTCAGGGATGAACTGCAAGATGGCAAAGAGTGGGTCAAAAAAATCTGGTTTTTTTCTTTCTAATCATCAAAATGCCGTTTGAAAATGTTTTCTCATGTTATCATCTAGAAATATCCTCATTCATCATAAAGATCTTTTCTTCAAAAACACTTCCTTAGCAACTCAAAATAAAAAACATTTCCCATGAACACTCAATTTTTAACAGCTTTGGTTTGAAGGCATTTTGTGGCAACATGTTTCATTTTAGAAATAATGATTTGGGCTTCATAATAATATCAAGTGAAATTTCAGTATATTAAAAGTTTTTAAAAGTGATCATGAGTCACAGTTATCTAAACTTTTAGCAGCAGTTATAAGCAGGTATCCAAGGCAGTTCAACTTTATATATGTGAACAAACAAAAGATGTAGTCCAACATTGGAGTAAAAGTGAAACATCAGTCGAAAACAGATTGTTTTGGATGTTTTGCCAATGTTTTAAAATTTGAATCAGATATCTCAGGCTTTATCTGTGTGTTTGAAATTTTGTAGACATGGTCTCAATGAACCAGAAAGTTATTTTTTAGGAAGAGAAATCTATTTTCAGCTTTATTGATATCTTTTTTCTATCTGTACTCTTACATTGCCCAAGTTATGTGCCTAAACAGTTCAAAATCAAAATGAAATTTGGACTTATTAGTAATGAATTAATAATAGAAGGAGGCCATCCATCATTCTGTGCTGACAATGAAATTAAAATATTTTCTTATTAGGAGATGGTTAAATAAAATGTCTTTGTCTAATCTGCTTATAAAATTTAATGGGAAAAAAACTTAGATTGGGTCACAGGACTAAGTTCTTTTTGTCCCATAGGGAGGAAGTGAAGTTCGATGGGAAGAGATCAAGGTTTAGTGTCAGAACACTTGGGTTTGAAACCTAGCTCTGCCATTAACTAGGTGTATGACCTTGACCAAGGTCAATTAATCTTTCTGAGCCTCAGGTTTCTTATCCAGACTCTAAGGTCCTTTCCCTCTAGATGTATGATAATATGACTTTTCTATACCTTTTTTTTTTTTGTACAGTTTTTCATAATAGTGAAAGTAAAAATGCCTAATAGCTGAGTCAATTTTTTCTCAATCCCAGGAAAATAGCATTTTACTTTCTGCCATAGATGATCATTTTTTATGTTTTAATCTGACTTCTACTGAAAAGCACAGAGAAAGAAAAAAAAGCAGACCTGTCCAAAATGAAAGTTTTCTTTCAATCCCAGTTACCCCAAGGGACACCCAATAGTAAGCCAGAATTGTCTCAATACCCTGTGAAGCTAATCTCAATATAAAAGATGTATTGATTGCAAAGACCTTTCCTATTTACTTTAATAATTCCTATGTCATTTACTGAATGAAGACCTCTGTGGCTTCAAGGGGATTAAAATTTTTTTTTAACATAAACATGGGAGAAATACTGTCTTAATATCCTAGGTAAAATAATAACGCAGGTAAGAGTTAATTTTAGGAGGCCTAGCCAATGCAATTAAGAGTCATTGACTCCATGATGCTCTTAGGAGAACTCTTCTTTATGAATACTATACATTTTGTGGCATGGTGCTTGATAAAAAAATTCTGTGCTACAATAGGGGGTCTGGAGACTAAATCATATGCTTTAATTCTGCCTCTGCCATTTTGAGAATTTAAATAGTTTAGGTTTCCATTTTAAGTACTTAAATATTTTAAATTAGCAAACTTTATGAACTCTTTATTTATATATACCATAGAAACATGAAAGTACATTTAAAATTCATGACCTTTTAAGTATTAGAAAAGAGGTATGTAAAAAACTATGTCCCTATAGTGTCTTTCAGGATTTAATTTCATATAACTGAATTAAAAGTAAAAAGGAAAAGCTTTTTAAAATCTCAAAAATCACCTTGTAAGAATTCTACTAATGCAAAAAACACAAATTGCTATCAGTTATTGTATGTTTTAATCCTTTTACTTTGATTTTTCTAGTTTTTTTTTTACATTTAATTTTATGATGAAGCATCTTTTTAAAAAAATGATCATTTTCCCCCCCCCATACAGAGTATTCTAGTTCTGTTCTATCTGCTGAGGAAGAAAGCCTCCAGACTTACAACATTGCTCTTCAGTTGTCTGATAGAGATAAAACAATTGAACTTGTACCAGAATCTTCCACTTGTTCAAGTAAATTTGATTTGCAAAAGGAGGGGAGTGCCCCAGAGTTCACCAAAAAAGTATCTGATGTTGAAATAAGCTTAGGGGATGTAACTAAATTTTCTGTGACAGCCATTGGCACGCCAAAACCTAAAATTCAGTGGTTCTTTGATGGAATACAGTTAACAACGTCTACTGCCTACAAATTTGTATTTGACGGAAATGATTACAGTTTGATCATTATAGATACCACATTTGAGGATGAAGGAGATTATACTTGCATTGCCAGCAATGAATATGGAAAGGCAGTATGCAGGGCCCATTTAAAGGTAAAGGCAAAAGTGAAGGACTGCAAAGATAATGAAGCAGAACCCACAGTGGAGAAAACTTTGGAACAGCTTGGAGGTCCAGGTCCCCCTTGGTTCATTAAGAAGTTGGAACCAGTTCAGTGTATTGAAGGTCTTCCTGCTGTCTTTGAGTACATAGTGCTTGGAGAACCAGCTCCTAAAATTCAGTGGTTCAAAGGAGACAAACAGCTTTCTACCAACATATATTTTACTATCATTCATAATCCAGATGGCTCAGGAACATTTATTGTCAATGACCCTCAAAGCCAAGACAGTGGTATGTATGTCTGTAAAGCCATAAATCCATGGGGGGAATGCATATCTACTGCTGAACTTCTTGTACTTTCAGAAGACCTTGATCTAGCTGGTTCACCTGTGATAACGAAGTCGACACAAGCAGGTCCTGAAGATCTGAACCTTCCTGAAACAGACATATCAGCCTCAGAAGCAGAAACTGAGTCATTTGTAAAAGACATCATTTTGAAAGCTGCTTTAATCACTGAAGAAAAGCAGCAGTTTTCATATGAGCACTATGTGAGTATACATGCAGTAAACACTGATGTAACTTCAGAGACCCAAGAAGACAAGGAATTGTGTAATTTGCAGATTGTACAGGAGCAAATAGCATTACCAAAGGTTGATTCACCATCAGATGACCAACCAATCTTCCCCCAAAGCCCAGCTTTACTGCAATCCAGTGTCACAGAAGACCAAAATAGCCCCTCTTTTGAAAGTACCAGTAAACTCCCCTCCACTGACCAGTCAATGGGTATTCCACCTATCAAAGAAGTCTTTCCTACACTGCAACAGCAAACTGGACAACCCAACAAAACCCACCCCAAAGAAGATGTTCTAACTTTTCAAAAGCCTCCATCAAAAGCTGTCTCATCATGCACCGACCAAATGTTTCAAGGTGTTGTGACCACAGAAGACAGTGGCGTGTTCACAGAAGAGCAACTCAGAACTATGCCAACCAGCCCTGAAATGAGTTATCCACAATCTACAAGTGAACCCCAGCCTTGCTTGTATTCCAGCAATGTGACTGAAGAAATGCCTCTCCCAAAAGAGACTGTGATCCCTGTGTCAGATCAAGAGAGAAGAGGAACTGTCCAAGATCAAGAAACACAAGCTATTCTGCAGTTACCCACTGTAACTGAGAATCAGAGTCTAAATGAAGGGTCTATAGACAGTTTCAAGGGTATTGAAACTGTGGTCCCTGAGATGAGCCAGGAACCACAATTTCTTTCAGAAAATATGTGCACCAAAGAACATGATATCCTTGTAGTGAGTACAGGTCAATTAGAAACTGTGGTTCAAGATTTTGCAGTCAGAATTCAGGAAGGGCAGTCCATAAGGCTTCCTCTATCACTAGAGGAAAAGCAACTACTCAGAAAAGAGCATGCGTATGAGTGGTCAAGGTCAGAAACCCAAATTACTAAGTACAAAAAGCAACCTAAAGGAATACAGAGGGTACATGAGGTTCAGGGAAGTGACATCCTTTCCAAGGAAAAGCAGTTTTCTCCTGTTGTTCTAGATCAGTATAAACTTGACATGAAGGTTCAGCTCCGAAGGGCTCTGCAAGCTGCCGTGGCCAGTGAACAGCCAAGCATCTTCTCTGAATGGCTCAAAAACATCGATAAGGTTGAAGTCAAGACTGTAGCACCCACCACAGAGCCTAAACAAATAATGTGCACCTATCTCATAACCACAGTGAATTCTGTTATAGAAGAAATCACTGTTGTCATTGAAGGGATTGACTTTCAGAGGACTAACTTGGAAATGGAACTTAAGGATGCTTTATGGTCTGTCGTCTATGAGGAGAGAAACATACTAGTAGCAGACCAAACCAGCCCTCTGTTAGTTACTACAACAGGCTTACAGGAAGAAGCTGATTTTTCCTCATATGCACAACAGGTTGAGGTAACCACGGCACCAGAAGTAAGGCCTGACAATCTTATTTCAATGGAAGAAGTCATTTCTTTTCTTGTAGAAAGTCAGGTCAAAGAAATAGAGACCACAGCAGAGGTGCCACTAGTTTCTGAACCCACTGAAAAGCAAGATGATGAAATAAAATTGGCAGAGGAAAAGGAGGACCTCTCTGTTGATAACAGCATGGAAAATAACATGGCTGCAACCAGAAAACCAGAAGAGTGTCCAGCTGGAAAGGAATGTCCAGTTATACAAAAGCATTTGGTAGACTCCGTTGCAGAAGAAGGCGATATTGTACACTTCACATTGCAAATTACCAATTCCAAAGAGGTAAACTGGTATTTTGGGAGTAAACTGATTTCTCCAGATGAAAGATTCAAGTGTGTACAAGATCATGACACATACACGCTAGTGATCGATAAAGTGAGCAAGGAGCTACACCAAGGAGATTATAGCTGTGAGGCACTAAATGAAAGTGGAAAGACCTCAACTTCTGCAAAACTCACAATAATAAAAAGAGGTTGGATTCTGAAGACAAAATATCCACAACTAATATTCACTTGGTTGCAATGATTTTGAGCTCTCACTGAGTGTCATCTTTTCTGCCATTGTAGAAGATAGATTAAATAAGAGTATTCATGAAGTCATAGACCTAATCATGGTTTTAAATTTTCTTCCTTTCCCCTCATTCAGTGCTTTTTTCAGTAACTTGCTACCATTTTTTGTTTTACCACTTGTTTTTGAAAACAGAAATGTACATTTTTATGCCTTCTCTATGTATTTTAAAAATAATGCCCTTTAGCCTTTTTCTATAAGGAAATATTCTTAAATGGTCTTCTGTAATGAGAAAGCAACTTAACAGAATCATTTCTGTGTATAAGTTACCAGTTAGCAACCCCATATCAACAATTTCAACCCTGTTCCTTAAAAACCATGATTAGCTGTCCCTGTGTGCTTTTAAATCACGTTTTCTTACTTTTGGTTTTTGCTGTATCATCTTTTAAAATATAATTTTTCTTCACGTTTTGTTTTTCAGCGTTGCAGCACAATGGGGGTGCACAGAATTCATAGCATGCTATGCATGTTAACTGGTGTTATCACATCCCAGTAATTCTTAGGTTTTCCTAACTGACTGCAGAGTTCCCTCTAAGTATGTCAAATACATTTTCCCCCCGTTGACTTTCGCTTAGAACATTTTTTTTCCTAGTCACACTCTTGTATTGCTTGCAATCAGTTTCAGGGCATCACTCCATTAACAACCACAATATAGAGAAACAGAACTCACAAGACAAAATTTCCTGACAAAATTATGTTTCCATTTCTAGTTGCCCCAGTCATCAAGAGGAGAATTGAACCCTTGGAGGTAGCTCTTGGGCACCTCGCTAAGTTCACTTGTGAAATCGAAAGCGCACCCAACGTTCGTTTCCAGTGGTTTAAAGCTGGCCGAGAAATTTATGACAGTGAAAAGTATTCAATAAGATCTGCACATTACATGTCCACCCTGGAAATCCCGAGAACTCAAGTCGTTGACTGTGGAGAGTACGGCTGTAAAGCTTCTAATGAATATGGCAGCGTAAGCTGTACGGCAACCTTAACTGTAACAGGTAAATGCAGAACATCAATGGGTGCATCCGTCTAATTTTCACATCCTTGCCAATCCAATCAGTGAGAGAGAACAACAGTACTCCTCATGATGTGTTAATAAGTTCGTTGACTTCAAGCAATGCTCTGCCGCAAAGCACTTTTATAAACAGACCTATCAATAACCATGCTTTTTGTACAGGTCCAGAAAATTACTTCTATTAAAACCCAAGAACAAAAACCGAAGTTTGAAGAAGACAAGTTGCAGAAACTAATTGAAAACTTCCTATTTCAGTTATTTTTCTGCAACTGACCAAAGAAAAATAAAAACTGCTTTCCTTGTAGACTATAGTAAAGGGTAGAAAAACAATCCTAATGAATTCTAAAATAGACAGTATTTATTTTAGGAAGAGGTACCCTAAACAGAAGTTAAGATGTGCAAAAATGACATCTGAAAAAATTCTGTTTTGCCTTTTTTAAAAGACCAGTTCTATTTATTTGTTGAAACAGTGTCTGAACTACCCACTTGGTACAATAATTTGAAATAAGCTTGTCAACATCTGTCAGTTATCTTTTAAAAAAAATTTTAGTAGGATCTCATTGCTTGGCTTGAAACAGCTAAGTTTCTCATTAGTGTGAATAATAAATCTTCTTAAGTGGTTGCATTATTCAAATTTGAGCCGCATATTTCTTTTAGATTAGAATCAATTACCATATTTTACATCATTATAACTTCAAATAATGTGAGCTTGAGTACATGCAACCACTTCACAGGTTTCATTAGACACGTATTATATTTGGTAGGGCTTTGTTCTACTAGGCAATAATGAAGTTCTACTCTATTCAGTGTTTAAGTGTGAAGTGAAAACAGTTTTTACATGGCTCATAGAGCTGGATTATGAGTGATGAATGGAAGAAGATACAAGAAATTCCATTGTCATTTCTCACCATGTTTTTTCTATGAATAATTTAATAATCAGTACCACCACACAACTTCATCCCCTCCCCCAACTTCCTTATAGGTTTTCAACAGTAAAGTGTAATAAAATGCCATTCCCCCCCTTCAATTTGTCCATTGCCCTAAAATGTGCCTAGGGGAGTCTATGAAGCCCATCAGCCACTTGAATCCACTTGTTCGCAAAATCATATTAATAGATGCATCTTATATTCCTCCAGAGGACATTGTGGAGACAGTTAAAGGATGGGGATTGGAAGTTGAGGTTGGAATTTGAGGTTTACCCAGCTTCTTGATGAGGACCTTGTATGCGAACCAAAAACTACCCCTCAAAACTTGCTTGATTCTATTCCTTGAGGAGTAGGCCAATACACAAGACAAATGGAGAATATTTTTCTGTGATAGATGGAGGGTTTTAAGAATAAACACTACTCCAATAATCTTACTTTTCATCCTCCCTCTTCTCTCCAGGAAATGTGCTTAGAGCTGCTCAGAACTCTTAGAAAACCAAACCTAGAATCTTTCCTTTGGGATTAGAATTCTTAGTTTATTGTTTATTATAATGTAATCATTAAATTCTCTAATTAGAATCAGTTCAACACAAAACATACATAGAATAATGACATCTAAAACCTCCTGTAAGGCTAGCCTGACATGTTAGGATGAAGGAAGACAGAGTAGAGTGGTGGGACTGGCAGTGGAAGAGATATTGTGTACTGCCTGGAGACTTATTTCATGTTGCAGGGGTTGAAGTGGAAAAGAACTGCTAGCAAGTATCTATGTAGTCTTGAAATAGCTTGTGACCATTTGGAAGCTCAGTCACTTAGGTGTTTAGTGAAGGGATCCAGGGAACAAGAGGGATGGGGAGTGTGGGAACCTCCTTCTTACATAATATCCTTGGCCACCTTGGTCCATAATATTCCTTTCTCTTTAGAAAAGTAAACTGCTAATGAAGCACTGGTATTCTGATGCTATTCTTTTTCTTTTCTGCACGTCTTCTTTTAACAAAATGAAATTTTAAAAATTGAGTTACTGGTTGGATACTTCAGAACCATCTGCCATTAATAATGAGATATCTTTAGGATTTGGACTAATATTATGACATAAGGCAGCATTTGGAGGCTATTATAATCTATACATTTACATTGACTTTCTGCTGTAAAGAATGCTGTCATTCCTTTTCTTTGGTGGTCCCTGCAGTCTCACTGTTCCATTGTTTTATTTTTAAGTAATGACAATCTTAAGACATAAATCGTCTTTTTTTCTGTCTTGGAATGCAGAGAAACAAGATCATGAGTGCAAATGGAATATAATGATTTTTAAAATTTCTTTTTGCAGAGGCATTTCCTCCAACCTTTCTATCCAGACCTAAGTCAGTTACAACTTTTGTTGGGAAGGCAACCAAATTCATTTGTACGGTGTCAGGGACTCCTGTCATTGACACTATTTGGCAGAAAGATGGCATTGCCATATCACCTTCACCTAAATGCAAGATTTCAGATGCAGACAACAAGCACTTTTTAGAACTTTCAAATCTTACAGCACAAGACAGAGGAGTCTACTCTTGCAAGGCCTCTAACAAGTTCGGGGCAGACATCTGCCAAGCAGAGTTGATCATAATTGATAAGCCACATTTCATTAAAGAATTAGAATCTGTACAATCTGCTGTCAATAAGAAGGTGCATCTTGAATGCCAAGTGGATGAAGATCGAAAAGTGACAATAACATGGAGCAAAGATGGGCAAAAAATCCCTGCTGGAAAAGATTTTAAGATCTATTTTGAGGATAAAATAGCATCCCTTGAGATTCCTCTGGCCAAACTGAAGGATTCAGGGAATTATGTCTGTACGGCCTCCAATGAGGCTGGAAGCAGCTCTTCTTCTGCCACTGTCTCTATCCGAGGTAAGCCTTGGTTCTCCCCATGTATGTTTATGTCATGCCACTGCCAGAAGTATAATAAAAAAAAATTTTAATGGAATTAAGGGTAGGGAATCTATAGATAATAAACTTTGCTATTAAATAATTTCATTCTCAACAAATGCTTTGGGAAAATCCTCCCTTCCTCCTTATGATGCATTTGCTTTTCTTCTTTTGAATCTGTTTATATTTTTTTCTTCCAAAAATTCATCGCTTTTAAGAATTTTCTAGTGTTTGGTGTATATATGTGTATATGTGTGTATAAATGTGTGTTAAATCTCTTCATTTTAGAAAGTGTTCTTTAGTTAACATCAATTTTGTACTGGGGGACTGGGAAAAGAGTCTAGTATTGACTGAACATGGCTGGGTGGAGGCCACATGGCTTTGATCATGTTCATGTCTTTTCTGTCCTTTTGTTCTATTTCTGTCTGCTTTTCCTTTGTGAATTTGATGTTTCAGCGGGGTTTTTTTCCTTTCCTTTCCTTTTCTTTTTTTTTTTTGTAATCTTCATTTAGAACCACCATCCTTTGTGAAGAAGGTGGATCCGTCTTATTTAATGCTCCCAGGTGAATCAGCACGTCTCCACTGTAAACTCAAAGGTTCTCCTGTGATCCAGGTCACCTGGTTTAAAAATAACAAAGAACTTAGTGAAAGTAACACAGTCCGAATGTCTTTTGCCAACTCCGAGGCTGTGCTTGATATCACTGATGTGAAAGTGGAAGACAGTGGAAGCTACTCATGTGAAGCAATTAATGATGTTGGCAGTGATAGCTGCAGTACTGAAATAATTATCAAAGGTTTGTCTTCAGTTACTGCCTGTCATTATTCAGAGTCATACATTTCTTTATCCATTGCTTGTAACTAATTCTCTATTGGTGATTTAATGCTTTTGTAGAACCCCCTTCTTTCATCAAAACTCTTGAGCCGGCAGAGATAGTGAGAGGAACCAATGCTCTTCTTCACTGTGAAATCTCAGGCACTGGACCCTTTGAAATTAGCTGGTTTAAAGGCAAGAAGCAAATTCGAAGTAGTAAGAAATACAGGTTACTTTCTCAGAAGTATCTTGTATCTCTGGAGATATTTTCATTTAATAGCGCAGACGTCGGCGAATACGAATGTGTGGTAGCTAATGAGGTTGGAAAGTGCGGCTGCAGTGCCACATTCATCCTAAAAGGTTAGTGATTGAAAACTAACATCTTTTAAAGCCTTCAGCAAAGTACTTTTTAAAATTCAGATCAAACTAGTGTGTTCTCATCCTTTAATATTCTCTTAAAACTGCATTTTATCTTTGGTTTTGCCCCCATTTTGGGAACAAATTCAACCACTCCATTCATTCATCGATCCAGACAGTACCATAAATCCATATTCCTGATAACAAAGCGGTAACACACAATAAGCCATTTATCATCCATCCCTACAAAGACCAAAGCTCTTATCTACTTTTCTCCTGTTCCTAGAAGCAAATTGTAATTCTTCTTAAAGCATTTATCAGTTCTGGGTAACTGATGGTGTAGTATAACATAGAGTTTGGGCCAGATAAACCCAACTTAGACAAGCCATCTAAAACATATATAGTGTGTATATTGACATGTACAGTAGCAGAAGAGGTTTTTTTTATGTTTTCTTTTTCCTCTTTAAACTAGAACCACCAACTTTTGTAAAGAGAGTAGACGATTTTACTGCCCTAGCAGGGCAAACAGTGACTTTGCAAGCAGCTGTAAGGGGTTCAGAACCTATTTCAGTCACCTGGATGAAAGGACAAGACATCATTAAAGAAGACAATAAAATCAAAATGAGTTTTTCCAATGGTGTCGCACTTTTGCTAATCCCTGATGTCCAGATTAGTTTTAGTGGCAAGTATACTTGCCTAGCTGAGAATGAAGCTGGAAGTCAAACATCTGTTGGGGAATTAACAGTTAAAGGTCAGTGTAGAAACATTTTTAACATCGTATTTTCATTTACATTTAAAATAAAGCCTTAATGCTCTTTTCTAAATCACAATTCTTTAATGCCACCATAGAACCAGCCAAGATTATTGAGAGAGCAGAACTGATTCAGGTGACTGCCGGAGATCCAGCAACCCTGGAGTACACTGTTTCAGGCACCCCAGAGCTTAAGCCTAAATGGTATAAAGATGGAAGACCTATGGTTTCCAGTAAAAAATACAGATTCAGTTTTAAGAACAATATTGCCCAGCTCAAGTTTTACTCCGCTGAACTACACGATAGTGGTCAATACACATTTGAGATTTCAAATGAAGTCGGGAGCAGCTCCTGTGAGACAACTTTTACCGTATTGGGTTAGTATTTTTAAAGATACTTTATATATCTTATTTTTTCAACACAGTGGATAGAAGGAAAAATAATTTAGCCATTTCCCATTTTGATTTTTCTCTTTTGTTGTGCCACCGACAGATCGCGACATTGCGCCATTCTTTACCAAACCCTTACGCAACATAAACAGTGTTGTCAGCCGTGACTGCCGCCTGGACTGCAAAATTGCCGGCTCCCTTCCAATGAGGGTATCCTGGTTTAAGGATGGCAAAGAAATCACTTCATCAGACAGATACAGATTAGCTTTTGTGGAAGGCACAGCCTCCCTGGAGATAAGCAGAGTAGACATGAGTGACGCCGGGAACTTCACTTGCCGCGCCACGAATTCTGTTGGAAGCAAAGACAGCAGTTGTGCTTTAATTGTCCAAGGTTGGAGGAAACATTTTCCTTTTACTTCTTACTGCACATTATTCAATAATTCAGCCTTCCTCGCTTCTGGACACACCTCTTAACTCACTGAAATTGTTTCTTATAACTTTTCTTCAGAACCTCCCAGCTTTGTCATCAAACCTGGGTCAAGGGACTTGCTACCTGGGTCCACCGTCTCTCTGAAGAGCACTTTTAAAGGATCAACTCCATTCACCATCAGATGGTTTAAAGGTGACAAGGAACTGGTGTCTGGTGGCAGCTGCTATATTACCAAAGAATCTTTAGAGAGTTCCCTGGAACTATATACAGTAAAAACATCCGACTCAGGCAAATACACCTGTAAAGTCAGCAATGTGGCCGGGGCAGTGGAATGCAGTGCAAACTTGTTTGTGAAAGGTTTGCCTTATTTTCTTGACCTCTTTGTACTGCTATTTTGCAGTGTCTTTACTTCTTTCTCTCTCTTCTTAATAACTTTCTCCATTCCACAGAACCTGCTACCTTTGTGGAAAAGCTAGAGCCTTCACAACTCTTGAAAACGGGAGACTCAACTCAGTTAGCCTGTAAAGTCACTGGTACTCCTCCTATGAAAATAACCTGGTTTGTCAATGACAGAGAAATTAAGGAGAGCAGCAAACACAAGATGTCTTTTGTGGACTCAGCTGCTGTCCTCACACTTACGGATATTGCCATTGAAGACAGTGGAGAATACATGTGCGAGGCTCAAAATGAAGCAGGAAGCGACCACTGCAGTAGTATTATCATAGTGAAAGGTGTGTGTTTGCTCATTTTGCCTTGGGCGCTACCAAAGTTTTGGTCCGAAGCAAACATCCCACACTCTTATTAACCAAAAACAATCTTCTTTTGTGCTATAGAGTCACCTTACTTTAGCAAGAAGTTCCAGCCAATTGAAGTTTTGAGAGAATATGATGTGATGCTGTTGGCTGAGGTAGCAGGCACTCCTCCTTTTGAGATAACTTGGTACAAAGACAACACAACTCTTCGAAGTGGTAGAAAGTATAAAACATTCATTCAGGATCAGTTGGTTAGCCTTCAGGTTCTCAAGTTCGATGTGCCTGATGCTGGTGAATACCAATGCAGGGTAACCAACGAGGTGGGCAGCTGCACTTGCAGCGCTAAGGTCACTTTAAAAGGTTAGTGTCCCCTAGAAATATGGGCATGCCTTGACTGGGTGCCAGTTTTACATTTTTACCAGTGTTGCTTCCAAACTAGCTCTCACGAAGAATTTGTTTTTCTAATAGAACCTCCAGTATTCGTCAAGAAGATCGAGAGCACAAGCTCCCTGCAGGGTGGCACCGCAGCATTCCAGGGCACTCTTAAAGGCTCTTTGCCAATCATTGTGACTTGGTTAAAAGATAATGATGAGATCACTGAAGATAACAATATAAGAATGACATTTGAGAATAATGTAGCCAGTCTGTATATCAGTGGCATTGAAGTAAAGCATGATGGGAAATATTTCTGTGAAGCCAAAAATGATGCAGGCATACAAAGATGCTCTGCTTTACTCTCAGTAAAAGGTTAGTTCAGCACAGTTCGCCCTGATGCTTGGAAAGATATTGACCTGAAAGCCTCTCTCCATAATCCATGTTTTATCCTTGTGTTTGCTACAGAACCAGCAACGATCACAGATGAGGCTGTGTCTATAGATGTTACCCAAGGTGACCCAGCAACCTTACAGGTTAAATTTTCAGGAACTAAAGAGATAACAGCCAAATGGTTCAAAGATGGAAAAGAATTGGCTCTGGGCCCCAAATATAAAATCAGTGTCACTGACACAGTCTCCGTACTGAAGATTATATCCACAGAAAAGCAAGATAGTGGAGAATATACCTTTGAGGTTCAAAATGACATTGGGAGGAGTAGCTGCAAAGCTCGCATAAATGTCTTAGGTTGGTATTCCTCTTGGCAGTGCTAAAGGGTGGCATTGGCATTGCCCACTTCTTTATCTTTCACAACCCCAAAAAGTATCTGTCCTAACTCTTCTTCTTCTTCTTCTTCTTCTTCTTCTTCTTTTTTTTTTTTTTGCCTTTTTGTTGGACAGATCTAATCATACCTCCCTCGTTCACCAAAAAGCTAAAGAAAATGGATAGCATTAAAGGTTCTTTCATTGACTTAGAATGTATAGTAGCTGGGTCCCACCCTATAAGCATCCAGTGGTTCAAAGATGACCAAGAGATACTTGCTAGTGAAAAACACAAATTCTCTTTCCATGACAACACGGCATTTTTGGAAATCAGTCAGCTGGAAGGTGCAGACACCGGCACGTATACTTGTGCTGCCACAAATAAAGCAGGCCATAACCAGTGCACTGGATATCTGACAGTCAAAGGTTTGGAACTTTTGTTTTTATTTAATGAGAAAGACATATGCTGTCTCTCTTTTTAAGTTTCAAATTCACTTCTCAATTCTAAAAAAAAAAATCTTCCTACCCTACTCCTCCCCCATTCCTCCTCTTTTTTTTATACCTCCTTAGAGCCCCCTTATTTTGTGGAAAAGCCACAGTCCCAAGATGTGGCCCCCAGCTCTCGAGTTCAGATGAAGGCTCTTCTAGGTGGGACGGCACCCTTACTATAAAGTGGTTTAAAGATAATAAAGAATTGCACTCAGGAGCAGCTCGTTCTGTTTGGAAAGAGGATACTTCAACTATCTTAGAACTCTTTTCGGTCAAAAGTGTGGATTCTGGAACCTATATTTGCCAGCTAAGCAATGATGTTGGCACAGTCACTTGTAAAACGACTCTCTTTGTAAAAGGTCTGAATCTTTGTGTCATTTTTCTTTCTTGATTTTTTCAGGGCCAGGGGTTTGGAGCGAGGTGGGATTGTGGTGATAACGATGCAGGGTGCGATTATTCCTGTCTTGGTAGTGATGGGGGAGGGAGTGATTTAATAAAAAATAATCTTGCTGGTACTTTTTTTTAACCTTCTAAAATATAAAACTTATCAACTTTTGTTCTATGTAGAACTTCCTCAGTTTATTAAGAAGCCCAGTCCTGTGTTAGTATTGCGGAAAGGACAGTCAACAACTTTCGAATGCCAAATAACAGGCACCCCAGAGATTAAAGTCTCCTGGTACTTGGATGGGAATGAAATAACAGCTGTGGACAAATATGGTATCTCCTTCATTGATGGCTTAGCCACTTTCCAGATTTCGGGTGCTAGGATAGAAGACAGTGGAACCTATGTCTGTGAGGCCCGAAACGATGCTGGCACTTCAAGCTGTAGCATTGAGTTGAAAGTGAAAGGTTCGTGGGTTAGAATCTGTTGTCTGGTTTGGCTTTGTCATCCTCTGGGTTTTAGTCATTCCTTTAAGTAAGCTAGATCTTGTCTTCTTTTTGAATTTTTAGAACCTCCCACATTTGTAAGGGAGCTGAAACCTGTGGAAGTAGTCAAAGATAGAGATGTGGAGCTTGAGTGTGAAGTAACGGGCACTGCTCCATTTGAAGTTACCTGGCTCAAGAATAACAGGGAAATTCGAAGCAGCAAAAAATATACACTGTCTGACCGAGTGTCAGTATTTAATCTCCATATAACCAAATGTGACCCTACAGATACTGGTGAATATCAGTGCATTGTATCCAATGAAGGTGGAAGCTGCTCTTGCAGTACCAGAGTCAGTCTGAAAGGTCAGTGACAGAAAACAAGAAGCAGGACACCAAATCTTCCATTCTATAATATACTTTAATGATTATGCCTATAAACTCAAATAATTTTTTTTTCTTCCCATACTGTCTTATTTAATAACAGAACCACCTTCATTCACTAAGAAGATAGAGAATGTGATGACAGTTTTGAAAAGCTCAGCCATTTTCCAGGGCACAGTGGCAGGTTCACCCCCTCTCTCTGTGGTGTGGCTAAAAGATGATCAGATTATCGATGAAGATGATAATACGCATATTTCATTTGTGAACAATGTGGCCACTCTACAAATAAGAATGGTGGATAATGGTCACAGCGGCAGATACACCTGTCAAGCAAAGAATGAGTCGGGAGTTGAAAAGTGTTATGCTTTCCTCTTAGTACAAGGTTCGTGAGCCATTGTCTTTAAATATTATCCTATAGAGGCACATCTTTTAATAGGCTCACATTATCTCTGTTGGAAAAAAAAATAATTTTTTAATCATGCTTTCATTTTACCACAGAGCCAGCACAAATAATAGAGAAGGCTAAATCAATTGATGCAACTGAAAAAGACCCAGTGACTCTTGAATGTGTTGTGGCTGGAACCCCTGAACTCCGAGTGAAATGGCTTAAAGATGGTAGACCCATTGTACCCAGTAGATACTTTGCAATGAGTTTTGAAAACAATGTTGCCAGTTTCAGGATTCAGTCAGTAATGAAGCAGGACAGTGGTCAGTATACTTTCAAGGTTGAAAATGACTTTGGAAGCAGTAGCTGTGATGCCTATTTAAGAGTTCTAGGTTTGTATTCTTATTCCAACTTGCTCATTCCATTTCTGTAAAACCCTTTATAAAAGAAAAGCAATATATTAATAGGTGCTTTCTTTTGGCATTTCTCTTGGGCAGATGAAACAATTCCTCCATCATTCACCAAAAAATTAACCAAAATGGATAAAGTTCTGGGCTCCTCTATTCAAATGGAGTGTAAAGTTTCTGGCTCACTCCCAATCAATGCCCAGTGGTATAAGGATGGAAAAGAAATATCTGCCAGTGCAAAATACAGACTTGTGTGTCATGAAAACACTGTTGCATTGGAGGTTAATAATCTTGAATTAGAAGATACTGCAAATTACACATGCAAGGTTGCAAATGTAGCAGGAGATGCTGCATGTAGCGGAATCTTAACTGTGAAAGGTTTGCAAACTCTACCTCTTCTTGATTCTGATTTATAAATAATTTAATAATAGATCACTCTTATTCTTTTGTCTCTGAAGCTAAAATTCATTCTTAGAAGTTGCTCCTTTACATTCTTTTCACTTACTCTAAGTAATATTTGTTACATTTCTTTTATACATTATTTGCTTATTAAAATTGTGAAAATATTTACCCTAGTAGCAGTTTAATTCAACTTCTGTTTTCTTAAAAACTGTAGAGCCACCAAGCTTCCTAGTGAAACCTGAAAGACAACAAGCTGTGCCAGATTCAACAGTGGAATTTAAGGCAGTCCTAAGAGGAACACCACCATTTAAAATAAAGTGGTTTAAAGACGAGGTTGAACTTGAATCTGGACCTAAATGCTTTATTGGGCTGGAAGGGTCAACAGGTTTCTTAAATCTCTACTCTGTGGATGCCTCAAAGACCGGACACTACACTTGCCAAGTTACCAATGATGTTGGTAGCGACTCTTGTACCACAATGTTGCTTGTAACAGGTGTGCAGACCTGATTGTTTTATGTTTCTGTCTCTCTTTGTGTGTCTCTTGTTCTTTCTATATTCAGCTGTTAAGCATCTTTCTAGTTACTACTTTCAATGGGCATCCAAATTTTGAGATAGTCTGAACATTAATTTTTAAGTTAATATTGCTCCTTCTGATTTCTTCCTGCTGTGTTGTTCAGTCAAAAGCATGTGATTCCCCCTCTTTCATCCTTTGCATTCACTTTAGCTTCTTTTTCTCTTGGCCTCATAGAACCACCAAAGTTTGTTAAGAAACTAGAAGCAATCAGAATAGTGAAAGCAGGGGATTCAACACGACTTGAGTGCAAACTGAGCGGATCTCCTGAAATAAGAGTCAGATGGTACAGGAATGACCATGAACTGCCAGCCAGTGAAAAATACACAATGTCATTCATTGAGTCAGTGGCCGTGATACAGATGAACAACCTTGGCACTGAGGACAGTGGTGATTTCATATGCGAAGCTCACAATCCTGCTGGTAGCACAAGCTGTAGCACAAAGGTCATAGTAAAAGGTTAGCAGTCTCTTTTCTTACATCCTTTTATTAACTGAAACACAGCATCTTACTTACAGTGGGTGAGGCGGCTCATTTTTTCTTCTCTTGTTGTCAAGTTCCATTTTCGTCATTTTTTTTGAGAGATGTAAGCTGATCTTTGGGCTCATTGAGCCCTTCACAATGTTCCTTATATATATTTCCTGGGGAACCTGTTTTGGGGTCATATTTTCAGAGTTATGGCTCATTTAAAAAGAATCTTTTCAGAGTTGTTACTATTACAACTTAATCTCTGTCCATATAATGAACAGTTTTTTCAATTAGTTGGGAAACGATTTTATTATCCAATCTGGCCCTCTTTTGTTATATTAGTTTTGCATTTGGTGTAACTTGATTTTTAAAAATGTGTAAAATGACAAATTTGCCACTTTGAAAAGTAATGTTTGTCCTCCAGAAAAGGCATAAGAATGTCATGTCAGCACTGTCATCATTATTATCATCAGTGACAAACATAATTAATTACCATGGATAGTAATATCAATTCTTAAAATATGATTTTTTTTATTCATCTGCCTGCAGTAACAGGCAGGGGCTCCTGAAAATCCACAAAACAATGTCCATCTACTTTCTCATTCCTAACAATATTAACTATTCAAATGAATAGAGTAGTGGATAAAGAGTTGACTTTAATACCAAGAAGATCTGGCTTCAAGTCCTAACTCTAAGACATACTGGCAGTGTAAACCAGGACAAGTTACTTAACTTGTCAGTGCTCTAACCTAAGGTGTTGAAAGTACGGCCACATATGAGCCCATGCTACTCCTGTGTGCAACCAGAAGCAGATTAAAATCTAACCTGAAAAAAAAATTAAAAATTAAAAAAAAAAATCTAATCTGGAAATATTTAACAAAACATATAAAAATGCAACAAAATATAGATGATATTAGTATATGGCTTTCTAATATAGGCCTGCAGGAATCCTTACATATGATTTAGGGGCCCCATTTACATTTAGTTTGACACCACTGCTCTAAGCAGCTTCCAAAGACTAAATTGCAGAGAATGGGCTAATATGCATTGACCCTGCCAATGAAAAGTGCAAGGGTTGTCCCTATCTCTGTTTATTGTTAGTATTAGCAGTAGCAGTAATACTGATAATTTTGCTGACAGTATTTTTATAGCTATATGTAGTCTATTAAATAGCAAATATTGCTCTTTTATTTTTATTAAAATTAGAAATTTCAGATCAGAGATACAGTAGTACATTACAATTTACCCTCAGCACAGAACGCAGCATTCCACCTGCTTCTACTACTGAGTATCAATGAACATAATTTCCTTTTTTTCCCCTCTCACCATTTTTGCATTAATTTTTTTTAATCTAACTGAAATTAGTACAGTGAAGCTCACAGAGGATCAGGAGCCCTGGGTTCTGGTTTCAGGTCTGTCAGTAACAACCCATGTGGCATCTTTGAGCCTATCATCCTATCTATAAAAGTGAAAGGATTAGACTGGATAACCTCAAAGATATTTCCACCTCTAACAATGAATGATTCTTTGAAATTCGATAAACTAAAGTCATGGGAAATTCTTCTTTCTTTTTAACAGAACCACCTGTTTTTAGCAGTACGCCCCCTCTTGTAGATACACTTAAGGGTGCTGAAGTTAGCCTTGAATGTGAACTTTCTGGAACACCACCATTCGAGGTGGTTTGGTATAAAGATAAGAGGCAACTCCGAAGTAGCAAAAAATACAAGATTACATCTAAAAATTTCCATGCAAGCATTCATATCTTAAACATCGAAACTTCAGACATTGGTGAATATCACTGCAAAGCACAAAACGAGGTGGGAAGTGACACGTGCGTTTGTACTGTAAAGTTAAAAGGTAAGCATATCGGTGTCACTGGTGTCAGTAATATATAAAATTTCTATTCTTTTTCTCTTACTTCTTCTGCTCCCCCCACCCTAAAAAAAAAAACCAAACTAGATGTCTGTCTTTTTACACCTTTTGTTCATCTTTCCTTGTTCAGAACCACCCAGATTTGCCACAAAACTTAACAGCCTCACTGTTGTGGTTGGTGAGCCTGCTGAGTTACAAGCAACCATTGAAGGTGTCCAGCCAATTTATGTTGAATGGCTTAAAGACAAAGAAGTGATTCGAGAAAGTGAAAATACCAGAATCACATATGTGGAAAATGTTGCAACTCTACAGTTTGCAAAAACGGAACCAGCCCATGCTGGGAAGTACATCTGTCAGATCAGAAATGATGGTGGAATGAGGGAGAACCTGGCCACACTCACTGTTTTAGGTTGGTAAATGTAATTTCTTGATAGAAAGGAGGTATTGAACCCTGGGATGAATTACTGCAGGATGTTGACAAAAGTCATCTTCCCTAAAAATCTTCAAAGATTAGATATCTCTCTCTCTCTTTGGAAGGGTTTAATTCAGTGTACTAGAAGCTTTCAAGGTCTTCCCAACCCTAAACTCTCATTAACACCTGATTTGTTAATAGCCCTATATGTGTGCATGCTATATGTACTATGTATATATTGCATTATGAAATATATATGCATGTTACATATTATTTAATTGTATCTTACTTTACAAGGTAGAGCATGAGAGATTTGTTGCCATATTTCATTCCTTTTGCTAAGGCAAAAATGACTTTAAGTAAATATTGAAAGTAAAGTTAGTATTGGGAATCATAGACATTGATGTTGGTCCCAAAACTAAAGAATAGAAAGCCAGGAATCCAGGGCCAAATGATGATAGGAATGATTTGCCCTTTCATTTTATGAAATTATCTTTTTTTTTCTTGGCTTAAGAATTAGGTAGATACAATGCAGAACAGTAGTCTTCCATTAACTTGGTAACATTTGCTTAGACAAAACAAAAAAAATCTTAAGCATTTCAAGAGACTAGCTGCTATAACTATATCTACTCAATAAAATAGCTTTTTCACATTGCACATTCCTTACAGTTCATTCGTAATAACAAATGCCCCCTGCTCAGAAAATGCTTCAGAACGAATCAATATAGAGTTTGTATACAACAATCCAAATGGTTTTAGGACCAAGACTGACATAAATTTCATCTGTAATTGACACCTACTAATACATAGATTTCATTTATAATTGCTATCTACTAATACATTTTGCTTAGTAACAATATGTCTTCTATTTTTGTTTTGTTTTTTTTTAACAAGAATGGGTTAGTAAAGTTCATTTAAAAAGGAATTTTTTAATGACTTTATGCCACTTTTGAAGAGGGCTAGTCTATAATTTTTTAAGGTCATTATAAAATTTTATAGTAAAATATACTAAAACGGAATGGTGTATGACAAAGGGGTATAACATTTCATTTCAGAACCTGCAGTCATTGTAGAGAAAGCAGGATCAATGATGGTGACTGTAGGAGAAACTTGTACCCTGGAATGTAAGGTGGCTGGCACCCCTGAACTCTCAGTTGAATGGTATAAGGATGGAAAGTTGTTGACCAGCAGCCAAAAACACAAATTTAGCTTTTTCAACAAAGTATCTACACTGAAGATTCTTTCTGTAGAAAAGCAAGATACTGGAACATACACTTTTCAGGTTCAAAATAATGTTGGGAAAAGCAGCTGCACAGCTATGGTTGAGGTTTCAGGTCAGTTAAGCTCTCATTCTTCCAATACTTTTCTCAATCTTCTTTTACAAATTTCTGTCTGGCCCAAATTGCTATGAGTGTCTTGCATTTTTTTACATAGACCGGATTGTCGCTCCCTCTTTTATAAGAAGACTGAAAGACACTAATGGGATCTTGGGCTCTTCTTGTATCTTGGAATGCAAAGTGTCTGGATCTCCACCCATTTCTGTTGCCTGGTTTCAAGAACAAAATAAGATTGTTAGTGGAGCAAAATACCAAACAACATTTTCAGATAATGTCTGCACTTTACAGCTGAATTCATTGGATTCATCTGATACGGGAAATTACACATGTGTAGCTGCTAATGTAGCTGGATCTGATGAATGCAGGGCAGTATTAACTATCCAAGGTTAGTGTCAGATGGCAAAATTCTTTCAAAATATGTCCCTTCTTCTTCTGTACCATAAGTTTCTTTGTCAGAAAATCTCTTTTTTTCATATTAAACGTACAATTGGATTTAGTGATAATCTTTCAGGGTTGATGGTTGCGACGTTCTCTTTGGAGCTTATAATTTGTTCCCTAATCTTTTCCATGTTTATATAGAACCACCTTCATTTGTGAAGGAACCCGATCCCTTGGAGGTTCTACCAGGCAAAAATGTGACTTTCACAAGTGTTATTAGAGGAACCCCTCCATTCAAGGTGGGCTGGTTCAGAGGTGCCAGAGAGCTTGTGAAAGGAGACTCCTGCAATATCTATTTTGAAGACACAGTGGCAGAAATGGAATTGTTTAATGTTGACATATCCCAGAGTGGGGAGTATACTTGTGTGGTTTCTAATGATGCTGGTAAAGCCTTTTGTACAACTCACCTCTTTGTAAAAGGTTTGCTCAAATTTCTTTGTTCTTTCTATTTGGCAGACGCCAGAAACTTTAGTTCATCTTTCTAGATTAGCGTTCTGGACTTTTGACCATGATCATTTTGTTACTCACTAGAACCTGCTGTATTTGTGAAGAAATTAAGTGATCACTGGGTAGAACCGGGAAAATCCATCATCCTGGAGGGCACATACACCGGGACCCTTCCTATTTCAGTGACCTGGAAAAAGAATGGCGTTCATATAACTCAGTCGGAAAAATGCAGCATTGTCACAACAGAAAGATCTTGCATCTTAGAAATTGTCAACAGTACCAAAAATGATGCTGGGAAGTACACATGTGAGGTGGTGAATGAGGCTGGAAGGGATATCTGCGAAGCTAGAGTATCCACATTAGGTGCGTCAGCATGTCTGATCTTGGCATCTTACATTCTCTTAACAAGAAATATGGCTTTTGATCCTCAGTGCTGATTGTTATGATTTATTCTTTAGAACCACCTTATTTTGTTACGGAACTGGAACCTTTGGAAGCTGCAGTTGGAGATTCGGCTTCTTTACAATGCCAGGTTGCCGGGACACCAGAAATTACAGTGTCTTGGTACAAAGGAGACACCAAATTAAGGCCAACTCCTGAATACAGGACATACTTCACCAACAACGTTGCCACACTTGTTTTTAATAAAGTGAATATCAGTGACAGTGGAGAGTATGCTTGTGTAGCAGAAAATAATGTAGGAACTGCTGTTTCTAAGACAGTCTTCAGAATTCAAGGTGATAATTTGTTTTAATCAGTTCCTCTTTTCTTGATCTTTTGTCTTTCTGGGGAAATGTTCCATCACATAATACCCTAAGATATGTGTTAATTAATATATCCATTGTTAATTAATATGTTAATATATTGCATTCCTACAGAGCGTCAGCTTCCACCTTCCTTTGCGAGACAATTAAAGGACATTGAGCAAACTGTTGGGTTACCAGTTACTCTAACCTGCCGTTTAAATGGCTCAGCACCTATCCAAGTTTCTTGGTATAGAGATGGGGTACTTTTAAGAGATGATGAAAATTTGCAGACATCATTTGTTGATAATGTAGCAACTCTCAAAATTTTGCAAACTGACTTGAGTCACTCTGGACAATACTCTTGTTCAGCATCCAATCCTCTTGGAACTGCTTCTTCTAGTGCTAGGATGACAGCAAGAGGTTAGTTTCCACACGAACATTTTTTTCTCTACCAAATATGTCTTCTTTACATCTTATGTCAAAGTAGAACTGGTCAAATGAGCAAAAATATGCATTTTGTTTTTCTTTTCATGTTCCAGAACCCAAGAAATCTCCCTTCTTTGACATTAAGCCTGTATCGATAGATGTCATTGCTGGAGAAAGTGCTGATTTTGAGTGCCACGTCACTGGTGCTCAACCAATGAGAATCACTTGGTCAAAGGATAACAAAGAGATTCGCCCTGGAGGAAACTATACAATCACATGTGTGGGAAATACACCACATTTGAGAATCCTTAAAGTAGGCAAAGGAGACTCTGGCCAGTATACTTGTCAAGCAACTAATGACGTTGGGAAAGACATGTGCTCAGCTCAACTTAGCGTAAAAGGTAGTAGTTAAAGTGTCTAATGACATATATTCTTTATCATTGTGAGATAATGTCTTGAAATTATTAATATTAAAGTGTTTCATGTAAACTGCATCTCCCAGACTGTCTACCATTAAGTTGATGTCCTAAATCAAAATTTTCCTCCCTCTTGATTTAGGGTTTTTTTTTAAATCTATGTAGTCTAATATTCATAGTCATACAAGAAGATAATTGTTCTTTACTTCACATTTGGTGAATATTGCATTCTTTTTCTTTTTATGTAATATTCTTTATCATTACTAAATTTTTGTCAGATACAATGGTTTTATATATGTACATGTTCATCTGTCCTTTTTTGTTAGCCTTTACACATCTAGAGTAGAAAGAGTTCATTGGCAGCTCATTGTGTAGTGAAAATAATGACGCCATTATGATAGAAAGACACGACAGGACATTATTAACTTTCCAAATGAGCATTTTGGCACATTTTGTTTGTTACTAACAATAAACTAGTTTCTACAAGAACTCTTTAAATTCTCTGTTAAACTCAAACTGTCATTATGCTATCACAAAATTTAAATAACATTTTCCCCCCTTTGCTTTACTAGAACCTCCCAAATTTGTTAAGAAATTAGAAGCTTCAAAAATTGGGAAGCAGGGAACATCCATTCAGTTGGAATGCAAGATCAGTGGCTCCCCAGAAATCAAAGTTATGTGGTTCAAAAACGACAGTGAACTTCATGAAAGCTGGAAATACAACATGTCTTTCATGGATTCTGTGGCACTCCTCACTATTAATGAAGCCAGCACTGAAGATAGTGGAGATTATATTTGTGAAGCTCATAATGGCGTTGGTGATGCAAGTTGCAGTACAGCTCTCACAGTTAAAGGTTAGAAGATATGAAAACTTCTTTCCATTTCTGTTACCCCTCTAATTTGAGCTCTTTTCAGTAATATCAATTCAGAAAACAAATTACTAGCAAAGGTATGACTGGAGGCTGGAAGCCAATAAAAAAAAAAGCCCCAAAAAACAAGATGGTATTTGTTCATCTTGTCATACCATTCATTCTGAATGGACTTCATTTTGAAAATATTCCTTTCAATTTTTAGGAAACCGGTGTTAATTTCTCATCCCTGTTGTTTGTCTCGGTAGCGCCTCCTGTGTTCACCCAGAAACCTGCTCCAGTAGGTGCTCTTAAAGGTTCTGATGTAGTCTTCCAATGTGAAATTTCGGGGACACCTCCATTTGAAGTGGTATGGGTCAAAGACAGGAAACAAGTACGAAGCAGCAAGAAATTCAAAATTACTTCGAAAAACTTCGATACTAGTCTTCATATCCTTAATCTGGAAGCTGCAGACACTGGGGAATATCATTGTAAAGCCACCAATGAGGTGGGAAGTGATACTTGTGTATGCACTCTAAAGTTCAAAGGTTGGTATTCTTGGGCATCTAGAGGGGCTTCTTCCTATAATCTTTCTCTTTTTTGTTGTTCTTTTGACTGCTAAATTGCCTCTCTCTCTCTCTCTCTCTCTCTCTCTCTCTCTCTCTCTCTCTTTTTACTACACCCATGCTTATCTTTCATTAGAACCTCCACGATTTGTGAAGAAGCTAAGTGATACTTCAACCCTTGTAGGAGACCCTGTTCAATTGCAGGCCTTGGTTGAAGGTTTCCAGCCTCTTTCTGTTGTCTGGCTGAAAGACAAAGGTGAAGTCATCAGAGAAAGTGAAAATGTTAACATCACCTTTGTGGATAATGTGGCTACCCTCCAGTTTATGAGGCCTGAGGCTGCCAATTCTGGAAAATACATATGCCAAGTCAAAAATGATGCTGGCATGCGGGAGTGTTCAGCAGCCTTATCTGTACTAGGTTAGTAATTTAATAACAACTTATTGGCTGTCCTCTCATGGCTGTTTTGTAATAAAGAAAAAAATTCTTCTCTGCCACCTACTGTGTTATTTGTACACTAAGGTGGCTTTGAGCTGGATTTCCATTTCAATGGTGGTTTACCTCTTCTTTTAGAACCAGCCAGAATCTTAGAGAAGCCAGAACCTATGACTGTCACTACTGGAAATCCTTTTGCCCTCGAGTGCCTGGTAACGGGAACTCCAGAACTTACTACTAAGTGGTACAAAGATGGAAAAGAATTAGCTGCTGACCGCAAACACCAAATTACCTTCCTCAACAAGGTCGCTTCCCTTAAAATCCCCTGTGCAGAGATGAGTGACAAGGGCTTATACAGTTTTGAAGTGAAAAACAGTGTGGGTAAAAGCAACTGCACAGTCTCCGTTCACGTTTCAGGTCAGCCAAAATTGTATTTGAATAATTTATTCCATTTCTTTTCTGAGACTCTCTCTTTAGACGACCACAACAAGAACAACAAAATCCAATTTTTGTTTTTGTTTTTGGCTATGCTTCTTTATATAGATCGTGTTGTACCACCTTCTTTCATAAGAAAATTGAAAGATACTAATGGGATTCTGGGTTCCTCCATTCGTTTGGAGTGCAGAGTCGCTGGATCATCACCTATTTCAGTTGCCTGGTTTCAGAATGGAAACGAGATTGTTAGTGGAGCAAAACACCAATCCACATTTTCAGAAAATGTCTGTACTTTGAGTTTGAAGCTGTTGGAGCCTTCAGACACAGGGACTTACACTTGTGTGGCCAATAACGTAGCTGGATCTGATGAATGTTCAGCAGTTCTGATCGTGCAAGGTCAGTGGGCAAAGCAGATGCTTCTTCCACATGACTTTGTTTCTCTCTTATGTGATATGTCTTTGTTCTCTGCATAGATTTTATATCTTTTCTTTTTTCTTCACATTTCAAAGGCAGTTATGTGATGGATTCATTGTCTCTCTCTCTCTGGCTCTCTCCCTCTCTCTCTCTCTCTCTCCCCCTCTCTCTCTCTCTCTCTCCCCATCTATTTCTGTTTCTAAACATTTAGAACCACCATCTTTCGAACAGACCCCTGAGTCTGTGGAAGTTTTACCTGGAATGAGTGTCACTTTCACTAGTGTAATAAGAGGAACCCCTCCATTTAATGTCAAGTGGTTTAGAGGTAGCAGGGAACTTGTACAAGGAGATTCCTGCAATATCTCTATAGATGAGTCAGTTACAGAACTGGAGCTGTTTGATGTCGAACCATTACAGAGTGGAGACTATTCTTGCCTCGTTATCAATGATGCAGGCAGTGCCTCATGTACCACCCATCTTTTTGTGAAAGGTTTGTTCTTTGTTCCAATTTTCATTGTTCCGATTTCTTTTTCTAAGTCTTCACATAGGGTTAGAATTTCACCCTCATGCTTTCTTTACTACAGAACCAGCAGCATTTGTGAAAAGATTAACTGACTTCAGCGTCGAGGCTGGATTCCCCATAGTTCTTGAGTGTACCTTTGCGGGGACCCCTCCAATTTCAGTGACCTGGATAAAGGACGGCTACTCTCTTTCTCAGTCTCCGAACTGTAGTATTACTATGACAGAAAAATCTTCCATTCTGGAGATTCTTGATAGTACAACAGAGGATTATGGACAATATGGTTGTCTGATTGAGAACGAGGCTGGACAGGATATTTGTGAAGCCTTGGTCTCTGTCTTAGGTGTGTTGACAATCATCTCTTTCTATTATACTCACCTTTCTTTTAAAAAAAAGAACTTTTCTAGTTGGTTTGGTTGACTGCTTACAATTTTTTTTTCATGCTATAGAACCACCTTACTTTCTTGAACCACTGGAACACATTGAAGTGGTCCTTGGAGAGTCAGCCACTTTGCAATGCCAAGTAGCTGGAACCCCAGAAATCAAAATATCTTGGTATAAAGAAGATACAAAACTAAGATCAGCTCCTGCATATAAAATGTCCTTCAAAAATAATGTTGCCTCCCTTGTAATCAACAAAGTGGACCATAGTGATGTAGGAGAATATACCTGCAAGGCAGAAAACAGCGTCGGGGCTATTGTTTCATCAGCCGTGCTTGTTATTCAAGGTGATAACTTTGTGCTTTAAAAAAATCAAGTGCTTAGTAGCATGTTTACATAGTTAACTTCTTAATGGACATCAAAAGTGAAATGAGTAAAAATGATCACGAGTCTCTCTTCTTTGACAAATGAGGATTATTTCTAATTTCATTCCAGAGCGTAAACTTCCACCTTCCTTTGCAAGGAAACTGAAGGATATTCAGGAAACCCTTGGCTTTCCCGTTGCATTTGAGTGCCGCATCAATGGTTCAGAACCCATTCAGGTGTCTTGGTACAAAGATGGGGTGCTCATAAAAGATGACCCTAACATGCAAACATCTTTTGTCCACAATGTTGCAACTCTTCAGATCTTGCAAACTGAGAAGAGTCACATGGGTCAGTATAATTGCTCAGCTTCTAATCCTCTTGGAACTGCTTCATCCAGTGCCAAGCTCATTCTCTCAGGTAGGTAGTTCATAACGTGTTCCCCTGTAAGAAGTATGTTTTCAAATCACAAAGGAACTGGTAAAAAAAAATAATAAAACAACTCACCACTATGACCATATATTCTCAATGTTTTCAGAGCATGAAGTACCTCCCTTCTTTGATCTAAAACCTGTATCAGTAGATCTCGCTCTTGGAGGAAGTGGGTCTTTAAGTGCCATGTAACGGGCACAGCACCAATCAAAATCACTTGGGCCAAAGATAACAGGGAGATCCGTCCTGGAGGCAACTACAAGATGACTTTGGTTGAAAACACAGCCACTTTGACAGTTCTCAAAGTAGCCAAAGGAGATGCTGGACAATACACTTGCTATGCAAGCAATATTGCTGGAAAAGACTCTTGTTCAGCCCAACTGGGTGTACAAGGTATATGCTACAGTCTAGTATTATTTTCTTTGTTTTAAGAAAAAAAAAGTTATATTTTAGAGTATGCTTCTTTAAACATCATATTCTAGTGATGTATAATTGTTGTTCAAATGTTTCAGTTGTGCCCAACTCCTCATGACCCCATTTAGGTCTTGGTAGAGATACTGGAGTGGTTTACTATTTCTTCCTCCAGCTCATTTGAGTGAGGAAACTGAGGCAAACAAGGTTAAGTGGCTTGCCAAGGGTCACACAGCTAATAAGTGGCTGAGGCCAGATTTGAACTCAGGTCTTGCAGACTCCAAGCCCAGTGTGCTATCCACTGCACCACCTACCTGCCCTAGTGATGTGTATAACAGGTGCTTAATAGTCAGCACATGATAGGCATTTGATAAATACTTATTTCCTTCCTTCCTTCTCCTCAACTACATGTGTGTGTGTCTATGCGTGTGTATCACCTACTATCTGTTAAGCGCTTTACAAATATTATCTAATTTGATCCTTCCAACAACCCTGGAAGGTCTGTTCTAATATTATCCCCACTTCATAGTTAAGGACAGTTTCTGCCCCCAGGTTTATACCTCTGTAATCTCTGGGTATTGGTACAAGAACTGAGTCAATTATTTGGGAGCTTTTTCATCAGTGGGTCAAACTATAAGAATTTTTAAGTGCCTACTATGGGCAGGCAGAGGAAAGCATATTATTTGTCTGTTACTGTTTTGATAAATTTCCTTTTGTGTTCTTAGAATTAATATCTATTGTGTTATATTTGTTGTGGTTTGTTCTTGCTAAACATTATCCAAGAAATGCTGAACAACTGGACAAAGTTTCAGGGAAAAAAAGTGGTTTCCCCCCTCCCCACCAAGATGAAGTGATTTGCCTAAGCCACCAAAGAAACTTTGTTACAGCTTAAGAACGTTTGTGTCCCACGACCTCTTAACCTAACCCATGTTGTTCCCTCGGTTGCACAGAACCACCCCGGTTCATTAAGAAGCTAGAACCTTCAAGAATCCTGAAAGAGAATGACTCTACCAGATATGAATGCAAAATAGGTGGGTCTCCAGAAATCAAAGTACTGTGGTATAAAAATGAAACTGAAATCCAAGCCAGTGAAAAATACAGAATGTCTTTCGTGGATTCCGTGGCAGTAATTGAAATGCACAACCTCAGTGTTGAAGACAGTGGGGACTACACATGTGAGGCCCATAATGCCGCTGGCAGTGCAAGTAGCAGTACATCATTGAAAGTGAAAGGTCAGAGCTCAAGCTACCTTTGTCTTCTTCCATTTTGTGTCTCCTCCCATTGGCTACCTTTGTCCTTTTCCATCTAGGCTCTCCTCCCATTGGCTATCTTTCTGCTTCCTATTCACCACTTTCCTAGGGCTTTTTTTTTTGTCTTTTTGCCTTTGACTTTTTTTTTGTCTTTCGTCTTTGACTTCTTGTCTTTTTGTCTTTGACTTTTTTTTTGTCAAATCTTGTTTCTGATGTTACCTTTAGAGGACCTGTCTTAATTTCCTACATCCTTTTCAATTCAAATATCTATTTTAGAACCCCCAGTCTTCAGCAAAAAGCCTCATGCCATTGAGACGCTGAAAGGTTCTGACGTTCATCTTGAATGTGAGCTTCGAGGAACTCCCCCGTTCCAAGTTTCATGGCATAAAGACAAAAGAGAACTTAGAAGTGGCAAGAAGTACAAGATAATGTCTGAGAACTTTCTTACTAGCATTCACATTCTTAACGTTGACGCTTCTGATGTTGGGGAATACCAATGTAAAGCTGCCAATGATGTGGGGAGTGACGCCTGTGTTGTCTCTGTTGTATTAAAAGGTTAGTCTGCCTTCTCTTTCTACTTCCATTTTATTTCCTTATCCCTACCCTTATTTGTCTTTATCTTATCCTGTCCTTATCTCCTTCAACCCCAACCTCCTCTACCTTTCACTTTTTCCTTTCCTTTGGGCTTTATTTATCTTTCTTCTTTGAAGATTAAACTCTAACAGATATCTTGTTCATTTCAGTACTCATATCCTCTGAGATCAGGGTGAGGGGAATGGGTTTGGTGCATTCCACTTCATCTTCATGACAGCATAGTCTCTTACCCTCTTTAATAAATAGTGACAAACAACCACTGGGGTGTTAACGCTTTTATTCATGACTTCAATATACAATGCTCTCCTTATGATCTTTTTTCCCATATGCTATTTTTAACTGTGTATTACCTCTTCTCCATCAGCACCACCAAGATTTGTAAAGAAGCTAAGTGACTTTTCTGCCATAGTTGGAGACCAAGTTCAATTGCAGGCTGTCATAGAAGGCCCTGAGCCAATTTCGGTGGTATGGTTCAAAGACAAGGGGGAAATCGTTCGAGAGAGTGACAATGTCTGGCTCTCCTATTCAGACCACACTGCAACTCTACAAGTGACAAACGCTGAACCAGCCAATGCTGGAAAGTATACCTGTCAGATCAAAAATGATGCTGGAATGCAGGAATGCTTTGCAACACTCTCAGTTCTAGGTTAGTATCTCTATGTTTATATCTACATATACATATTATAAAAATACCCACAAAATGCATATGACATTATAGCATATGTACATATATTAGAGCATTAGGGTTCATACTGTAGTTGTCTATCTTTACCATACCTTCACTTATTAAATGTGAATGTGATTTGCATCTCATTTCAGAACCAGCAGTCATTGTAGAGAAGCCAGAATCAGTCACCGTTACATCGGGAGATACTTGTACCCTCGAATGCATAGTAGCTGGTACTCCAGAACTCATTACCAAGTGGTTTAAGAATGGAAAAGAACTGACTAGTGACAACAAGTACAAATTAAGTTTTTTCAACAGAGTGTCCGGTCTTAAGATTATTAATGCAGCACCGAGTGACAGTGGTGTGTACACTTTTGAGGTGCAAAACAGTGTTGGGAAAGATAGCTGTACAGCTTCAATTCAAGTTTCAGGTTAGTTGGTTTTATTTTCCTTCATTATTATTCTAAAATTCAGAATTTACTTTGGTTCTTTTGAAGAAAAATTCAGCTCCAGGCAATTCAATAGTTAATTAAGTTCTTATTATGCACCAGGCACTGTGCTAGTTACAAAATATTAAAAAAAAAAAAAAAGGAAATAGACTGTCCTGTCAGGGAGCTTACATCCATGTGAGGAAACCCATTTCAATAGAGCCACTTGCATCCAATATCTTAGGGGCCATCAAAATTAGAGTTGACCTATATGAGAAATTAGAAGAAAATTCATTTTAAAGAGTTTAGCTCCATTTTTATTTCTAAATGATCAGAGCAATATTGTATCCTTGGATAAGGCAACATGGTCTGTTCCCTTCATGATACAGCATCCCTTCATCTACTGAAAATAGAAGGAATTAGAATAACAAACACTATCAATGAAATCTTGGGAAATCAAACCAACAGCTCCTCCTGATCAGTGTTTGAGGCCTCTGATGTTACGAATTTCTTATTAATTCTTCCATACTAAAGCAAATGGTGTGGATCAAAGTAAAAGACCTTTTTAGCAAAAAGACAGACATTATCTTTTTAAATCTTTTTTTTTTAAATAACCGTTTGTCACTCTTTGCTTTTCCCTTATTTAGACCGAATTGTGCCTCCATCTTTCACAAGAAGATTGAAAGAGACGAATGGTTTATATGGCTCCTCTGTTGTAATGGAATGCAAAGTCTATGGATCACCTCCAATTTCTGTCACCTGGTACCATGAGGGAAATGAGATCCCCAGTGGAAGAAAGTACCAGACTACCCTAACAGATAATACTTGTTCTCTGACTGTGAATGCTCTTGAAGAGTCAGATGAAGGAGATTACACCTGTATAGCTACAAATGTTGCTGGATCTGATGAATGTAGTGCAGCCTTGACTGTAAGAGGTCAGTAAAAAAAAAAAACAAAGAAAGAAAAACAAAGAAAGAAAAAGAATGAAATCATTTAAGAGAATCTGGTTCAATTTCAGCATCATCGCTTCTCACTTCTTTCAAACTGTATTTACTGAGCACTTACTACATTTAAGGCCCTATCCTGTGCTGCATGGCTTATAAAGTGTTTTCATTACCCCCTATCATATAAATATTAACCTTCTTTTATATATGTCTGTGTGTGTGTGTGTGTGTGTGTTTAGAACCACCCTCCTTTGTGCAGAAGCCAGATCCCATGGATGTTCTCACTGGAACAAATGTAACTTTCACGAGCATCATTCGAGGAACTCCTCCTTTCAATGTTAGCTGGTTTAAAGGTAGCACTGAACTACTACCAGGAGACAGATGTAATGTTTCTTTTGATGAGTCAGTGGCTGAACTGGAGCTGTTTGAGGTAGATACATCACAAAGTGGAGATTACACCTGCATAGTTAGTAATGAGGCTGGCAAGGCTTCTTGTACAACGCATCTTTATGTAAAAGGTTGGTCCCTTATATGGCTTTCTTCCATTTTAAAATCTTCTCTGTGTGTGTGCATGTATGTGAATATGTGTGTTTGACCTGGTTGTTTTATCTCATTCTCTCTAGCTCCAGCCAAATTTGTGAAGAGACTAAATGATTACAGCATAGAGAAAGGGAAGCCGTTGATTCTGGAGGGGACATACACTGGAACCCCACCCATTGCAGTGACATGGAAGAAGAATGGCTTGAATATAACCCAATCTCAAAGATGTAGCCTGACTGCTACAGACAAATCTGCTATCCTAGAAATTCCCAGCAGCACAGTGGAAGATGCAGGACAGTATAACTGCTACATTGAGAATGCCTCTGGGAAGGATTCTTGTTCTGCACAAATATTGATATTAGGTGGGTTCCGATGACGTTACCTCATTTTTTTAGGACTTGTGCCCATTCTCCGGAGTTCTTTCACCACTGATCATCTTCCCTTGTGTTTTAGAACCACCCTATTTTGTAAAACAAATGGAGCCTGTTAAAGTGACCGTGGGAGATTCTGCCTCTTTGCAATGCCAGGTTGCTGGCACCCCTGAAATCGCAGTATCTTGGTACAAAGGAGATACAAAATTAAGAGCCACCTCTACCCTCAAGATGCATTTCAGGAATAATGTTGCTACACTGGTGTTCAACCAGGTTGACATTAATGACAGTGGAGAATACATCTGCAAAGCTGAAAACACTGTGGGAGAAGTGTCATCATCAACTTTCCTTACTGTTCAAGGTGAGTGTTTTAAAAATTAATGAAGTACTTTCTTCCTCTGAGCTTCATCTGAATTATCCCATCAGGACCTTCTTCTTCAATTGATTTTTTAAGTACCTGGCTAGTAGTAAGCACTTAATAAATACATTATCTAATCTAATTTCCCCAACAGCTAACTCCCTAAACCTTTCATAAGAAAGATGAGAAATTATAATTTAATTTGGAATTAGGACATAATTATTCATTCACATAATAATTTTGTGTGAAAAATAATCCTCCTAAGACTATAGATTTAGAGCTCTAAGCGACCTTAAATTCTCATCCAGTCCAACCCCCATTAAAAAGACAAAGAAACTGAGGCCCATAGAAATCATAGCATCACAGATTTTGGAGCTATAAGGAACCTTAGAGGCCACTCAGTATGACCTGCTCATTATGTTGATGAGGAAATTGAGGCACAAAAATGTTAAATCACTTGCCCAGTATTGCACAGCTAGTAAGTTTCTAAAATGGGACTTGCATCTAGGTCTTCTTGACTCCAAGTCCAATGCTCTATATTCACTATATCCCAAGGTCTTGTAGGTAGTATTCAAACCTAGGATATCTAACTCCAAAGTTAGCACTCATCCTATTTTATTTGGCTTTACTTTAAACCCATGGCTTCTAAAGTTGATCCCCTTTACCATAAGATGGCCTAAAGATGGTAGATAGTCTATTCCTTGAAGTCAGTTTTTCCCCAGTTATCCTACAGTTTTATGCTCCTTCTAAATTTTAAAGCTGACCTTGAAGTAAAACTTAAACAAGGTGGTGTCTACTCCTTAGTCCAACTCAGGAGAATGTTCTAATGCTTCTGAGTGAATAGAAAGTACATTATCTGTGCAAAGTTTGTGAGAGAGTGTTCAGTAATTGAAAACATCCAGTCATTCATTGCCTGATTCTGTTTCCTTACAGAGCAAAAGCTTCCACCTTCATTTTCTCGACAATTGCGAGACATTCAAGAAACCATTGGTCTACCAGTTATATTTGAATGTGCAATAAGTGGCTCAGAACCCATTCAGGTGTCTTGGTTTAAAGATGGTAAACCTTTGAGAGATGGCCAAAATGTGCAGACTTCATTTTTAGATAACGTAGCGACATTGAATATTTTCAAAACAGATAGGAGCCTTGGGGGTCAGTACACCTGTACAGCTACAAATCCTATTGGATCTGCCAATTCCAGTGCCAGGCTCATCCTCACAGGTTGGTGGATTTTTAAAATTTTTTCATATTTAATAAACAATTTTTAAAAGATATATATGTGTGTATGCATATATACATGCATGTACATACATACATACATACATACATACATACATACATACACACGTTCACAACCTGGTAATAAGGAAACATCACTTTTTACAAACCAGTATATTTTATGAATATAAAGCCTGAGATTATGTTTCCTTACTGATTTACAGAGGGAAAGAATCCACCTTTCTTCGACTTACCAGTTGTCCCAATTGATGCTGTTGTGGGAGAAAGTGCTGACTTCGAATGCCACGTTACTGGAACTCAACCAATTAAGGTCACCTGGGCCAAAGACAACAAAGAAATACGGAGTGGAGGAAACTATCAAATTAGTTACCTGGAGAATACTGCCCATTTGACTATTGTAAAAGTTGATAAAGGGGACTCCGGACAGTATACTTGTTATGCTGTGAATGAAGTTGGAAAGGATTCATGTACAGCCCAACTTAACATAAAAGGTAAGGAGGGCTCAGATTGTGTAGCACACCCAGAAGTATAATCCTTTTTCATTTCATCCTAATGATGGGTTACTTATGACATACACACAAAGAAGCCAAGGTTCTGCAAACTGAATAGGAATAAGCATTGAGTAGGAATGATGGCTTATTCTGTAATTCCTGCTACAGAGGAGGCTGAAATTGATTATCTCTTGAGTTCAGGAGCTCTGATCTGCATTGGGGCTGGAAGCTAAAAGAGTGTCTAAGCTAGGTCCATCACCAAGTTGGTGAGACCCTGGGAGCGGAGCCTTCTCGGAATACCTAAAGAATGGACAAAATGACCCACTTTGGGAAAATGGACAAGATTCCAAGATTAGAACTTCTGTCCCAATCTGTATTGTGATTGGGCCCATGAGTGATTATTACACTTCCAACTTGGATAAGATAGAGAGGGAAAAAATTATAAGCATCAGTTAAAACAATATATAACAAACCATTCAGGGTGTCCCAAAAGTCTTAGTGCAGTTTTAAACTCTTACATAACGGTTTATCATTTAAATAACAATAGTTTTAAACTATTAAAGCTTAAAACCACACCAAGACTTTTGCATTTTAAATTATTTTAAACCTGCACTAAGATATTTTAAGCCTGCTTGACAAAAAGAATCCTATATTCTTTAACCTATGCTTTCTAAAACTTTGTATATAGTGGTCTGTAAATTTTACAAGAAAAGTTTAATTTTTTAATTTAATTTAATTTTAATTTATTATTTAAAAAGCATTTTCCCTTTCTTGGTAAATTTCTGTTCCTGGAAATAACAGCTTTATGCAGCTCAAAGTCAGAGTGCAAATTTACATAAACTCATGGTGGGCAGTAGGATTCTAACTAGGATAGGGCTAATAGCGCAACCTTGATGGCATGTTCTTCCTTCCTGGAAGGCTTTCTCCTTTACCCTGCCTGCCCAGATCTGGAATATGTTTTGTCCACCTGTCACAAGCATATAAACTTGGAGCAGTTTGGTGGCGCAATGGATAGAGCAGCAGTCCTGAAGTGAGGAGGACCTGAGTTCAACTCCAGCCTCAGATACTTGCCACCTGTGTGACCCTGGGCAAGTCACCTAACCGATTGCCTCCAAAAACGAGAATATATCAACTTCCTACAGGACAATATTTCCATCCCTAACTACTTTACTCCCCACATTTGGTTTTCATTTCTACAACACTTTTCCCCTGCCTCCCATCCAGCCCCTGACAGCAGCAGCAATTCCTTCAATCATAGAACCTCATTTTGCTCTAGGCTAATCTTCCTCCCCAGCAGTGAGTTGGGGAGGAACTTCCTCCTTCTCCCTCACACCCACCTGCCCCAAGTGCAAAAATAGTTAATTAGAGCTCTGATGGAAGGTCACATTATGATTAGGGAGCAGATGCAATCTGATGATTGCTGAGACACTGATGAGTCTTTTATCAATGACCTACTTTTCCATCCCTTATGGTTTGTGATGCAATCTCTTACAGAACGGCTGATACCACCAAGTTTCACTAAAAAACTCTCTGAAACAGTGGAAGAAATAGAAGGGAACTCTTTCAGACTTGAAGGCCGGGTTGCTGGTTCCCAACCTATAACTGTTGCTTGGTATAAAAATAACGTGGAGATCCACCCAAGTGCTAACTGTGAAATATCATTCAAGAACAATGCCATATTTCTACAAATTAAGAAAGCAGGGATGTCTGATGCTGGTTTATATACATGCAAAGTGTCCAATGATGCTGGATCTGCTCTGTGTACCTCTTCAATTGTTGTCAAAGGTCAGTTCATTTCAGACTTATCTCATTGTTATATTTTATTCACTCATTCATTACCTATTAATATTTTTTTTCTCTGACTTTAACCAAGTTATAGAAGAAAATGTGCATTCTTTAAAAGGTCTATTATGGGTCCACATATACTGTTTTGTAGAATATCCACTCTTTCCACTAGCTTAATGTTGTCTGGTAAAATACATATGATTTAACAAATATGGGTCAAAGTTTCAGCTGCTGTAACTCATGACCCAAAATAATTCTTGCTAAATTAAGTCACAATAATTGGATATAAGTGAGGCAGAGTATACAAAGTCATCTATCATATCAATGATACCATTCTCTAGCAAAAAAAAAAAAGAAACAAAACAAAATTTCAGTAATCTGAGAATCTATATCCCAGTTTCTGTTTCTTTGAAATTTATCTTCAGTTATTAAAAAGCTATAGCGACATTTAAAATGTAAATTTCAGACCAATGGGATTGTTTTCACTTGAACACTGAGTTTAAATTCTTAGTTTCATTGGTCTGAAATACTCTAAAAATGACCATAATTGAATTTAATAGCTGAGAATTATCAAAAGAAAGAATACAAGTATTGGGATGTATCTGAGCACTCAGATTATTCGAATCATGGATTTTTTGCCTCTTACTGTATACAGAAGAATTACCAATAGATGCAATAGCATGTGAAGTTCAGCATAAATCTAGGTTTTCTAAAGTTTATAGTATTAGTAATATGTTGTGATACAAGGAAGTTTGCATTAAGGAATAGTACCATATTTATAGCACTTAGTCAATGTGCAGATGCTTGGTCAATTTTGTGTATAAAATAATATTTGTGTTTCATCTATTACATTTCTGTTCTTCAAACACCATCAACTTTGACTGTTGTCTCAGGACAAGAATGGACATTGAAAGATACTCTTTTTCAAGATAATTAAACCAAATGGCACTACCTTTATTGTTATTTAGTGGCAACACTATTAGACTCATCTAGTCTTCTTTCTTAAAACTCGAAATCTTCTTGCCTCTTTCTTCCCTCACTAAAATACTTTGTGATTCCAGAGCCTAAAAAACCACCAGTGTTTGATCAGCCTCTGGCTCCAGTGACAGTAAATGAAGGAGAATTTTTGCAACTCAGCTGCCATGTTCAAGGATCAGAGCCCATCAGGATTCAGTGGCTGAAGGGAGGCAGAGAAGTAAAACCTTCTGACAAATGCAGTTTCAGCTTTGCTAATGGAACAGCTGTTCTGGAACTAAAGGAAGTAACTAAAACCGAATCAGGAGATTATGTATGCAAAGCTTCCAATGTGGCTGGAAGTGACTCTTGCAAATCCAAAGTGACTGTTAAAGGTACAGTAATCTCAAAATGTCACTTTCCCTGTCCAATCAATAAATATCTTATTCAGTGCTTAGTGTCACCACAGTAACTTAAACATTAATTAAATGAAATTTAAAAATACCTATCAGTAATCATATGTATCAAGTACTCTTATTGTTTTCTTTGAGGTAAGTCAGTCAATAAACAAAGATTTATTAAGCACCTACTATGTTCAAGTACTGTGCTAAGCCCTGGAAATACAAAGAAAAGCAAAAAAAATCTGCTTTGAAGGAGCTCATAGTCTAATGAGAGAGACAAGATGCAAACAACTATGAACAAACAAGTTATATGCAGCGTAAATTGGAGATAATTGATATAGGGATAGCACTGGCATTAAGTAGAATCTAGAAAGGCTTCTTGTAAAAGGTGGAATTTTAACTGGGACTTGAAGGGAGTCGGAGAATCAAGAAGGTGGAGATGAAGAGGCAGAAAGTATTAGAAACAGCAAACAGTAGGTGAAAATGCTGTGCTGGGAAACAGTTAATAGAAAATAAATTCACTACTGTCAAGATAGCTAAAAAACATTGAAGCTTTACTATAATATTACTTATTAAAAAGTCAAATTCACCAAAAACTGAGTAAGAAAGGTCATAGTTTTAGCACTAGAAAGACCCTTAGAAGCAATGGAATCCAACCCTTTCATTTTAGAAATGAGGAAAGTGGGACAAGTTGTCTAGGGTCACACAGATAGTCACTGTCTGAGATGAAATTTGAACTCAGATCTTCCTGACTCCAAGTCCCAATGACCTATCCATTATGTCATAGTTAATTAGCGCAACATTCAATGGCTCTAATAATTGAAAGGCTTTACATTAAAGTGATCACTTGGCATAAATCCTAAGAGTACCTTTCCAGTGAAGCTTCAGCATATTTGTGTAAGATGTGATATGACTAGTTTGATTTCTGATTTCATATGTGTAGCAATTGTCACCAACCTAAATTTCTATGAAATCCTCTATGGTTCATTTCATTTACATATATGCTTAAATGTGTGTACACAAATGGCGAGACAGAATGTGTATTTATAAACCTTAAATACATAAATACATGATGCTATTTAAACTTACCTTGATATTAGAACCTATTCGCAAGGAAGAAAAAAAAATACTGCTCTGAGAAAACTATAACATTAAAATTTGTTTTGCAGATAAACCAGCCGCCGTACCAACAGCTAAGAAAGCAGCAGTGGATGGAAAACTCTTCTTTGTTTCAGAACCCCAGAGTATCAGAGTCATCGAAAGTAAGTCTTGGATCAAAGCTTTGCATCTGTCTATCCGCACATGCTTGTTCTCATGTAAAGAACTCTTCATACAGTTTTATTTTAAAATTAACAGATAGATTTCAAGAAACCCAACACTGACCCATTTTTATTCTTGTTTGTCAGAAACCACTGCAACATTCATTGCCAAAGTTGGAGGTGATCCAATCCCAAATGTTAAGTGGACAAAGGGAAAGTGGAGACAGCTGAACCAAGGAGGCCGAGTCTTTATTCAGCAGAAAGGCGACGAAGCAAAACTGGAAATCAGGGATACTACAAAAACTGATTCTGGATTGTATAGATGTGTAGCATTCAATAAACATGGTGAAATCGAAAGTAATGTTAACCTACAGGTGGATGAAAGAAAGAAACAAGAGAAAATTGAAGGAGATCTTAGGGCAATGCTGAAAAGGTAAGTGTAAGCATGTTCACTGTCAGGGTAAAAAAAATGGTAATGTCTATTCTCTACATGTTCATCAAAGAGATTTGTGATCCTTACCCTTCAGGATTTGAGAGATAGAACAGGACAATCTCTAACACATTTCTTTATATATTAAATCAGTAATAGATAAATACAAATTTATATGCATATAAAAAAGCACAGCAAAATACTGATGGGAGCTATTGCAATTATGAGGAAATAATGGTTCATTAGTATCAAACTGATTAAAATTTTAAAGAAGAACAACAGGCAGTGGCTGACTATTTATACTAAAGTGATACATCTTTAGTGGCTTCCTAAAGTACTGCTCTGATGCTTCATTGTGTGCAATGGAGATGGTCCTGGGTTCTCCAACAAACTATAACACTGTCAATACAGCATAGTCTCTTGCAAGTCACATAGAGCTTTGGAGACCTTTTGTCCAACAACAGACGGCATGGTTATTGCCTGAGGACCAGATATGTTAGGAAGGCTTATCAGCTAATTATTCATAATTATGCTTATTTTTTTTTTACTAAGGCGTGAAAGAGTTGAAATTTGGATTGTTGGAGAGAATAGACACATTGATGAAATCAGGTGAAGGACTAAATTATCTTTAGCTATATCTGTGAAAATTAGTCCTTATCTTTTTTAAGACTCAGTGCTTTTTTCCCCTATTAATCATCTTCTGTGTTGTCAGCCATTTTATTTTATTTCATAGAATTCTGGAAAAAAATCTCATCCTAATTTTTCAGTCTCAACTATCCCAATTATTCTACATCTTTAAAGATCTTTTCCAATATTTTTGAGCAATTCTCATTTAAATTTTTGGGGGGATATTTTCCTCCTGGCACTCAAAATTTCCTATACACTTATCTAAATTGTGACAGGTTTAAATCTAATTCAACTTGGAGCAATTTCTACAAAATTCTTTTGTCTTCCACATATACTTACATATGTACACATATATACATATACTCAATTATGTCTGCATATGAGTATGCCTGTGGAAATGTACATACATACATAGTTATGTTATTATTCAATCGTTTCAGTCATGAACAATTCTTCATGATCCCATTTGGGGTTTTCTTGGCAAAGATACTGGAGTGGTTTGCCTTTCCTTCTCCGACTCATTTTACAGATGAGGAAACTGAGGCAAGCAGGGTTAAGTGACCTGCCAAATGTCGCACAGCTAGTAAGTGTCTGAGGCTGGATTTGAACTCAAGAAATGAGTCTTCTTGACTCTAGACCTGGCACTGTGCACTATGGTGCCACCTAGCCACCCGCACCTAGTCATACAAGTCTAAATTTCAGGGAAACTTCTGTTTTCTTTTCCTGCATTTAAATAGTATGGTCAAATTTGATCCCAAATTTTGCCAGATTGAAGATTTTTCTCTTTTGTGATAAAAATGTATCTTGGTGTGACTGTTTTCAAATCCTACTCACTGTTATTTTAAACAAATTAGTGGAATTTTCACTGGAATAAAATTACTTTCTAAATGTAGAACTCTTTATTATATCATTAATTATTAAAGAAAAAGATGAGCCAAAAAATGGAAGCTAGATATTTTACATTTGATGTCAACTTCCTTTTATCACTTAGGACTCCAATCCAAACAAAAGGAGAAGAGGAGACAATTGATATCATGGAACTTCTCAAAAATGTTGATCCTAAAGAATATGAAAAATATGCCCGTATGTATGGAATTACAGATTTCCGGGGCCTACTCCAAGCCTTTGAATTGTTAAAGCAAAGCCAAGAAGAAGAAACACACAGATTGGTAAGTTCTAGGTTGAAAAAAAATCACATAGACAAATCCTAATTGAAATATGTATAATACATAGTTTGAACGATCTGAGTCTTGCTGTATATTCCTCTACCAAAAGCTACTCTGATGCCTTATTGCAGCACAGAGAGAGGCCCTGGGTTCTCAAAGGCTATGTTAGCAAAGCACAAAGTCTGGGAGGTCTCACCAAGCAGGTGAACATTTGAGTTGAACGCAACAGTGGACCAGGTTAGCTAAGTTTGGAGAGAGATCTTATCAGAAGTTTGCCTGGTAATTATTTTGGGGTGTTGGAGTGGGGGTGCACAATAGCACATGAAATATATGTACTAAGGCAGTTGCAATTTACACTTTTGGAGTAAATCTGCACGATGAGAGATGTGATTATTAATAATCAATGCTTTGGGGAGATCCGGAGTTCCTCCTTTTTCTATAGTCCTCCTTTCAAAATTCAGTCTCTTGAAGGATATTGCTGATAATGAGATTAGATTAGCTTTCTTAACAATCTTGTTCAGACCCCTCCCAAGCAGGGAAGCCATACTGCTGTGTTCTGATTTGGGTGGGGATAATTTCTTTGAATAGATTGCCCAAGGCTAGGGGTAACTTAAAAGGAAATGACATAATCAACATTCATTAGGATAGGTCCAGCCCCTCATTGTAATATTCATTCTCTCATTAATTGTTAACCAATCAGAGTTGATCGCCACTCTCAGGAACACCACTCTTCCAAAGGCATATAAACCATGAACCCACCACTGTGATGGTCCTTGGCATTCCACAGTTCTACTAACCTCTTTTTATTAAAATGCTAGCATTATAAATAAAATGACTAATGACCCAGAAATTCTGTCTCTTGAACTTTTTAAACATCACAACTCATGATCACAGCCCCATTGAAGAATCAAATCACTAAGCAGGTTGTACAGAAGGTATGAGGAGAGTAACAAGTTTTCCAGTTCCTCATATAATCAAATGAGTTAACACATGTAAAACACTTTGCAAATCCTAAAATGCTAAATAAATATTAGTTGTTTTTATTAATATTATTATTATGAATGCATCAGCAAGAATTTATGAAGTGCTTCTATGTGTCAGGCATAGAGATTTCCAAGGACAAACAAAAATAGTCATGAGCCTATTTGATACAGAGGTAAAAGCAATGGATTGGGCATTAGGAGATCTTGGTTCTAGAACTGTCTCTTCCACTAACTAGTTATATAGGGTATATATAGCTTATTTAAAAAAAAAAGGAGAAGAAGCAGCTTAAATTGCACTAAGACTTATGGGATACTTTGTGCAAGCCTGGCTATATAATTTAATCTAATTAGACTTTAGCCACTTTATTTGTAAAATGGAAGAATTGTACTTGATTTCAATCAACAAATATTTATTAAGCACTTGATGTGTGGTAGGAACTATGCTAAATAACAAGGATGTAGTTCGGTTGTTTTCAGTAATGTCTGACTCTCATTTGGGCTTTTCTTGGCAAAAGATACCACAGTGGTTTGCCATTTCCTTCTCCAGCTCATTTTACAGATGAGAAAACCGAGGCAAACAGGGTTAAGTGACTTGCCCAAGGTCACAAAGCTAGTAAGTTTCTGAAGCCAGATTTGAACTCAGATCCTCCTGACTTGAGGCCCAGCACTCTATCTATTGCACCACCTACTTCCCCCTCATCTATAAAATAGGGCAAGTAATATCTGTAGCACTTACCTAAGTTGTGGGGAGGATGGAATGAGATAATATATGTGAAGGATTATATAGATGTCAATTATTATTATAATTAAAATCACAAGACCTTACTAAAGTACATGCAGTGCAGTATAGAAACTGAATACTTTGATGTTTCTTTAGGAAATTGAAGAAGTAGAGAAGTCTGAAAAAGATGAAAAAGAATTTGAAGAATTAGTAGCCTTTATCCAGCAAAGGCTGTCACAGACAGAGGTAATAAACAAATTAAATAAATTATTGCAAAATGTGGTTGTACGCTGGGGACTTTAAAGTGAGATTAATGATCCATTTAAATCTTTTTTACCCTCAGCCAGTCACCCTTATCAAGGATATTGAAAATCAAACTGTTATAAAAGACAATGATGCTGTCTTTGAAATTGACATTAAAATCAATTATCCAGAGATCAAGCTCTCCTGGTACAAAGGCACCGAAAAATTGGACCCCAGTCCTAAGTATGAAATAAGCATTGACGGTGATCGACATATACTTAGAGTCAAAGACTGTCAACTGAAAGATCAGGGCAATTATAGGTTGGTTTGTGGTCCACACATCGCTAGCGCAAAGCTAACTGTAATTGGTAAGTAGATGCAGTTTAAGAAAAACAAAAACATACAAAATCTGTTTTTCATTGAATGCATTGATGTGACATCTATTAAAACTTCTTTTATCATGCTAACAGAACCTGCTTGGGAGAGGCATCTTCAAGATGTTACTGTAAAAGAAGGTCAGACCTGTACAATGAGCTGTCAGTTCTCTGTGCCAAATGTTAAATCTGAATGGTTCAGAAACGGAAAGATTCTCAAACCCCAACCTCGATATAAAACTGAAGTGGAACACAAAGTTCATAAACTGTCCATTGCCGATGTTAAAGCAGAAGACCAGGGCCAGTACACTTGTAAATATGAAGGTCTTGAAACATCTGCAGAGCTAAAAATTGAAGGTTGGTATATGAAACTGTATATTTTGAAGAACCATTATGTAGACTGATGAGCAATACTAGAAGTGTCCAATATTGAAAACCCATAGATAATTGCTTTTCCAGGGTTTGACACATATTCTTAAATTTTATATGGCTAATTCAAGGAAGAATTAAACCAGGGGTATGCTTGTAAATGTTTAACAGCTTGTTCTATAGGAAGAAAAATAAGTTCATGACATACTTTTGAGTTTAATCTGCATAAACAATTTCTCCATCATTTTCTTAAGTCTAGACAATTAACAAAATGGTAAATCAAGGCTTGATTTGTAAGGGTTGCTGGTTTCCAAGGTATAAATGCTCACACTGAAAATATAGCAAATCATCTTTCAGTTCCATCATGGCCCAGAATATAACCAAAATATTTGGGAATTCACGGAATTATAGAATTTGAACACTGGAAGGATCTTCAATCGCCATCTAGTCCAACCCAAATAAAAAGTAATCTTCACTTTTCCTTCTGCCTCTTTTCAAGGATTTTTTTTTATTGAGCTACAATGAGGCAGATTTCAGTTCAATCTACATTGATTTTTTTTCTAACACTTGAAGCTGACCTCAAATGGAGTCTTTTTACCTAAGAATGATAGAAAGCTTAAATGTTTTCAAAGTGCCGAATATTCTCTCATTTAAGGCCATGATCTCCCTCTCACTGGAGATATTTAAGTCGAAGTTGGATAAACAGCTGTCAGGAATTATTCAGTGGGATTCCTGAACTGTGCAGTAGATGAATTAAATAATACCATAGGCTCCTTTCGATCCAAAATCCTGCCATCATTAATTAAAAATATATGATCCAAAGTATACGAGAAATTTAGAGTTCAAGTTCTTAGTTGTAGGCACTGTACTACCCATCATCTACAATTGAAATTGTTGTTATTCAGTCGTGTCCCACTCTTTGTGACCCTGTTTTGGGTATTTTCTTGGAAAAGACTGCCGTTTCTTTCTCCAGCTCATTTTACAGATAAGGAAACCAAGGCAAACAAGGCTAAATGACTTGCCCAGGGTCACACAGCTAGTAAGTGTCTGAGGTCACATTTGAACGGAGGTCTTCCTTGCTCCAGGCCCAGTGCTCTATTCACTGCACCACCTAGCTTTGAATAATAGATCACCACAAAAGCTGACCAGAGAATTTACCAATTAGTGAAGACTTTCTGTGTTGTATTTTTAAACTCTCAGGTGCCAAACACACTATTGATAGAACATCCTTTTCTAGCCCACTGTCCTAAGAAACAGTCCTACCACATGTACTAGTCAGACTTCTTCCCTTGTGCGTTCTCACTTACAGTTGCCTATAGTCCAAAAATTTCAAGACTTAAAATGAATACAGAATGAATGTTATCTGGTCTCCCTCTCTAATCATTTAAATGGTCTGAGAGGGAATTTTGTGCATTTCATAAAATGTTATTTTAAGATAATTTCTGAGTCCTACATGGGGAAAAATGACAAATCTTCAAATATCTAAATGAAGGCATAATTAAGATTATATAAGTTTCTTCATATTCCTCTTTCATTGGGTTCTTTGTTTTAATATACTTCTGAGACTTCTCAGATCCTTCAGGTACCAGAAATCTCTTTATTATTACCTTCATCTTGTCCTAAGGCTGTGCTACAATGAGTCTCTTAATGTTTTCTAACATCAATATTGTAGAAAATATCCTAAGTATTCTACTGCTACTTTTGTCAGGTGGAAATGGGAAAATGGGGGACAGGGTGTTTTGTATTTTATCTTTTGTTTTAACCAATCTCTTGTTAAAATAATGGGGAAATGTATACATATGCCGGGGGTGGGGGAAGGTTCAACAGAACATAATTGTAATTAACTTTGTTTTTAAAACAGCTGAGCCCATTCAGTTCACAAGACGCATACAGAATATTGTGGTGAGCGAGCATCAGTCCGCAACCTTTGAATGTGAAGTGTCCTTTGACGACGCCATTGTTACCTGGTACAAAGGGCCCACAGAGCTCATCGAGAGTCAGAAATACAATTTTAGGAATGATGGCCGTTGCCATTATATGACCATCCACAATGTCACTCCGGATGATGAAGGTGATTTAACAGTTTCCCAGTGCAAATATTGATTGCAAATTGTCCCAACAGCAGAAAACAAGTAACAAGATGATTCTTTTCCTTAGGTGTCTATTCAGTAATTGCTCGCCTAGAGCCAAGAGGTGAAGCTAGAAGCACTGCAGAGCTTTACTTAACAACTAAAGGTCAGGAAATTGTCCAGACATCTAATCCAAATTGCAGCATTTGAAATAATATGTCCTATAGAACCATGCAATTCTAAACGTAATCTCTATCTTTCTTGTAGAAATTAAACTGGAATTGAAGCCACCTGGTAAGTTAAAAGAAAAAAATTGTCAAAACTTGAATGTTATATAGCTTTTTTTTTTAAATGATGTAATTCTGGGGCAGCTAGGTGGTGCAATGGATAGCTCACTGGCCCTGGAGTCAGGAGGATCTCAGTTCAAATCCAGTCTCAGACCAGACACTTGACACTTCCTAGCTGTGTGACTCTGGGCAAGTCACTTAACCCCAATTGCCTAAAAAAAAAAAAAGTTATGTAAATCCAACTGCAGTACCCAAGTATTTTTGCTTCCCAGTTCTGAAGTGTTGCAAAATACATTTTTACATCGCTTCTGAGTATGTTCATATTATAAAAATACAAACATATAAACTCTTGTGAGTTTGAAAACCAAAGTGCAATAGCCTTTTCCCATGTTATCTAAGATGATCCCAGATTCTATGTTTCATAATAACAAATTAGTATTTCAGCAGGAAATAAAATGGTGCATGTGTTTGCAGACCATAGTCATATCTTACAATCTTTGTTTCAAATTTTAGAGACTCCTATTTGAAAACCACTCAAGAACAGATAAATCTTGATTATATCATTGCAGTAACTGTTTTATAATGCTTCACAATTTCCTTTCTCAGATATCCCTGATTCTAGAGTTCCCATTCCAACTATGCCTATAAGAGCAGTCCCACCAGAAGGTAAGATGATTTATTCATCATCATATTTGTATGTTGCCTAGGCAGGCTTTGAAGGAAGTTAGAGATTCTAAGGGTGGGGGGGGGGAGAGAGGGAATGAGGTAGGAAACTAAAAGAATTTTATTGATAATGGCTTGTATTTTCTTCAGAAATTCCTCCAGTTGTAGGTCTTCCTCTTCCCATTTCTCTACCATCACCAGAAGAAAAGAAGCCACCAGGAAAACGTGTTGAAGGTATCAAAAGTTTTTAACCTAAAAGTCACAGATTATAATTGAACAGTAAGATGCTGTTTTGTTCAGTCATTTTTCTGCTCTAGTTGTCAAAGAGTTCATACGCCTTTACAAAATATATTTCTCAGCAATGAAATGCAAGAGTGTAGGTAAGATAAGACAGCTGAACATAAACCAGGCCCATTCACATCAATCCTTTCTCTCTAGAAGAGGAGGCAGGGACGCATTTAGAGAACCAATGTCCTGGTCTCCTGCCATCACTGCAGTCTCCTTAAAAAGATCCTGACAAATATTCACTTATAATGCATTTTGAGAGTTGTCTGGAAAAAGCGGGAAACCTAGTAACATGGTCCTAGGTGCCCCTGTCCATGTGTAGCAATAACACCTGATATAGCTCTCAAACCAATTAATCTGGAAATTAGGTTTTAATCAACACATGCTCATATGGTTTGCCATTTCCTTCTCCAGATCATTTTACAGATGAGGCAACTGAGGCAAACAGGGTTAAGTGAGTTGCCCAGGGTCACACAGCAAGTAAATGTCTGAGGCCAGATTTGAACTCAGGAAGATATCTTCCTGACTCTGGGCCCAGCACCTAGCTGCCCTAGATGTATGCAATTTGCGTGTAAATATGCATATATAATATGTGTATACATATATGTTTTTCTTATCTCTTTAAGTGTTAGGGTCGCTATCCTGTTATCTATTTCTTACACATGTGTGTATATGTATACACACATTACATACATCTGTGTGCATGTATGTATACACACATAAGAATTTCTGTTATATATATATGTGTGTCTATACAAAAATAAAACACATATATATGTATGTGCATAGGTATATGATCAGAAATGGGGATGGCTGGATCAAAGCATATGAGCATTAAGACTCTTCTTACTTAATTCCCAATTGGAAAAGGCAAATTATTGATGATAATTCATCCACTGTAATCTGCTGAAAAATTAAATGTAATAAAGTACACTTGACCTGAATAGGTATGCTATAGCATGGACTATCAGAAAGAATACTGGATTTGGAATCAGGAGACTGGGGTTGAGTCCTAGCTCTGCTGCTTCTGAGAAGTGTTACTTTAGGCAAATTACTTCACTTCTCTGTTTTCATTTGTAAAGTGGGAAAGTTCTGCCAGATGATCTCTAAATTCCCCTTTTGCTCTTGAGCCTATGAAAATTCAATGAGAATTGTCAAGCTACATAGGAACTCGCACCCTCTAGTGGCGAGTGACTCAACACATTTATTCTGCAACTACTATATGCAAGACCCTGGTAGTATTTATCACTTATTATCAATTTCCCAAGACCATACTTTTGATAAGTAATATACTGACTTGTTTTTTTCAGTGACCAAAAAGGCTGTGAAGAAAGATGCCAAAAAAGTTGTTCCAAAGCCTAAGGAAGAGGCACCACCACCACCTAAAGGTATGATGATGATCCAACATTCAACTTTCATGAATTGTTTTGTCTTATATGCTTAAAGTCTAAAATTGGGTGTGAGGAGGGAAGAAGTAATTACTAGTTGGGAATTATCACTTTTTATATTATGTGAATAGTGACTTTCCTACTCTTTTATTCTGCCTTCTTCCTTCCTCCAGCTCCCTTCCTTCCAACTCCCTTTAGTTTCCCTACCCCTTCTTTTCTCTGATTCTTTTCTCCTACCCTTCCTATAGTTAACATCTGTAAAAGCCATTCAGAGACAATCTAAAGCTTGCTTAGCCTCATTGACCTTGAGGGCAAAAGAAGTAATAACCAGGTTCTTATTATAGGATAATGAATTCTGTTGGGGGCATATTGAGTTTGAGATATCCTATTGAACATCCAGTTGGAGATGATAAATAGGCAATTGATAATTTCAGGACTGGAGCTCAGGAGAAATAGTAAGGTTCAATATAAAAATTTGGGAATAATCTGCATAGAGATAATAATTAAACCCATGGGAACTAATGAAATAACCAACAGGTATAGAAAAAAAAGGGGGGGGGGTTGTCCGAGACAAGAACATTCAAAGAAAACCATGGTTACAGGGTTGGACATGGATGTCAAGGGATCTCAGAAGGAACAGCAAGATAGGTAGGGGGAATAAAAAGAGAGAGAGAAAGCAGTGTCAAACGAGCCCATGGAGGAGAGAATATCCATTGGAAGTGGTAGAGGTCAAGAAGAAGGAGAACTGAGAAAAGGCCATAAAATTTGGAAATTTGAGAATCATTTATGAATTTGGAGAGAGCAATTTTGGTTGAGTGAAGGAACTGGAAACAGTATAAAGGATGTGAAATGAATGAGAGGAGACAAAGTGGAGGCAATTGATGCAGTCAGCTTTTTTAAGAGTTTAGAAGAGAAAAGGGGAGATATAGGACAGTAACTTGAGGAAATAGAGCCAAGTAAAGATTCTTTTAGGAATGAGAGAGTTCTAGACATGCTTGTTGTTTGTCCTTTGTTCTCGAAGAGGACCTCGACATCAGGAAGGTGATGCCATGACTTGCAAGTGAATTGGATTTAAGTGAGACAGGGCTGTGCAAAGTCACCGGCCTCACTTTCTCCTCCAGAGCCACTTGTGGCAAGATATAGCTTAGGAGAACTGGAGAAGGTCCCTACAGTTATGATTATAGGCAGGAAGGTTGAAGCCTTCAAAGTAGGAAGAGAATAAAGTTGAAAGACAGGACTATTTGCCTGAAGAAACTGGAGGGAATCTCATCAAAGGTCCAGATAGAGGGGCTAGCTGTGAAGAAAAGGGCCACCTCATCTTCTAAGACTGAAGCAAAGGAGAAGAGAATAGAGGATGATGTCAAGGGGTTTTGAGATATAGAGTGACAGAGAGGAGAGAATAACCTTTTTTCTTCAGCACTGTTTAAGGCAAAGCAAAATTGTCTGCAGAGATAAAGTGGAGAAGGGGTAGAGTAGATGGTCTGAGAAAAAAGAAGGTTTGAAAGTGAGAAGAGTTTATAGAGTCAATTAGGGAAGAGTAAAAGGATTGCCTTGAGGCAAAATGAACAATGAGAGTGTGTTGAAACCATTGGTGGGGACTTATTACTTTAGTGAAACAAGAAGAAAAACAATGTGAAGTAATCCCAAATCTTTCACTTTGAATTCACACCTAACTGGTTTCCAAAGGGAAAGAAAAACAGGAAGGCAAAGCACTATTCACTCAGACTTTCCTCTTAGTAGACTGGTCTTTTATAAAATTCTGGACAGCTTGGAGAGAAGAAGAAGAAGAAGAAGAAGAAGAAGAAGAAGAAGAAGAAGAAGAAGAAGAAGAAGAAGAAGAAGAAGAAGAAGAAGATCAAATAATATGAAAAATACACAAAAAGAGGCAAATCTCCATGTAATTTTGAACTGATTATACTGCCATTCTTGGAATTTGGATTTTTTTCAGTAATTTTTAAAAAATGGATTTTTTTCAGTAATGTAAAAAAAACCCAATGCCATCATTTTATTTATTTTAAATTTGAGTTATTCGGGCTTTTACTAGAGACAAATTTCACTGAATCTCTTTACTACCCTTCTTCTATGATTTAGATCTTCTAAGAGCTATGGTATAGTTCTTGGTTATGACAGGATTCTCACAAATCCCTAAATAATGAAAATGAAATACTGGAATTTGTGTGTGTGTGTGTGTGTGTGTGTGTGTGTGTGTGTGTGTGTGTGTAAATTGAATTTAAGGTGCATATATAATTAGTGGAAATTTTACTTGTATAGTGAAAGAAGACACTAATACTGAACATGGATTTTTTTTTAAGTTCCAGAGGCAGTTAAGAAGCCCTCACCCCCAACTATACTAATCCCAGCAGAAGGTAAATAAAAATGTATATATGTTAAACCATGCATTTCTATTAGATTTACTGTTTGCTTTTTGCATAGTCAAAATGTTTCCTTATCTGTTTTTAAATGTTGAGGTAGCTATTATGCTATCAGTTTCTTATTAAATAGGTACATAAAAGTATATGGAAATGAGCATTTGGTAACATTCAACAGGTCATTCACTGCCATTCACTGTGCTATGTGTTGGGGACACAAACACAGAAAAGTTGACTCATTTGGTTCAGAATCCAAAAGTAATTACAGAAGGCCAAGTGAAAGGAAGATAGCAAGCCCAACAAGTACTAGTCAGTGGGCCCCATGATACAATTAATATGTTTTGCTCATTTTATTCTAGAAAATGGCAGAGGTGGTGGGGTGTAGTAGAATATGTCATTGTTCAGTTGTTTTTTAGTCACATCCAACTCTCCATGACCCTATTTGAGGTTTTCTTGGCAAAGATACTGGAGTGGTTTGCCATTTCCTTCACCAGCTTATTTTACAGATGAAGAAACTGAGGCAAACAGGGTTAAGTGACCTGCCCAGGGTCACATAGCTAGTAAATGTCTGAGACCTGATTTGAACTCAGAAAAATTAGTCCAGACCAGGCACTCCATCCACTGAGCCTCCTGTCTGCTATTTGCTAGCTATAGTATCTGATAGTTCCACACTAAGGCTATTTCCTTATCAGTAAAAATAGATGATTAAAATAGACTCAGGCTCCTTACAATTTTGAATCTAAGCTCTTATATAAGGATATTTTTGATGGCCCATATGAATTTTCTGACTCACATCTATATTCTGGAGGCTTAAAGATTTAGGAGAAAATATTCTAATTTCTCTGGCTACATCATTAAGAAATGAGAACATTATGGTACAGTGGAAATAGCACTCACTAACTCTTGAGTCAGGGAACCAAGGTACAAAACCCTCCTCTGATGCTTACTCCCTGTGTGACTAAATTGCCTTAAGGAATATTTTACATTTGGTCTAAAACAGGTTATTTCTTCCAAATTTATCGTGGAATGTAAACAAGCAAAATTGCTGGGATTTTGAGTTGAAATAGAAGCCTCACTTAGTTCAGTAAAAAAAAGCAATATAAAAATGAAATTGAATTTTAATCTGCAAAATGTCTAGTGGACTATGAACTTGGCTGTTATTGAGTGATAGGTCTCTGTGGATATATGAGTAATACCTATACCAACACCAGCAATCTTCTGTTTAAGTTCCAGAAATGATCGATGTCACCTCAAAGGCTGAAGAAGTGAAAATATCCACCATCAGCAGAAAGAAAGAGGTTCATAAAGAAAAAGAGGTTGTGCACGAGAGAAAGCAAGCAATCTATGAGGAAAAGAAAGTTTACATTGAATCTTTTGAAGAACATTTTGACGATTTAGATGTGGAACCTTATGAAGAGCCTTCTGAGGGACCTTATGTAGAACTTTATGAAGAACCAGAAGACTGGTATGAAGAGACCAAGGAAGTTCATAAAGTTAAAAAGGAACAATTTGAAGAATGGGAAGAAGATTTGGAAGAAGAGCAGGAATACTATGAAAGGGAAGAGGGTTATGATGAAGGGGAAGAAGAATGGGAAGAAAGAAAACAAATTTATGAACAAAAAGAAGTTTATGAAGGTATATAAGCTTCCCTCCCCTATTTTCTTCATATTTGTTTTAGTTCACTATCAATAATATTGATGTGGATTAAATAGGTATACATTTAATTAGTTCTTTTTTGACATAAAGTGGATTTTTTTTAAACAATCAGAAAGCACTGTTAAAATCAATTAGGCAAGCATTTGTGGAATGCCTACAATTGGTAAAACTCTTGCTAAATAGTGTAGGAGACACTATGGTAAATAAGACAGTGCCCTTGCCCTCAATCAGCTTATAGTAAAGAAGGGAGGTAAGACAGACACAAAGAAACATAATACATAATAGATTTAGGAGTATAATAAAAGATGCGTATAAAGTGCTACAGGAGCTCAGAAAAAGGATAATGACAATAATAATAATAAGATTTACAAAATTCTTTACAAGCTTACAAAGTACTTTACAAATATTATTTCATTTTATCCTCACAGCAATCCTGGAAGATAAGTCCTTTATTATTCCTATGTACAGATGAGGAAACTGAGGCACAGAGTGATTTGCCCAGGGACACACAGCTAGTAAAGGTCTGAGGCAAGATTTAAACTCAAGTCTTCTCACTAGCTGTGTGACCCTGGGCAAGTCATTTAACCCCGATTGCCTAAAAAAATAAGATAAAATAAAAATAAACTCAAGTCTTTCTGAGTCCAAGTACAGTACAGTAGCTACCACTTAGCTGCTGCCTAGCACATTGGAAGAATGTTAATACAACCTATTCAAAATGACATATTTAAGCATTATCATTCTTCTTGATTCTTATTTTTCAATCAAGAATCACTAGAAAAGAAAATTCCAGCAAAAGTACCAGAAAAGAAAGAAGTGGCACTTCCTAAAGGTATGGAATTTAATTATTTTTTAAAAAGCTCCATCCGTTCAGTCTTTATCATAGCTTGTTTGTCTCTTCATTAGAAAGGCACATGTCATCACTGGCGTGATCAAATAGACGCAACTTCTTCACTAAAATTTAATATTTGGGCAAATGCATTCTTATTGTTCAATCTTACTCACTGAAAAACAAGATGTTAAAAAATTGTCCTAAATATGGACATTTAGAATAAAACAAAATTAATTTTTTAAAATACCTAACATTGGCATTTACTATTGAAATACCAAATTGCTCAATATGCTTAATATGTGGGTAATATTTTAAGAGAATCTAAAAGTTCTGCAATTTAAAACAAAATTTAAATTTTTTTAAAATACCTTCAGTTGTTAAGAAGCCCGTAGTTGAAAAAATTGAAAAGACTTCTCGGAGAATGGAAGAGGAGAAAGTCAAAGTTACCAAAGGTATCATCATTTACAAATATTTTTTATTATCAAAAATACACAGAATATATTTTGTTTCTATTGATATTTAGATATTCTTTAAATATTAATCAAAGTTAAGGTGTTTTTAAATGTAAAAGACATACTCATCTTCATACAAATATAACCAAACATATTTTTAAAGTGCCAGAAGTTTCAAAGAAGATTGTTCCACAAAAACCTTCCCGGGTGCCAGTACAAGAAGAAGTTATTGAAGTAAAAGGTACAAATCTTTTTCTTTCAGCTGCAAGCTTCAAACATTACATATCTAATGCTATATAATGCATAATAGGATTGGACTCTATTGTCTATAGAAATGTACATATATTATCATATATGTACATTTTAAAATGCATGTACCCATAATGTAAATAATGTCAACATTTTCTCTTTTGTTTAGTCTTCTAACTTTAATATGTAACATATTCCAAGGCAAATCATTTTCCCTTGTATCCTGGTTCATTTACACAAAGATAACTTAATCAAATTGGAATAGCCTCATATTTTGTGTGAAGAAGTTGTATCTATATGGTCCCCATTTAATTAACATTTGCTAAAAACTGCATGGTCATTCATTTGATTGTTTAAGTTGCTTACTTCTCTGTACCTCATAGCTCAAAAAGATGATTTGAATATTTGTCCATATTATCATGAAGTGATATGTCCATGTTGTTTCTTAAGGATATCAAGACTAACTCATTTAATTCCATGTTAAAATACTTAGAACTAATGTACAGTCTATATGTTTAGTATGATGTCATGTCATGGACAAAATAATTCTGATGTGATATGTACTCTCTTTAAAGTACCAGCAGTGCACACAAAGAAGGTTATTTCAGAAGAAAAGATGTTCTTTGCTTCTCATACAGAGGAAGAGGTTTCAGTTACAGGTATAAGTCACATTTGAAATTTGGGATAAAAAAGAAAACCATCTAAATGGTCTTTCTTCTCTTTTCTTCTTAACATGTATTCTATTAATTTATATGTATATATTTTGTGTACATTTCTGTCCTGTTTTTATCTCAAATTTGTCTTTGACCTGATTTCAATATACTTGAAAATTTCAATCTTAATATCCAAAAGATGCTTCAGAATTAAAAATTATATCTTTTTAAAGTCCCTGAGGTACACAAGAAAACTGTCATAGAAGAGAAAGTTCATGTTGCTGTTTCGAAAAAAGCTGAACCCCCACCTAAAGGTATCATTGATTTGGTGAAGATTCATATCTTTCTAAAATGTCTGAATGTGTTAATGTTATGTTTAAGTTAGCTAGTTAAAATGTACTGAGCATCTACTTTGGGTAAAAAAAAATGTTGCTAAGGGATAGGAGGGAAAAAGAATAAAACATATAGTTCCTGACTTAAATACTTTTCAATCTGGTCAATATTACTAAAATACAAATGTTTTTAATTGTCTTATATAGTTTAATCATTGACTAAATAATAAAGGCTATAAAAATAAAATGACTAAAAATTATCTTTCAAGTGACTGAAGTTTACAAGAAACCTCCTCCTGAGGAAGAGGTTCCTGTACCTGTTCCCAAGAAAGTGGAAGCTCCTCCAGCTAAAGGTGAATCCCAGCAATCAAATGATTGAACAATAATTCTTCTGTCCACTACTCCTATCCTTGTAGACATATATACTTCCCATTGACCTTATCTAGCCATTAAAGCTAGTGTTTAGCATCTATTTTAATCATAGTTATCAAAAGTTCAGCAATATGCATTAAATTCACTAATTTCCCCAATGCCTTGCTGTCTATGGACAATTCTCTCAAATTACACTATTTCTTTAAAGTCCCCGAGGCACGTAAGAAACCTGTTCCAGAAGAAAAAGTTCCAGTTCCTGTTCCCAAAAAAGTGGAGCCCCCACCAGCCAAAGGTAGCCTTCTAGTTATGGAGAAAGACAAAACTAGATAATTGGTTTCGTCTTTTATCTCCACTTGTGTTTGTCTATGTGAGTGTGACAACCAAATTATTTTTTGCCACCCATCTGTGATTTGTGTAACACTGTAAGTCCTGATTTAAGTACACCATTATTGCTACAAAGAACTTCTTCATGCATGACTGTAATGTATGACACTTCTCAGTAATACTTTAGATGTCTATATCTATTCTGGTTACATCTTTGTCTGTTTAATGTAATTAACAGAATACCTATATGGAATAATCCACGTACATTGTTATAGAAATCCATAGTTCTTTGTCATGAGTGGAGCATATTAAATAACCAAATGTCTGCTCCTCCCAAATCTTAAAAACTTATTTAAAAGCTTGTGCATTAAAGTACTCTTAGACTGCCCAGAATAACAATTCTCACCATTTTCACAACGGTATCTTTAAAGTGCCTGAGGTTCCCAAGAAACCTGTCCCAGAAGAGAAAAAGCCCACTCCTATACCCAAGGAAGAAGTGGCCCCTCCACCTAAAGGTATAGCAGAGCTTAAGTTGGAGTGACTAAAACATACTCTTCCTTCTATTTGGTCTTCTTAAGTCTTGTGTGGTGTCTCTGGTTTTTTTCTTCTTCATTTCATATCCCTTCTGTTCAGTTTATTGTTAGCTTTTTTTTCCCTGTTGTCCATACATCTCCCTGAAAAAGTCTTAGATCTTATTAACATATGTTGTTTATCATTCTTAAAACTCCTGAAGTACATCTCAAATTTCTTATTAAAAGGGGAAACACAAAACAGTTTCCGTTATGTGTAACATAATCTCTTGCTCATACAAGAAACATTTTGAGAAAGATACCATATGATTGGAAATGCTGGCTGCTACACAGAATATACTTCTGGGGAAATGTCTACTAAAGTTCACACACACTGGTGCTCAAGTTTATTAAGTATTACATATTACATATATATGTGGAATATAAACTTAGAACTGAAGGGGGTCTTAGAGGTCACTAAGTCCAACTGTGTCATTTTATAGATGGAAACTCAGGCATAAAGACATTCAGGGTCACACAGCTAATAAATATCTCAAACAAGATGCAAACTCATGTCTTCCTGACTCCAAGTTCATCACTATCCATTAGACCACGCTGCCTCTGATTAATTACTAACATCTGATTACTTCCATTTTTAATTAACACTTTAAAATTCTGTATATGAAATAATTATTCATCCTTTGGCTTTCCTCATTGTTTCTGTCACAGCATGGAAAATAGAATCTGGCATTAACGAACTCCATTAAGATTATGTTCGTTCCCACATCAGTCAATCAAATCAACAACCATTTATAAAATTCCTACTGTGTGCCAGGCACTGGGAATACAAATGCAAAGTTGACAGTTTCTATGCTTAAAGAGCCTGTGTTACATTTGTTATTTGTGAAAACTGGGTCTTAGCTTAACTAAGTAGTATTTTTGTCAAATCCTTTTGCAGCACCAGAGCCACCTAAAAGACATATCCCTGAAGAAGAAATCCCTGCTCCTGTTGTTAGAAGAGAGGAAGTCCCTCCAGCTAAAGGTACATTGACCCATTTTGTGGAGTCATTTCTTTCACATTTCTTGGTTTTTTTCTGTAACAAATGAGTTATGCTCCTCTATCTTTCTCCCTACTTTTGTTACAAAATGAATGCGTATTTGATATGTTGCAAAATGCCATATATGCAAAAATTCTGAAAAACAAATATCCTCTTAAGTTCCTGAGGTGCATAAGAGAGTGGTCACAGAGGAAAAAATAACCATCATTACTCAAAGAGAAGAGTCTCCACCCACACCAGGTACTCTTTTTAAAAAGGTTTCCTTTGTTATATTCACCTAAAAATCTTCATCACTGTCAGTGAATTCATCAATTTGTGTCATCCTGAGAATTTTTAAATTGAATACTATCTTTTAAGAACCCGAAGTACCAAGGAAAAAGAAAGTTCCTGAAGAAAGGAGACCCGTTCCTCCAAAGAGAGAGGAGGCACCACCAGCCAAAGGTACATGATCTTTTTCTTCAACTTTTCAGAAAACCTGCTCCCCTGCTACGTAGGGCGTGGTTGGTTGGATGTAGCATAAATACACATCAGTTGTTGATTCTGTTGTGAATTGATCTGTGTTTTTTGTTGTCCATCGTTGATATGAGCTTTAAATCCTAAAGCTTGTGTAATATCTTTAAAGTACCCCCAGTCCATAAGAAGGTGGTAACTGAAGAGAAGGTTCAAGTGATTGTCCCTGTTCCTAAGAAAGAAAAGGCAGTTCCCCCACCCAAAGGTATGTTTGATGCTTAGGATTTGGACAAAATCTTTCAGAGTCTAAGTCCTCAAACTTTTTCTTTTCTGACATTGATCTTTTACTGTGGATATGTCTCTTATGAGTGTGGAACATCCAGATATGTGTATATATATCTATCTATGTGGTATGCTATGTAATTTATTTGTTTTCAGATTTTGTGAAATTATTGTCCATGAACAAATCTTACACAAATATTAGAAACACTTTAAACTGTAAAGTTCTAAGTTCTTAAACTTCAAGTTTAATGTGTGTGTGTGTGTGTGTTTTTAAGTAGCTGAGGTCTCTAAGAAAACTGTTACAGAAGAGAAAAGATTTTTTGCAGAAGAAAAAGTATCAATGGCAGTTCCCCACAGAGTGGAAGTCACCCACCATGAAGGTATATAGATAGCCATGTTAATGGGGGGGGGATGGGAAGAGGGAAAATTTTGTGTTTGTGTTGTCCAAAATTTTCTTCTTTCATGTTTTTTTTTACATTTGAGGTTTATAGTCTGATTTTTGTTGATGTGTTATGGTTTTTACACCAAAATGATTTTCCACTAAGGGTGTCCCCACAATGACACCTACTCCATAACAAAGAAAAAAATTAGCAAAACCATTGGTGTGTCTGTAAATGTTTAACTGGCTCTCTGAAAAAAAAAATAGTATCCTCAACACACTTTTTGGTTTAATCTGCATCAGTAATATTTTTTCATGCTTTCTTAATTCTAGACAATCAATAAGTCAAGCCCTGATTTGCATTGTTTGCCAATTCCAAAGGTGTATATAGTCACACTGAAAAATTTTAATAATGGGCTCTCTGAGCTCGTAAGAGCTGACTCCAGCACGTCCCTAAAAAACCGAACTGACAAAAATGTCATATCTGACTACATAGGAAACATTCCACACCCATAAGTCTCCACCTCTCTACTGAGAGGAGGGAAATGTGTCTTTTCTCTGAGACAATAATGGTCATTTCAATTCATGTTAATGTTTCTGTTTATGTCATTATAATTGTGCGTGTTCTATTTGTCCTACTTGGTTCATCTTTCATCACTTCATACAAGTCTTTTTATGTTTCTCTGAATTTTTTATATTCACCATTTCCTATGGCACAATAATTATTCAATTATATTCCTGTACCACAATTTATTCATCTTTTCCTCAATTGATGGGCCTCTGCTTTATCGCTATTTTTTTCTACAACAAAGAGTACTCCTATGGCTATTTTATTATCTACAAGACCTTTCCACCATCGATCTCCATGGGGTATCTTCGTGTTATTATACCATGGGGAATAATCAGAAATGACATTACTGGATCAAAGGGTTTTAAATTTTTAATGAACTTTCTCAGATAATTCCAAATTGTTTTCTAGAATGGTCTAAATAATTGATAGCTCTTCCAATAGTCTATTTGTGTATTTATCTTCTGACAGCTCCCTTCAACATTACTCATTTTCATCTTTTATCATATTTTCCAATTTGATGTATGTAATGTGAAATCTAATTGTTTAGTGTTTCATTATTTATGATTTAGGGAATTCTTTCACATGGCTGTTAACAACTTGCCATTGTTCTTTTCTTTGTTCATTTCCTTTGACCACATATATTGGGGAATGACTCCTTATGTTTCTTGTATATCAGACTTTGCTGGAGATATTTATTTCACCATTCTATAGTCACTCTTCTTATTCTAGTTGCATAGACTTCCTTCTTGCAAAAACTTTTCACTTGTATTAAATGAGCATGTTTCATCAGATCTTCCATTTAATCTTTGTATTGAAATATATCCATATGTTGCAGAGCTTTTGCAACAAGTCTTATGTGTCTCCATTAATCCTCTATCTTTCCAAGAGCAAAAATATGGACAGGGGTCAGAGTAGACATGGGAAACAAATATTTTGTCTAGTGACCAATAAGAGCATATTTTATATTCTCAACTCATTCTTCCATCCTACTAGGGTGGCATCTATATTAAGTCATTCCCTTCTACATAGCAGGTAAATGGGTATCACCTTCAAAGATATGTACACTGCACTTAGATCAGCTGCACCTATGTAAAATAGGACACACAACCTCTTTAGTACACATTACTGCTTGTCTGTGGCAAACATGCATTTGATGCAGACATACATATGTTTGCCACAACAGAAATACCTAAACAGATGAATCTTCTGCATAAAAAGCTATCCCAAAGTACTGATTGGGACAGCAGGGGGTTTTTTTGCTTCTCCCTTTTTAAAAAATTGGGACCCTGAACAGGAAATTTAATTCTTTCTGAAAGTAAATTAACTTCCAATTTTCCATGTTAAATAAAAATAATTATTTTAATAATGGGAAAATATTTTCACAGAAGTCATGCATTAGTTCTACATATGTTGATTTATACAAACTGTTGAATTTCTTTGCTGCTGATTTCTCTATCCATCTACTCTACAGAAAGGATTTAGAAAACAGGAGCATTACTCTAAAGTGATGCTAGATCCTAATTCACAGGACAGTTCTTTTTAAAAAAAAAAAAAAAGAAAATGATGACTTTTAGAATTCAAAACCCATGAATTAGACTCTTTCAAAAAAGGTGCCTTGATCTCTTTGCTAAAAATTGAGCAGACATCAGTCATGGTTCTGTAGTACATACATTTATAGAGATAACATTAATATTGTTGGGGAAAGTTACATTGCAGTTCAATCTTGTCTTTAAAGTATCAGCAGAGGAAGAATGGGGTTATGAAGAAGAAGAAGAAGAAGAAGTATCCGTTTCAGTTTATAGAGAAGAGGAAAGAGAAGAGGAGGAGGAGGAACGAGTGGAGGTTACAGCATATGAAGGTATGAATGCTATGTCCAGACTACAGGGTGTCTGGACTCTTAAAAAAACTATAGTTTGGATATCAGATTTTAAAAAAACGACAACCTTCAATCAACAGGTAGTTTGAGGACAGCGCTTGTGCGTAGTAGATGTCTTTTGTCAAACCAAATTACCGTGATTTTTATGTGTCAAATTTCATGTCATGTGTCATATGTCATGACCCTAGCATGATAGACCAAATCCTTGCTTTTTTTGCACTCTTTTACTAAACTTCTGTGAAATAAGATGGAAGTGGTGATTGTTTATAGAAGATACTAACCATATCTTCCAGCATGATCAAATTTACTCTGTCCTTTTTCTGGCAAGCACTGAATCTCTTTCCTTTGACTTTCAGGATAGGTCAAAATTATCTGACAGTTAATGCCTAAAACTTGAGCATCCTCAGCTCTCTGTCTGAAATATTCATAGTTAACTATAGACGCTAAAGCAAGAGATTATATAACCTTAATCTTACAGCATCAAGGCCAGATTTATTTTCTTATAAATATGAAGCATTTAGATTATTCAATCAAAAATATTTTGGAGGGAAAAGTTGACACTGTATGAATGAATAAATGGCCAAGTTTTCACTAATCCACATCTCCTTAAATCAATTCAGTTGCATCTAAATAAGTCAATAACAGTTTTGTAATCTTTTAAGAAAAAAACTCAGTGTTGTGTTTGTAATGCTTGTTATTGTATTAAGTTATTTTCAGCACATCTGCCTAAACACAGCATGCTAATTAATATTATGTACAACAAAATGATTTTCCAGAAAAAAAAAAACCCTAATTAAATTCTGTATGGGAGGAAACGGTAGATCGGTTGCATAATGAAATAACCCAATAATACAAATGTCTCCACTGTATAAAGATGAGGAAACTATAGTGTCTTCATGTTAAAAAGCCCTTGAGGAGCCAATCCATTGTGTTTGTGTGTGAGGAGATGATTTTTTTTTAATACAAAGGTACCATTCCTTACATTTTCTACTAAGAAGAAATGGTCCTACATAAGGAGTTTCTGCCCCTATCCTGGTTGTACAATACCAACATGTGTAGACTGGTGAGAGTATCTCTTAACTCTCTAGAGCAAACCCACCAGCTGTTTTGTTTTCTATGAAGGAATGTTTTGTTTGATGTTGATAACAATCAATACTTAACTAGAGGGAATATGGAAAAGAGACAGAAAGGGCCCTCTTTCCCTTAAGGTTAGAAGGATTCATAATTATCCAAATACAAAATGTAAAATTAACAAGGGTTCCATAAGTATTTTGCAAACTTTAAAGAGCTACATAAATGCTAGCTATTTTTTTCATGATGCCAAAATATTTTTAGTGAACCCAAAAGGACATTATTGTATAGCTAAAGTTTTTCACTTCCACCAGTACAAAGAAGAGAGGGCTTTTAAATTTGCTTTTAGTACAAAGAGCAAAATCTTTTAGAAAATGAGCATTAATATTTTGATACTTTGCAAATGGAATCAGAATTTCTCATTTCCATCATATCTGTCCCTACAGAACAAAAAAATCCATTACTTCCTCCCAGGAGCCATGGATTAGACCTTTATATATACAAATAGAGGCAGGCTGGTATAATAAAAGTAGTCCTAGACTTTGAATCAGAAAAATTTAAGCCCTGTATTACAGTGTGCAAATCACTTAACCATCACTTACCCTTAACCTTCCTTACTTAAGGAAAACAGTTTCCTTACTTGTGAAATGGGGACAATAATACCATCCTAATCTTACACAGCAGTTGGGAGGAAAGCTCTTTGGGAGCCATAGAGTCAGGAGGGCTTTGAGTGTCCAATGTGATAGACCATGGTGATAACGAATGTTGCAGACCTTAAATGCCTATTATTATCATTAGTCTACAGTCACCAGACTTCCATCTTTCAGCAAAATGAGTGGCGTGCTGGTGAATGTTTAATAATTGGCTTTCTGGGAAAAAATATTAATATGTGTATGTATGTGTATATATTTTCTTGTGTGTGCATATAGATATATGCGTATGTGTATATGTGCACAAAACAGTTTTTAAGTTTAATCTGAATTATTAACATTTTCTCCATCACTTTCTTAAGTTTAGACAATCAACAAAACAAATCAAGCCCTGATTTGTAGCATTTGGCAATTTCTGAGGTGTAAATGTTCACACTGAAAATTTAATGCTCATATAAGCCATTCAAGTTGTTTCTAACACATCTGTCCTACAGCATTTGTAAATGGTTGTTATGATATTAGACTTACTCTTTCCCATAAGCATGTTTAGGGGTTTTGTTACCCTTGAGATTTTTTTCTAAGTTGACAATAATGTATTCTTTTTTTTTCCCAAAAAACTACTTTTCAAGCATCCCAGATTCATACTTTGCCAGTACTAAATTATTCTTCACCCTTCCCTACTTTTCGTTTGTTTGCTTGTCCTGTTCACCTTCCAGTACACTCTAAATGTTATTATCTCTGTGGTTTATATGTAAATTAAGTTTATGAAAAAGACTTTGCTTTTAAGCTTATGTGTGAATTGATTTTAGGGAAAAGACCCTACTACCTTATCAAACCACATTTCCCCATTAAATCATTTTTCTATGAACATTTTTTGGCATAAGCAATCGGAGACTTGGCTTGTGTTAATAGACTTCAATACCAGTCCTCTGATCCTTTGCTATTTCTATTATATGATGAAAGTAATACATATTGACAACTAAGATTAAACATATGGAGTGCTGTAATTTATTCTTCTTCAAATCCTTATCTTTAAAGTGATGGAAGAGCCAGAAGAATATGTCATGGAAGAAAAGCTACATGTTATTTCTAAAAGGGTCGAAATGGAACCTGCTGAAGGTACATCCCCTCTTAAGTTACTTCTGTCTTTCATTGTATTACCTATCTTGGATCTCCATGGTGCCAGTGTTTTCTGTATCGTACATGTGCTGTAAATTTTAATTCTTTACTAAGATAACTAGGTTTTCGTTTGGTTTTGTTTTGTAAACAAAACACAGAAATTTTCACAAATACATATTATAATGTTTTTAAGTGCCCGAGATGCCTCGGAGAGTGGTCCAGAAACAAAAAGTACCTGCTGCTGTTCCTCCAAAAGAGGAGGCTCCTCCTGTAAAAGGTATAATCTCCTATGAAAAATGCAGACTCATCCTTGTCTTTTAACTCTTCTTTGGACAATGTTTAATTAAAATTATGTCAATACATAGATGTCTATTTGTTCCCCTAAGTGTCATATAATGTTTGCCTGTGTAATATTTGTAGCAAGTTGGTCCTATTTTTTTAAATGAAAGAAAACCCTTCCTTTTTGATTTCATGTAAATCAGTGTTCTTAAAACTAATCTTTCCAAAGTTCCTGAAGCACCAAAGAAAACTGTCCCTGAGAAGAAAGTTCCTGTACCTGTTCCTAAAAAAGAAAAACCGCCACCTGCTAAAGGTATTGTGGCCTAATCTTGAAAAATGCCTGTAATTTTTGGTCTATAATAAGATATGTCTTTCTAATTTCCTTGAAATTAAGAAGAAAAATGATGTGTCTGCTTAACGTGCTTTCAATTTAACCCAATTACCTAATATCTTTAAAGTGCCTGAAGTGCCAAAGAAACCAGTACCAGAAAAACGTGCCCCTCCAGCTCCTAAGATAGAAGAGCCTCCTCCCACTAAAGGTAAATGAAGTCAGATTGTCCTCCTAAATCTGCACATTGGGTCTTGTCCTTTATCTCTAATGTTTCTGTCATTTGGGTCAAATCTCTTAAGTATGTGTGTGTATATGTATGTTTTTCGTGTGTGTATACATGTATTAATGGCAGTGATGTACAATTGTCTTGTCTTTGAATGGACCATTAGCAATTTGTTGAATCATTATAGTATATGCATTATAAATCAGCATAATTTCTGGCTAATTGATACAAAATTCCACTCCAAGTTATCTAGTTCCCTAATCTAAAAATTATCTTTTAAGTGACTGAGACGCGTATGCAAATTACCCAAGAAGAAAAAATTCAAGTTGCTGTAACTAAAAAAGAGGAGCCTCCAAGAGCCAGAGGTACATCACTCATACCTAGATTGCACCAAAAACTTTGTCTTTCATTATCTTTTTACCAAAAGTCACTAATGACCCTTGCAATGCTAGTACTTATCAGTTTCCATGTTGAAGCAATGAAAATACCAAGTCTTTTATACTTCCGTATTCTATTGTGTGAATGCTTTTATTTTTTGTTGTGGATTGAATGGAAAGCAACTCTTAAAAAGTGACTATTATCTTTAAAGTGCCGAAAGAGCCCCAGAGAGCTGAGCCTGAAGAAAAAGTACCCAAACTCAAACCTAAAAAAGTGGAGGCCCCACCAATCAAAGGTACATTTGCTCCTTTAGAAATCAAAATAAGCTTCTATATATCAAAAATCAAAGCAAATTCAGATAATTCCATCCTATTCAAGGAAAGATTATGCAATCATTCATGCACATATGTGAATCTATGAGTACACGTGGGTCATATTATGTATATTTAAAAGCATGTGTTGTTAGTACACCCACATAAATTGCACGTATTTTGTTTCAGAAGTACATAGCACATTGCATTATATGCTAGTAACTTTCAAATTGAGACTATTCCTTTGGAAAAACAAAGACATGCAAATCTAGATACAAATTCTTAATTATGAGTTCCCAAAGATTTCTGATGTGTAGAAGTTCATGCCAGCAATTTCTTAAAAATGCAACTCCCTTAAAATAGATGAAAACTTTTTTTGCCTTGAAATTATTTTTGTCTAAAGTGTTTTATGTCATGTGTCTGTATAATTTACCTATTGGTTTAAATGCTTGTTTTTCATGGTGCATTTTTATGTGACATTTAATTCCTAAAATATTTTAATAACTCAGATTTTAACACAAAATGTAGTTAAACAAAAGGAACTCTTTCTTGTTTGATGGGGAACAAATCTTTCATCTGAGTTAGACAAATCTGTTTCTAATGCTTTACTTCAATTTTTCTGTGCTGTTTAGATTCCTTTTAACACCCTTTTATAAATGCTACTTATTGTATACAGAATTATGTCTCTTGTCCTTAAGGTGTCTGAAGAAGATAGAAAATGTGTTCGTTTGCAGTTGTAAAGATTGTAACTCTCTGGATTTACTAGCTTACTTCCTCTCTGTTAACTTGAATGTCTGTCTCTTGTGAGTAAGGCATGAAATTAGTACATGCCTACTTGCCATTCTTGATTTTTCCTAACACTTATATGAAAATTCTAAATAGGGTCATTCTGTGATTCTTCTTGACTTTTTGCATACAACACGCCTCCATATATACTTGCTCTTAATCATACAACTGAATGTTCATTATTACTCTTTTTAAAGTGGCAGAAGCCCAAAAGAAGATCATCCATGAGGAAAAAGTCACTGTCGCTGTTCCAAAACGAGTGGTACCTCCTCCCACTAAAGGTACATTTGCCCCTAGATTAAATATTGAAATGAAATATGAAACCAACTTCTTTGGACTGCTAGTCACCCAGTTTAACTGTTCTACTGCATCAGCAACTCATTGACTTAAGTTGAGTGGGTAGTAGGAAGTATTGTTCATGTCTTGAATTCCATCTTAATCACAGTTGGAAGGAGGGAGCTATGTTGTTAAACATCAAAGAGCGATGAGGTCTGCAATACCAACATAACGAGACAATGAATGGTGTCAGAAACTCTGTGGAATGACTAGAATTTTTAAATCGAGTGTATGCAAGTATGTATCAATATAATTATATAGCTAAGAGGCATCATGGTATAGGCAGTGGTGTCAAACTCAAACAATTGCATATTGACTTAAAAAACACAAATTAGCATTATCTATGTCACATTATATTTTTTATTTCTTTTGTTAAACCTTTTCCAATCACATTTTAATCCAGTTCCACCACACTCTGGAGATTTAGGGCTTGTTTGCTGGCCTTGACTTTGACAACTCTTGACTGTAGTGGACAGAGATCTGATTCTAAGCCACGAAGACCTGGGTTCAAGTCCCATTTCTGACATATAGTGACTATGTAACCCTGGGAAAATCAGTTAAACTCTCATTGCTTTGGTCAACTAAGACTGTCAGGTTACAGAGAAGATACTGACCAGCTTGGTACAGAGAGAGTTTCCTCAATCCAGGATTTCTCTACATTAATAAGATCAAAAACCTAGTCCCTATCCCTATCTTTTCTCTCTCTGTATGACATTTTATAAAATGTTCATTGAGTAAAATGCCTATTGTTGTCGATCTTATTCCAGAAGTGACAATCTCAGCTGAAGAAGAATGGACTTACACTCAAGAAGAAGAAAGAGTGTCTGAAGCAGTGCAAGAGGAGGAGGAGTATGAGGAGTATGAGAAATATGAATATGGAGAATATGAAGCATATGAGCCAACAAAAGAATATGATGAATATGATGAATATGAGTATGAACGCCGTGAGGCTGTCCATGAAGAATACATTTCAGTCACAGGTACGACTGAAACAATCAGGCGATCTTGATCCACTGTCAGATTGCCCCCTGAAGTCATAAGCTAGAAATGTTCAAGAAGGCAATGGATAACCAGTTCTTGGGGATATTACAGAAAAAAATTTCTTTCAGTGGGCAAGAGGTTGAACTAAGGGTACACTCAGGTGCCTTCCAACTCAACTCTGACTTCATTCTTGACGTTATACTTGTTTCAACTGAATTCTGAATTTAGGGTGCTGTAAGGACAGGGTGGGACCACTAAGTACTACAGATATAAAGCAAAATTAATAAATATTTGTTCAGTGGGGGAAAAAAGAAACAGTCAGTCAACAAGCATTGATTAAGCACCTACTATCAAAATGAGAATGATCTATGTAACTCTCAGAGAATTTCAGGTTCCATTATTCCTGAGTGAAATTTCAGCTTCCATTTTTTTGGCCTTAACAGGCCAAATAAGGTCTTATAGAAGACCTTGTATCTTCATCATCTCTCAAGTTTAAATCCTTCCTTTTGCACATATTTCTGTTCCAGCTTTTGACCTTCATTCTATCAATATCTTAAGTGACAGACAGGCCTTGGGCTCCAAAATACCCCTTTCCCTCCCACCATTATTCACGAAATAGCCATCACTGTCAGTCTTAAAATGATACAATGTTTTCCTATCAGTTTCTATGAACATGGAGGATTAGATGACCTCTCAGCTCTTTTCCAGATATAAATCTATGATAATATGACCCAAATTTCTGAACACTATTTATCTCAAAGCTGAAAATCACTGGGTGCACCCAGCTGCTGGGAACTCTTCTATCATCTGTTGGCCAGACATTATATAAAAAGGAAAAGTATACAGCAGAGTTCCTTCAGATAGGAAGGAAGTTTAAACTGTGTAAGCATTTGGTTTCTCTTTGAGGTTTTTTTTCCCTTCTACCATACTGTGAAATGGCTTAATATCCTTCAAGTTTGGAAATTGCTTGACTGACCAGAAAAATTATGAGTTAATTAACTTATAACTGGCTTTTGACACATTCACAGTTAAGAAAGTACCCCTTGTGGGCAGGAGAGAGTGAGTGAGAGAGAGAGAGAGAGAGAGAGAGAGAGAGAGAGAGAGAGAACAGGTTGGGGAGACAAATAAAAGTTTTACTAGTGTTGTTCTCCCTAAGTTTTAAGTTTTATAATAAAGTTTTTATTTTGAATAGAAAGTAATTCATATATTTTATTAAAGTCAATAGAAAGGTAGTAAGTACAATCTATTTTTGTTTAGACCTTTCATGGAAGATTCTACCTTTACCCTAGTAACCACATGCCCTATTCATGCAATTCCTTCATTTAGCATATGGGTAGATTTGGAAATTTGTTATAAATGAGATACGGAATTTCACCAATTCACAAAATGATTCTTTTGAATAATATTTCTTTTTTTCATGTTATTTCCCCAAATTCTTATGTAAATAAATGTTTTATGCTTTTAAAGAACCTGAGAAACCTGTTCCTGAAGAGAAAGTTCCTGTTCCCAGGAAACCAAAGGCTCCACCAGCTAAAGGTACAGTGGGGGGGGAGGGGAACTTGTTACATAAAACATCTGTTAGATAAGAAATATATGTTCTCTGTGTCTCTGTAAGAAAAATATATATTATAAAATACTTGTGGGCTTAAGCATGATCTTTATTATACTTCTTAATATTTTGTCATCACTACTCGAGTATTTGCGGTTCTTAAAAGGTTTAAAAGTCTCTTAAAATTAATATTTTAAAGTGCCTAAGAGAACCATCCCTGAAGAAAAAGTACCTGTTCCTGCTCCTGTGAAACTCAAACCTCCACCACCCAAAGGTACATTGGCCTGACATGAGAATGAACTCCAAAAGCATCTTCTTTATGTATTGTGAATGTGGTCCCACCGCCTAATGTTGTGTTCTTTGTCTTTATGGAGCGTGTTTTGTTTTTTTTAATCCTGATTCTTATGTTACATTGTTTGGGGGTGAACTTGTGTGTGTTCTATTGTGTTCTGTCGCTGGTTTTAATGTTCTTTACCAATTACTATCTTTAAAGTGCCTGCGGCGCCTAAGAAAGTTGTTGAAGAAAAAATACATATTGCAGTGACCAAACGAGAAAAAGAAAGGGTGATTGCACCCCCTGTCAAAGGTACAATCATCTCCTTGGTCAATCGGGGGCTGTTTGATGTCTTACTATCTTTTCAAATTCAGTTTGTCTTTCTTATGCTAGGTTTCATTTTGTAATCTTGTGTTTTGTAAATCCATTCCTAAGTTCTTAGAATGTCTGTTGTCTACTGTTTTGTAGGTATTTGTGTGATGTTTTGTAATTGTTACTGTTCTAAGAGAGTAGATAGTAGTAGTTATTTGTAATGGGAAATAGCCCCATACCAGATAATATCCACTGCTGATATATAATTATGTTGCAATACTAAATCAAAGCTTTCATTAAAAAAAACACACACACACACACACCTTAAAATTTGGCTTGAAGCTACACGTTTTCTTTGTGGTAAAAGTAGTGGTAAAATAACAAATAGTTTCTGGCTATTGTTGACCCCTAGAAAGATAATCCTTTAGTATTTTAAATTTATCTTCAATGGCTAAATAAATGTCTTACAGCTATTCAGAGTGAAATTTTTCTTTCCCAGTGAGGTCAATAGCTGTTTTGGGGTGGGGTTTTTTTGTTGTTGTTGCTGTTTTTTGGAGGGGATGATTGTCATTGAAAGGGAGGTTCGAATTTCTCTCTAAGAAAAATCTAATTTTGCAGGAAAATGTCATCTGTCACGAACAGTGAAATTATATTCCCCATGGAAATTAAATGATTTCATTATTTGCAATGATAAACTTATCCATAATGTGTAGCTGTTAGAAACATTACATTTTGGTTTCAGCTATCTCAAATATCTCTGCATTATTGTCCTGACCTTTTTTTGGCACCTATAAGATTCAGAATCAGTTTCTTGGAAAACAAAAAGTCATTTCTAGATGAATGATTACATACCTAACATAAAAGAGACAGCTATAATAAAATTGCATCTGCTCCATGTACCACAACCACTTAATGTCACCCAATTTGAACAATTCAATCTCCTTGTGATTACTATTTTAAGTGCCTGAGAAGAAGAAAAGGAAGTAGCACCACCTATTAGTAGTAGAGAATATCACTTCTTTATGTCAGGGAGAGTATTTATTGTCTTGTTTCCTGGTCTTTTCTAGTGTTACATTCATGTTCAGTGAGTGATACTTTGTGGGTCTCTTTGTGGGGAAAGAGGGGAAGCTATTATTTCTTCTAATGCAAATGGGCCTTTCACTTCAAGTTCTTTGGGTTTGATATGTAATTGAAAAGAAAAATGTCCAACCTATAAATGGTGTCTTTAAAGTGCCCAAAGTACCTAAGATACCAGAACCAGAACCAGAACCAGAACCAGAGATAGAACCAGAAGAAGAAGTTGTGCCTGAGGAAGAGGAATATGTCCCTGAGGAAGAGGAATATGTCCCTGAGGAGGAAGAAGAATTTATTCCTGAGGAAGAAGTTGTATCTGAGGAAGAAGTGATACCAGAAGTACCAGTCAAAGGTATATGACCTCTTTTGCCAAGAGAGACAAGCCAAGCGCCCTTTGGTGGGCTGGGGACAGAGAGTCAATCCTCGGTGTTAGCACCTCACTAAAACCCTGTTCTTGAAACAGCCCCCTTCACAAACTATCTAGCCTTGTCCCTTTGGTAGCTATTGTTATTTTACATACTTGACATGTCATCATAAACATTTCTGAATGGAAATCCTATCTTTAAAAGTGCCTGAAGTACCAAAGAAACCTGTGGTTCAGGAGAAGAAACCTGTCCCTGTTCCCAAAAAGAAGGAAGCTCCACCAGCCAAAGGTAGAGCCATTTATGGGCCATATTCACCTTATGCATGTAATGAATAGTCCTTCATTCAAAATTTTATGTTACATTTACTTAATTTTTTGTAAGTCTACGTCAATGGGTAGTTGTTACTGAGCTTGGGTAAAAGTGCTGTGTGATGATGATGTTGGTGAAGCTTAGGCAATTAGTTTATTAATACAAAAACAATCTCTTTAAAGTGCCTGAGGTCCCTAAGAAACCAGAGGAGAAAGTGCCTGTGCCTAAAAAAGAGAAGGCTCCACCTGCTAAAGGTACATTCACCTGTGATGCATTCACAGATTTATATTAGGATTTACCCAGGCAGAGCAATAAGGGTCACTTTGGCAAACTCCCCTTCTTATTAATAATGAATGGAAAAAACACTCAATTTGGGCTTCAAATCCTGGCTTTTCCACTTCCAGCATCTGTGACCTTGAATTAAACAGTTCCTCTTTCTGTGCATCAGTTTCTGCATCTGTAAAAGCCTCTTCTAGCTCTAAGTCCTATTAGGGACCTGTATGAATTAACCATAGTGTTAGTGCCAAGGTAAGAACTACCCCACTGGCCACAACAGATTACTTTATGTGTTTGTACTTCTGAAATTTGTCTTTGAATTATACTTGTGCTTGGTGTTTTGTTCCTCTTTTCAATGTTACAATAAACTCTTACTATAACACATAAGTATATTTAATATATCCATATACATTGACATTTTATTTAATATGTTTATTAAATATATTGTTATGTAGTAATGATGTATTTGTTAAATATGTTGTTTTGTATTAATATATTATTAATAATTAATATATTGTTGATGTGTTACTATGTTAATAATGTTGGTGTGTTTAATATTCAATATGTATATATTGAATCCATATTCAATGGATATTTGCTTATTTTAAATTAATCCATATATGGCTATATTAAGTAGACCAATGTTGAATGTTGATTAAAATATTAAATGTGTATATATGTTAAGTGTGCAAATATATGTATATATGTGTATGTTTAAAACAAAATAAGCGAAAGTTGTCACTTACCAGCTGTTACACACTGTGTTCCTCGCCAGTCAATGTTAAATAGTATATGTGAATGTCTTTTCATCTCTGTTGGAGGGAGCCATTATCATTGCGGTCATTCTTAATTCTGCCTACAGTAAAGCAATGTTTCTGTTTCAGATCATAATGTATTATACTATTGTCATGTCTTTGTATTTTAAAAAAATGAGATACTCAACCTAACATGTTGTCTTTAAAGTGCCTGAAGTACCCAAGAAACCTGTACCAGAAGAGAAAGTCCCGGTACCTGTCCCTAAAAAGGTGGAACCTCCCCCAGCCAAAGGTACATACACTTGTGTTGTATCTACAGTGGTTTTTTTCCATTTCAAAATGAAACGAAGTGCAAATATGAGGGTCTTATTTCTAGCTCTTCAAGCAGAAATCTCCTTGATGGCATTTCCCACAAGAAGAATAAAGTTATCTTATTTCAAAAGCTACCTTTATACTGGGATGGCCATTTTATTCCTTGTCTTGCATGTTTATGACCCTGCACATTAATGTATTATTTTGATATGGCATGAAAAGATTAAATTTTTCTAAAGCAATTGAAGAGCCCTATATTTACTTGAACATAATATTTTTAAGTGCCTGAAGTACCTAAAAAACCTGTACCAGAGAAGAGGGCAGTACCAGAGAAGAAAGAGGTACCAGAGAAGAAGGTGCCTACCCCAGTCCCGAAGAAAGTGGAGCCTCCACCAGCCAAAGGTACATTGTTTCTCCAATTAAAATGTACAGGAAAGAGTCAGTCTCATATTTTATATACGCTCACACATATCTACATCCATCCTTTTGTGTTTAAAAGGAATGGGATACTGCCTGAACTATGTATGCATGTTAAGTTTCACAGTTTAGACATTTGGACTCTTCTCCTTTCTTGGTATTTTTAAAAATCTTTTTCTATAAGAAATATAAAAGAATGCATTCTTAAAGTCAAATAATATCTTTCAAGTGCCAGAGGTGCCCAAGAAAGTTGTCCCTGAGGAAAAACCGGTACCTGTTATGAAAAAAGTGGAAGCTCCTCCAGTCAAAGGTACATTAATCATTAATCATTCTGCACATTACAGAATTATTTCAAGGAGAAAACTTTTCATTGTTTTCATAAGTCTCACTGTTTGAAATTAATGTTTTATAGAATTTCTTTTGAAATTGTTTTTTGCTGTTTTATCCTGCTTATTTCTTTCTTTGTGTTGTCCTGTTCTGGTTGCTCTCTATATAAACTAAGTTTTAAACAATTAAATAATGTCATTGAAGTGCCAAAGAAACCCGAGCCAGTCCCTGTTCCTGTGATTGTCCCTGAAGAAGAGGAAATTCCCTTTGAGGAGGAGGAGGAAGAAGTTCCATTCGTAGAGGAAGAAATTCCCCCAGAGGAGGAAGAACTTCCCCCTGAGGAAGAGGAGGAGGAGGAAGTTCCATTTGAAGAAGAAGAAATTGCACCTGAGGAAGAAGTTAAACCAGAAATACCTGTGCATGTACCAGGTATAACAGTTGTCTTTTGAAGTTCTCCAAAAAACATTGCCATCAACTTAATTCTCTCTCTATCATCTATCTCATGTCCCCTCTGTATTTTTGTGTTGTTTTATTCTTGAAAATTCTTTGACACATTTTTGGAAGTTCTGTGCTTATATGTTTTTTTTTCTGTAATGTGTCCTTTGAATGTGGTTTTTAATTTATTTAAATATAATGTTTTTAAGTGCCTGAGGTGCCTAAGAAACCTGTACCAGAGAAGAAAGTCCCTGTCCCTGCCCCTAAAAAAGTGGAAGCTCCACCAGCCAAAGGTACAACAAGCCCAAGAGAGTGTTCCTTATCTAATAGCCTTCATTCACACTTCTTTCCAGAACAGTTATGATGGAACTGGGTTTGAGGAAACCAACTATTTATGAAATTCAGTTAGGGTACCCCCAGTTTTGCTTTTAAAACTGCATTAAGGGGCAGCTAAGTGGTACAATGGATAGAGCACCAGCCCTGGAGTCAGAAGGACCTGAGTTCAAATCTGGCCTCAGACCAAACACTTGACACTAGCTGTGTGACCTTGGGGAAGTCACTTAATTCCATTGCCTAGCCAAAACAAAAATAAAAACAAAAAAAAAACCCAACTGCATTAAGATGCACTAAATTCAGATTATTTCTTTTTGTTGATTGTGTTATGTTGCTCAAAAATGAAAAAAATGAGCTTAACTGGCAGTGGGAGTCAATTTCACTATAAATTCTTATGATGCTTAATAATAATAGCTAGCATTTATGTAGTATCTACTGTATGCCAAGTGCTCTGCTAAGCACTTGACAAATATTATCTCATTTGATCTTCACAACAACCCTAGGAGGTGAGTGCTATAATCCTTATTTTCCAGTTGGGGAAACTGAGGCTGAGAGAGGTTAAGTGACTTGTCCAAAGTCATGTGGCTAGCAAGTGTTCCAGGCCAGATTTGAATTGAGATCTTTCTCTGGCCCCAGCACTCTATATGCATTGCCTTTTTGGCCTTTAATTTGAAAGTTTTTCTAAGTGTGTGAAGATTATGCAGTGCCTGGGCTAATTAACCCTATAAAAATTGAAGGAAAAAAAAACAGATCTGCAAGAACTTCATCATTCATCATAAACTATACTGAACCATGGTGTCTTTAAAATACCAAAAAAGAAAAAGTCCCCAGTGTTGGACAAAGAAATCATAACACTGAGCAGCAACAATATATACTGACATATGAAATCTCTTAATAGTTTACATATAGATCACATATGTATGCATCAATATATGTGTATACATGCATAGTTACAGCTGCCGTTAAGAGTTATATTCCCTAAATATTGTCATTTGACAACCATTTATTAAGTACCTACTCTGTGCAAGATACTGTGAAATCCTGCAAATACAAAGATGAAAACAAAATAATCCCTGCCTTCCATGAGCATGTATTATCTTACCAGTAGAATGGAGGGAAATCACTACATGGAATGAAATCTGGATTCCTTTGCTTTGCATTTCAATAATGTTTCTTGCTATGGTTTCAACAGCACCCATTGCTACTCTTTTTGGAGCAGCAGGAGGATTTATTAGCCATAGTGACATCAAGAAAAAAAAAAAGATTTATTAAATCTAATGCTGCCTGGCTACCTATATAGAGATTTTAAGTCAGGGATGTTATGTAGATGTTTGCTGAGTTCTAATACCAATTAAATGGTTTAACCATATTTGCTATCTAAAAGTCAAGTGGACTACTGCCCAGATCAGACTCCAAAGCCTAATTCCACCATAATGTTCAGAACTGGTCATTCTCATCATGTTCTTTACTAGAGTGCAGTTTTTCCTTATGTTTGTTTGTGTCTGGAGTTGGGGGGGGGAGAGACAGCTTAGGGTGGGTTTTGATCAGGGGTTCTTGTCCTTATACTGTGTGTCTCATATACATTCTTATTCTTTATGATGTGTCTTTTCAACTCAAAATGAAATTTTTGTCATGGAATAATGTCTTTAAAGTGCCTGAGGTGCCAAAGAAGAAAGTGGCTGAGAAAAAGGTGTCCATTCCCAAGAAAGAAGAGGTCCCTCCACCCAAAGGTACTTCAGCTTGTAAACAGATTAAAGTTTATTGTTCCATTCTTTCCATCAACAGTAAAATCAATGTCACCTACGTGTCTATATTTTTGTTCTAACCCAGTTTAACACTACTTTGTATTTATTGTCTTTTGGTGTCTAAAATAGACTTTTAAAATAAATAATCTCTTTAAAGTACCAGAGGTGCTTAAGAAAGCTGTGCCTGAGAAGAAAGTCCCCACGCCTGTTCCTAAGAAGGTGGAGCCTCCCCCAGCCAAAGGTACTTCACTAGACTAGATAGCTATGATTATATGTAACTAACGCAACTTTGCTCATATCTTTCACTTGTCATAAATGTCAAAATGTATCTTTCTTGAGTGGCATTTATGTTTATATATATGGAGTTTGTATTTGGAGTCATCTTCTTTTGTGATTATGTTGACTTTGTGGTTGTTGGGTCTGCCCCCAAAATAAAAAATACTAAATCCAAATATCTTTAAAGTGCCAGAAGTGACTAAGAAACCAGTTCCTGAAGCACGTGTTCCCAAAAAAGTAGAGGTCCCCGCACCAAAAGGTAGATAACCTCTTGAATAGATTTATAGTTTTGTAACATAAAACTCTCTTCTAAAAAAAAAAAGTCTCACTAACCCATTCGTTGAAAGGTTACTGTCCCATCATATATGTGTCTGTTCTTATTTCCTCCTTCTTGCAATGAAAAATCAGAAACTTGCCCCTTTTGTGTTTCTTTTGTTCTTGCTGTGTTGTAAGTATTCTAAAGCTCCTAAAAGCAACTAATATCTTTAAAGTCCCTGAGGTACCTAAGAAAGTGGAAGAAAGATTACCACCTGCTCTCCCTCAAGAGGAAGAAGCCCCACCAGTTGAAGGTAGATAAGTTCCCAACCATACAAAGAGATCTAATTTGTCAATGTTTCTGTCTTTCTTCATTTCTCTAATACTTGGCAAACTGAATTCATATTTTGTGTTCATATGTGTGAAAATCAGCACTGGCCTATCTATCTAGGTCCAAAAAACAAAACCAAACAAAAAAACTCTTATTCATCTAAAAGATGGGTTATAGTAGGTCTAAAAATTTGAAAACCATTCTCTTATTTTGTTTAGTTTTGTCTGTGATCTGTTTGAAGTGGAATTACATATTTGTTATATGTTTATCTATGAATTGGCATATTTTGTTGGTGTTGTTCAGTTGTTTCAGTCACGTCTGACTCTTCTTGATGCCATTTGGGTTTTTTTTGGTAAAGATACTGCAGTGGTTTGCCATTTCCTTCTCCAGCTCATTTTACAGATGAGGAAACTGAAGCAAGCAGGGTTAAGTGACTTAGGGTCACATAGCTAGTAAGTGTCTGAAGCCAGATTTGAACTCAACTCTAGGCCCTGCCCGGTATCTACTGTACCACCTAGCTCCCCTGAATAGGCATAAGCCAGACCAATAAGGTTTAGGATTCACTAAATAGAGAACATTGTGATATGATAGAAAAAGGAATAGGCTGGCAGAAGATCCTGAATGTAGTTCAAATTCTTAGACTAATAGTCTGTATACAACTTAATGCAATAATAAAAATGACAGTTCACATTTATGTAGTGCTGTCAGGTTTAAAAATCATTTTTCTTCACATTAAGCTTTTGAGTAGATAGTGAAAGTATTATTACACCTATTTTAATCAGTCAATTAACAAGTATTTATTAAGCACTAAATATATGCCATGAATTGTAATCAGTACTGGAGATATAAAGAAAAAAAACAATAATTCCTGCCTTCAAGGAGTTTACATTCTAATGTATAACATACAAGGTACATACAAAGTAGAAACGAGGTAAGCTTAGAAGGAAAAGCACTAGCAAATACCAGGTAAGGCCTCCTGGGGAATTAGGCAATTGAGCTGAATCTTGAAGAAAGCTGGGGATTTTAAGACGCAGGGATAGAGAAAGAGAGAGAGGACACCAGGACAGCTAACACCAAACCATTACACATGAGGAGCCTGAGGCCATCTAGCTAGTAAGTCTTGGAACCAGAATCTGAACTTTGGCCTTTGTTACTCCACAGTGCAGTGCTCTTTGCACTGTTCCTCAACATCTCTCAAACTCTTCAAATAAGCTGGACTTGTTTTCCTTATCTGTAAAATGAAGTGGTTGGCTAGATTGTGTCTCAGGCCTCTTCTAGCCCCAATATTCTATGATTTGGCAAGGCTCATACAACTTGTAAAAAGCTAATGATTTTTTTAAAAAATTTCATGTTTGGTATACGCTTACCTGGTGTATACCAGTCAATTGTATGTTCAACATCAAGATGTGTTTTGTGTTATCGTTTTCAGTCACATACTCATTAAATTATCAAAATAACTCACAAAACCACTAATATTTTTAAGTGCCTGAAGAACCTGAGGAAATTCTTTCAGAGGAAGAAATACCTGAAGAAGTTCCTATCATAGAGGAGGTTGAGGAAGTTGCACCACCCATAGGTACATCAATGTTATATGAGAATTGGGTTTTTTAAATACCCTCAGGCCTCTGGTCTTTCTCAGTATTTATTCAAACCTTGGAGGCTTTCTGAATTTTTTTTTTGTGAATTCTAGTTGGTAAAAGATGATTGCTGAAAGTTGAAACTATCTAATTGAATGGTTGAAGTGTTCTTTATTTCATTCCAATTATAGCTATTTGTTCAAAAAACATTATAGTGAGAGATGGAACGCTTTCCCCTTCTTTTGGTTGACATTTTCTATTGACAGGGTTACACATTTCTATTTTATCCTAGTTCTCATTCCTTCTTTTTCCCTTAAAAATAGAATGTGAGAAATCAACTTTTGAGCAAAACGGATTCTTTTATTTCAACTCAAGCCATTATTCTTGAAATGAACTCTTTCATTGCATTTTAGCCTCTGCTTACATTTTAGAGCACATAGTATTTTAATACCCTTTGAAAGACAAAGTTTAAGTCAGAGAATCATTAGATGTCCAACATCTTTTAACCTTAAAGTTCAGTGTAGTTTTTATTTATTACTGTAGTGTTGTTGTTTTTGTTCTTTGCTCTGCATAAAAGTCTTTAATCACTCTTCAAATATCTTTCAAGTGCCTGAGGTGGTTAAGAAAGCCATCCCTGAAGCCCCTGCTGTTGCTCCTAAAAAAGAGAAGCCTCCACCAGTTAAAGGTATAACCAATATCACGAAAATGAAAACAAATTTGGCATCCACACAGTCACTTAAATGGCAAAGTTGTGACTGACACAAGTAACAGCCATACAAATATACATTTTTCCATACACTTATTTTACTTTTTCAGCATAAGGATAATTATTAGTGATATTACTGGCATTCACATTTTACTTTATCAATTTCTTCATGAAAATACCTGAGTATGTATTTCCTTTCTAACCTAAATTCTTCTTCATGATTCTATCCTAAATATTCTCTTCTTTTATTGGCTCAGAAAGAGGAAGTAGTTTATTCCATGGCCTGAGGGAAAAGTATAGATTTCCACTGAAATTCTTCTATCAGATACTGCTATGCATTCCTCCCTCTGCTAGCCACTCTAAAAAAAGTCCTCCTAATTTTTGGTAGCTGATTTCAAAGAGAATGACTTAGTAGTACAAATCATTAAATGACTTTAATATTTCTACCATAATCTTCTGTTCAGTGTTCCTTTAATAAGGAATGAGCCCCAATGTCCTTTCTCTATTCCAAAACCACCTTAAATTATACAAGAGGAAAAAAATCTGCCTCTATATATCCTAATTATATAGTCCTTTTCTTGATTTAAAAAAAAATCATAGTGCAATAGTTCCCTAAAGAACATTGTGCACATATGAGCTCCAAATTAATATTTGACAATGATTACTTCAAACAGGGTTTTCTTCATTAAGGGTTGCTGAAGCAGGTCCTACATGAGTGAATTCTGTTATTAGTAAAGGGAGTAGCACAGGTCATTTTAAAGAAGTTTATAAAAAAATTTTCTTTTGAGCCTGAATTTGATCAGCCCAGAGTAGTGATATGGGGAAAAGGTCTCTGTTTTACTTGAAAACAGTACCTCATATCTAACATTCCACAACATTATTCCTGTAATTTTCAGTTATAAGTATATTCCTTGTTTTCTTTATTTTTGTTTTATATTTATTTTGAAATGTCAGCATTGTAAAATTACTAAAAAAAAAAATCCTAATATCTTTAAAGTGCCAAAGAAACCTGTACCTGAAGAAAAAGTACCTGTTATTCAGAAAAAAGAGCCTCCTCCAGCTAAAGGTATATCTTCTTCTCTTTGGCTTATTAAATAATGCACTGCAACTTCATCTTTTCTTCAATAAGCATTTGTGTTGTCCCTGAGTCTCCGTGTGTTATTCTTCTTTAGTTCCATGGTGTATATGACCTAGCTTTATATTACTAGGTTCATCTTAATGTTTTACATTCTTAAAAAAAATGAATACTCTATCTTTAAAGTGCCTGAAGTACCCAAGAAAGTCCCAGAAAAGAAGGTTCTTCTACCTAAAAAGGAGGTGGTTGCCCCTACCAAAGGTACAACAACAATTCTCATTACAAGCTTTGTTTTGAATGTGTAGTGTATTTGTTTCCTGAGTAGCTTTTTTCACATTTCTTGTAACATTTCTTTGTAAACTTTCACCCTCGTCTTTTATATACCACTTCCAACCTCTTAAAGTGGAGACAATTGCAAAGAAAACCCTCCAAGAAGAAAAAGTATCAGTCGTCTTCCACAGACAAGAAATAGTCCAAGAAGTGCTGGAAATAGAACACGAAGTTGAAGAAGTGGTTGAGGCTAAAGAAGTGGAGGAGTTCTTTGAGGAGGAGGAAGAGGAGGAACAGGAGGAGTTCTTTGACATTGAAGAAGAACGTAGAGAGGAAGAAGTCCTGGAAGCTGAAGAAGTCTATAGAGTCAAAGAAGTAATTGAAGTCGAAGACGTGGAAGTGACTGTCAAGCCCACACCTCCTGAGAAAGGTATACGGCATTCTCCAGTTATTCACACTCTTCACATCTTTCTATCACTAACTTTCTTTAAACACATAGGCTCCCACTTACTAGCTGTGTGATCCTGGGCAGGTCACTTAATCTCAATTGCCTCACCAAAAAGCAACAACAACAAACCACAGTCTCCCTTTGGATTAGATGCTTATACCTTAATATCATTTCTGCAAGAGAATCAGGAAAATTTTAATTCTTTGGCTCACCTATTGTAATGAATTAGATATTAATTTCCCCAAAACGTCTCAATCCAAGTTTGCTTTCTAAAGGAAAGATGAAAACATTTGATCCTTATTAATTTGTTGAGCCAGCTTTATTGAATTAGGAGCAACTAATCATTTTTGAATGTAACTGAAGTTGCTACCAATCTCAAAATAACTAGTTAGTGCAGCCAAAGAACTAATTAGTTCAGGAGAAGAAAAAACAATCCAACATAAAGGTGAAATAGCTCATTTCTTAACTAATGTTTCCCCTGGTTATTATGGTCTTGTGTAGACATTGCCTAAAGATAGTATTAGAATCTTGAATCTTTTTATTGTTTTTTTTTCTTTAAAACCACTTAAAAAGACATTGAAATACATACATAAACACAAATTTCTATAAGGCAGACCAGTTCCTTCATACCGAGAAGAAATAAAAGCAGAAAATATTGAAATGTAGTATCCTTTTGGTCCTTCTAGAAAAATTACGTAGTACATTAAATATAAGAAAATAAATACATATCTGCCATTACGTAGACTAGAGAGTCATGGATGTTTAATTCAGTTTAACAAATATTTATTGGGTGCCTACTAAGTGCAAAATACTATTCCAGGTGCTAAGAATATAAAGACAAAATTTAAGTATGCTTTGCCAACATAAAGTTCATATTCTCTTAATACAAATGAAAGGCTTATAAAGCATTGAGGTTCAAAGCATGTACAAAAACTAATCACGTAATTTAAGTGAAAAATGTTTTATTATGTTTCCCCAACATCACTTTTTGGATTAGTATATGTAGTATTGTGAGATTTTTTTCAAGATTTAAATGTTCTAAACAAAATCAAAACAAACCCTAATATCTTTGAAGGGCCTAAAATTGCTGAGAAAGTCATCCCTCCCAAAAAACAACCTACCGTTGTACCTCGAAAAGAGCCACCAGCAAAAGGTATTTCATTGATTAAACAGTTCTTCTCATTTAATCTTGTTGTACAACATGCATGTAAAGTTAGGACCTTCATTGCTTTATGATTTTATGTTCTGTTTTGTGCTTTCTTTCTATGTTCTGCATTTTTGAAATTTCTAAAACCAACTAATTTATTTTTTTTAATTTTTTTTCCAACTAATTTCTTTAAAGTGAAGTCCCTAAGGAAGTTTTCCTGTAAAGAAAATATCAGTTGATCTACCCAAGACTCTCAAAATAACACAAACTAAAGGCTTAAATCTTTCCCAACATCCTGGTGATCCCCAATTCCCTTCTGTTGAGATTAATTCTTCACAAATTCATGTCTGTCTTTTATCTGTAACATTGTTAGTATTACTTGATGTCTGTGTTCTGTTAATGTTTCGTATGTCTCTTAAAAATTTTCCAACTTAAAATAAACTAATATCTTTAAAGTGCCCGAAGTGACCAAGAAAGTTATCATAGAAGAGAAAGTACAAATTACTCCACCAAAAAAGCCAGAAGTACCACCTCCTAAAGGTACATTGCTCATTTAATTTTTGTCAAATAAATAGCTGGTTTGCTTGCTCTAAAAATGAAAGATTCCCTTGGTTTTTTGTGGTTTATGTTTACTGTCAAAATTCAGCCAGAGCAATCATTGTGATGTGCGTGATGAAGTTAAGTCTGCACTGTCCTACCTTTTAGCAATGCTTTGATCTGTGTCTTTATACTTCTTTTATCTTGTTTGTTTACAAATCTTTATAATTTGGAAAATTAAGAAAAAATTGCTGTCTTTAAAGTGCCTGAGGTGCCCAAGAAAGTCATTCCAGAAAAGAAGATACCTGTTCCAGAGGAACCTGAAGCCCCTCCTCCAGCTAAAGGTACACACTTTCCTTATATTATATGGCAGGGACAATCTCCAAGTCTTTTGTCTTTGTCTTTATTTTATCCAAAATATAAATGATATTTTTTCAGTTTGTGGGGAGAAGAGAGGTAGACTGCTCTTCTTTCTATAGGTCATGATGTGTGAAGGGATGGCTTTGGAATTAAGCTTAATTTCATATTGCATAACGTGCTTATACTATAGAATTAGATAGAGAGTGGGAAGAGACCTCAGGGACCATCTAGTCCAGGAGAGGGGAACCTGCGGCCTTGAGGCTACACATGGCCTTATAGGTCCTTGGGTGCAGCCTTAACGTTTTGCAGAACAAATCATTTTATTATGTTCTGTGTTTGTTCTGAGAAGTTTGGATCCAGTCAAATGGCTATACTTGAGGACCTAGAAGGCCACATGTAACCTCAAGGCTGCAGGTTCCCCACATCTGATAGTCCAACTCCATCATTTTTCCAGTTGAAGACACTGAGCCCAGGAAGGAAAGTGACTTGCCCAAGGGTCACATAGATATTAAGCATTAGAAGTAGGATTTGAACCCAGCACCCTTTTCACTATACTGCCCTATAAGGGCAGGTTAAAAAGTTAGGATCTGGTAGGGGCAGGCAGGTAATGGTGGGCGACTAGATCTAAAGCCAACTGGTGGGGCAGTAGAGTCAAGAAGACCTGAGTTGAAATCTGGATTTAAACACATAAACTGTGTGACCCTGGGTAAGTCACTTAACCTCTGTTTGCCTCAGTTTCCTCATTTGTAAAATGACTATAATATTACCTCACAATGCTGTTGTGAAGAGCAAATGAAATATTTGTAAAAAAACACTTAGTACAGTGCCTGGCACATAGTAGGCACTATAGAAATGATTATTCTGGGGCCGCTAGGTGCAGTGGATAAAGCACTGGTCCTGGAGTCAGGAGGAACTGAGTTCAAATTTGGCCTCAGACACATAATACTCACTAGCTGTGTGACCCTGGGCAAGTCACTTAACCCCAACTGCCTCACCAAAAAAAAAAATGCTTATTCCTGCCTTGCTTCACTTCCTAGGAAATAGAGACTATGAAAGCAACAGTTAATCTGATAATATTAATATTATCTGATTATATTAATAATCTGATCTCTTAATTAATATAATAATTAATCTGATAATATTAATATTAAGTATTGATAGAAGACATTCTATTCTTCCTACCAAAACAACTTCCTTTGGAAAAGTTTGCTGCTAAGTACTATAAATGAGTATCCTATAAAAGATAATAGAAAAATACAACATGGTCAGAATGTTAACATACACAAATCAAGGAATTACTAAACAAATTTACATATGGATAGCCCTTGTTAAATATCTCTTTTATTTTCTCTTGATATTTTATATGCAATTTTGGAATTCTCAAAAATAATTTTTTTTAAAAAACCTAATATCTTTAAAGTACCTGAAGTACCAAAGAAAGTTGTTCCAGAAGCGAAAGTTCCAGTTGCTGTTCCTAAAAAACCAGAGGCACCACCTGCTAAAGGTATCTATGACTTATTTCACAATGGTGAAATAATTGTTCTTTGTTTATCTGTCTGAGAGTGTAATAGGTTTAGAAAGAATAAGTGTATGTGTGTATGTCTGTGCCTTTACAAACTTTGTATTTCCCTCATCCTTAAAATTCATAATACATTATATTTATTCTTGAATAAATTCACAACAATAAAACTACTAATATCTTTTAAATCCCTGAGGCCTAGGAAGCTATCCCAGAAGAGACCTATAGTGGTTTCTAAAAACTCAGAGGTTTACTTTTCATATATATCTTAATTTGTAGAACTCCAAATTACGTGAAGTATAAAAGATGAAGAAAGATACCAGAGGCTCACCTTTGTTTATATCTGACAAACCCAGAACAATCCCTAGACTCTGAATTGTTGCTTATGCACTGAGACAAGCAAGGAATAATACTAGTAGCAATTTGTTAGGGGCAGAGTAGAATGGAGAACTATGAGGTCCCTAGCCGGTAGGTTGATTCATTAGAGCACCAAAATGTAATGGGGAATGGGGAGTTTTTAACAGAATGGAAAAGAGTTTACCCCAAACTCATAGATTCCATATTTTGATGAGCAAAGGACCACAGATTGCAATCTCACATTCTAAATCTATTCTTATTATTTTAACCACCTTTAATTTTAGTGATTAATGTGCGTCTCATGTCATGTCATTATTATTACTGTTCCTTTTCTATCTTTGAAACTCCTCTAAATGTATAAAAACTAATATCTTTTTTAAGTACCTGAAGAGTCCAAAGAATTGATCCTGAAAGAAAAAGAACCTGTATCTGTTGTACTTCCTAAGAGTAAGGGATCCTAACCCAGTATAGGTAGACAGACGTCAGCCATGATCTAAATTTGAAAAAAGGTTGTCTTTGATCCTGAAAGCTTGATATTTCCCATTTCTCTTCATCATTCCTAAATATTAACTTACTAATATCTTTTAAGTGCCTGAGCTGCCCAAGAAAGCCATTCCAGAAGAGAAAATCTCTGTGACTCTTCATGAAAAGAAAAGAGCTCTATCTGCAAAAGGTACATTTCACCAACACCAAATCCAGAAGATCTTTGATTTCAAGACTCAAAAATTACAGGCTGTGTCTACTTGAATAGTATTTTTTCTGTCTTCTTAACTACTAAATGTTAACATTGTCTCAATGTACTAATATCTTTAAAGAGCCCAGTGTACCCCGAAAATTCACCCAAGAAGAGGAGATATTGGAGCCTATTCCTAAAATAACAGAGCAACTTCCAACAGAAGGTATCTGTAAATGATCAAATTGTGAAGAAACAACTTTTTCCATAGTCTAGAGAAATACATTTACTATTTTTTTCTACATTTTTGCACCTACTAAATGCTAAACTACTAATATCTTTAAAGCACCTGGTGTATACAAGAAAGCTGTGCCAGAACAGAAACTGCTTACACATTTACCCCCAAAGCCAGAAGCTCCTTCAGCACAAGGTATAAATCCTGAGAATAAAATTCCACATTATATTTTGTTTAAAAAAATGTATGATGTACATGTAGCTTGTGTCCCAGTCCAGTATGTCTCTGAAGTTTCTAAATATAAAAATACTAATATCTTTAAAGTGCCTGAGGTCTCCAAGAAAAGTGCTCCAGAAGAAGCATTTCCTGCTAGTCCTAAGAGGGAGGAGACCCCAACACCAGGTATCATTCCTCATTCATTCCAGCCAGAAGAAAATAACTTTCTCGTCTTGTGCTCTGGAAAGCTACTCGTCTAAATGTGCTTAAAGATGCATTCCATTTATCTGTGATGCCTAATGTAAAAATACTAATATCTTTAAAGTCACCAAAGTTTCAAAGGAGAATGTCTTCACCAAACCAAAAGTTGCACAAGGTACAGATCTCCAGTAATCAGAATTTACACTACAGGGTAGAGAAGAATATTGATCTTTTTCAATGGAAAATTGCTTAGGGTATAAGGTTTTCCTTTTATGCTTATGATTTCTAAAAGTAAGGCCATTGATATCATTAGAATATTACAAGTATCCAAAGATAGGATCTTTAACAGAAAAAGTACCAAATGTTTTTCCTCCTAGAACTGAAATTGCTTCATTTTGTGACATTAAAACCTGTTTCGATTGGTTAAACTCATCTTCTTTGAGACAGAAAACTTTGGATTGAAATTCAGGGTGGTTATCACCTAATGATACTGAGGTCTTCTTATGGACCTCAACTGAGCATTAACTTCCCAGAAGCATAGGTAATATGGAAATTCCAGAAATTTAGTATGAGTCAATTATAATCACTTTTTGGGGTCCACAATAAGCACTATTAAAAACAAAAACATCAATTAAGTGATGTTCTACAATAGGAATAACAGAGAAATATTATTAGGTGCAAATGTAGTCCAGGAAAGAGAATACTAGCTCCAGTGCTAGAGCACCCTGGTTCAAAGAATCCCTGCCTCTATTAGGTTTTAACCTATGTGACCTTGAATAAATCACTTAACCTTTCTCAGTTTCCTCTTCTGTAAAATTAAAGAGTTGGACTAGATGGCCCCTGAGATCCTTTCTAGCTCTTAAAGTCCTAAGACTCACTGATCTGATATACTTTCTATTTATTTTATACATTGCACCTATGATGTCATTGAAACACTGTTCATTCTAATCCACACTGAACTGGAAGGAACCCCAGATGAGGAAATCCCCATCTATATTTGCTGTATGATTTACAATCTTAGAGAGTAGCCTGAGGTCAATGATTAATCAACTATTATTATCCTAATTGTTTTAATCATAGTTGATATCCTTCTAGAATAACATACAGAACAGGAGCCTATTAAAGCTATAGGTCGATTCTGTCCCTTTACTTTTTTTTTGTCCCACAACCTCTATTTTTAAACAGGTCAGTCCTTTCCTTTGAAACTACGTAAAACACACCAGAATATATAAAACCGTTTAAAAACATCCATAATAGTGATTTTCTTACATTATTGAGTAAACTCTTTCATAAAAAGGATATCTGGAGGTCTTAAAAGTGTTTTCTCTGTTTTATAATCTTTATATTTTTTATTGTTGTTCAGTTGTTCAGCTGTGTCCAACTCTATATGACCCCACGGATTTTTTTACATGGGATTTTCTTAGCAAAGATACTGGAGTGGTTTGCTATTTCCTTATCTGGTGTGTCCCCATTTTACAGATGAGGAACTGAGGCAAACAAGGGTTAAGGGTCATACACCTAATAAGTGTCTGAGGCCATATTTGAACTCAGATCTTCCTGACTCTAGGCCTGGTGCTCTGTACCACCTAGCTGTGCCTTTCCTTATCTATCCTTTATGTAAAATATTTATCCCTTTCAAAGTATCTGAAGTACAAAAAGAAGTCCCAGGTGACGCACTAGTCTGTGTCATTCCCCTCAAATTAAATAGCTAAAATAATAAATAAATTAGAAAGAAGAGATATTTCATGTTAAGGTAAGAGAATTTTTTTTCATAGTTCATATCTGTGATTTTATCAGACTTTATCACCGTTGTGGATATTCCCTATCTGCAGAGCAACAACTTGTCAATATCTTAGCAGCTTAGAAACCTGTCTAAGGCATTGAAACATTAAGTGACTTTCATGTAGTCACATAACTTGAATGGTCAAGCAGGGCTTGAAGCCTTCCTGACGTGAAGGCTAGTCCTGCAGCCACCATACCAAGCTAGCTGTCTTAAAGCAAATTATATCATAGCAAATATAAGAGGTAGTCAATTCCTAGATTTTATACAAGTCAGTCCTTCCCCATTTCTGAATAGGCCAGAACTTGCAGGATATGCACAAACAGTTATTAAACATCCAAAATAGAAATTTCCTCCTGTTACTCACCAGATTCTGAAATGGAGAAGGTTCCTTGTGGTCTTAAAAACTTAAAAGCCAGTATAAGATGCATTTTTTCTGGTATAATTTTCTATACTCTTTATGATTTCTAGAATTAAAATTAATATTTTAAGTACCTGGGGTGACCAAGGAAACTCTCCCTGAAAAGAATGCCTAATCATGTCACCAAAGAACCAATAACCTTGCCTGTTAAAGGTACATATCACCAACTAGGATTTAGGGTATCACCAATTTGATACATATCACCAATTTGATACATATCACCAATTTGAGTTAGAGAAAGGAAAAAAACTATTCTTGAAAATTAGTGTGATGTGTCACTCTGATGAACGTTTTTAACTGCTTTTCATAGTTGCTAAGTGTAAAAACACTAATATCTTTTAAGTGCCTAAGTATCCCAAAGATGTCCCTGAAAAGAGAATGACTGTGGCAATCCTCAAAAAGCAAGAATGGTCACCACCTAAATATATTTTAAATAAATACATTTAAATAAATATATTATTATTTGTCATATTATGGGTGGACCAAATTCTTTCTTAACTTCAAAATAACTTTGGGTTTTTGGATATAGTTATTATTTCTACTGGTTTTTCATAACCCCTAAAAATAAAAATAATAATATTTTTAAAGTGCCTGAAGCTACCCCAGAAGCTGTCCCTGAAAGAAAAGAACTTCAAAAGCCAGAAGTAAAACCAATTCAAGGTATATGCTTCAACCCAATAGATTTTGAGGGGGAAACCCCACCAGCTTTCAACATTAGTGTTACTGTGTACGTATTATATTTAACTGCTAAGTGTAAAATTACTAATATCTTCAAAGTGCCTGAAGCCCCCAAAGAAGTGGTCCCTGAGAAGAAAATGCCTGTGGCTGTTCCCACCAAACCAGAAGCTCTACCTGCTAAAGGTATATGTCACCAATCAAGTTATTTGGAAAGAAGAATGTCTTGTCTTCTGTTACTGAAAATATTCTGAAGTCTATGTTGAACTCCCTAATGCCCAAGTATAAAAAATATTATTATCTTTAAAATGTCTGATTCTCCAAAAAGCTGTGAAAAGAAAATATCCATTGCTGTTCCCCCAAAACTAGAAACCCTGCCTGTTAAAGGTATAACCACTAGTCAAGTAAATCTAAAAGAAAAAAAAGT